AAACTGTTTGAAAAGACAGCCTGAAATTTCAACCTTTTTTGGTGGGATGGAGTTTTAGCTTGCCTAATGACATCACCAGGCAGTAAATTAGTTAATAGACCAATAAGAAAGAGAGTTTGAAACCTCTCTGCCAATAACAGCACATTTTCAGTTTCCCCCTCCCCACTCAGACCACTCCCAGACAGTCCTAGCAAAATTCTTGCTTGAGAAAGTACTCTTTGCTAAAAAGCTATTTTGTTTCTTTTTGAAAATTTAAATTGAAAACAATCACAGTAAGATACTTAATTGTTACCCAGAAATGATTTGATATTGAGATAAACGGCTGCATTGGACCTTTAATGCATGTCTGTGGATGTGACTGTACAGGTTTGCTTCAAAATAGACTCTAACTTTCTTTTGAATCATAGCTGCACATTGTGCAACAAACAGAACATTAACTGTAAGTGAAAATACTCAGGTATGAATAGAGTGGGTACAGATTAAGACACAATAGTCCCAGTATAAAATTAGTACCAAAATAAATATTGGATACTGGCCAATACTGGCTATTACACCTGAAATCAGGTCATAGGGACACAACACTCCTTAGTGTAGTTTAGTTTACATGGATGTATTATCATGTTGGGCTTCAAGTGAAGATTGACGATGTCATAAAATACTAGATGCAAAAGATATGGTACCTGCTATTATCGGTAAGTTTCCTTTCAGTCCTATGGCTCAACATTATTGAAAGACACAGCAGATCAACACCAGTGACTCTGTGTATACTTAAATACAATTTTGGATTTTTCTATTTTCTATTTGAATACATGGGGAAAGAAGGAAAAGAAGAAGAAGAACCAGAAATGTTCCAGATGTATTGACGTTATATTTATATGAACAATGTTTGACCTTTGACCTTTACCCGAACCTTGATCCCTAGTCATCCACACTGAATAGAAATGGCCAATGGCATAATCCCTCTTACATAACATAGCCATGGTAACGTTAACCTTGAAACTGAATTCTCACGACAACCCAAGTATCACATTCTGTTTTGGCACCTTCGGTTACAAATCCCCCTACATAATGCGACACGTTTACTCATCCTCCCGTTTGAATGAGACAATGATTTGGAACTCTAGAAGCCCAATTTCAGTGCTTCTTATGAATACCAGTAATAATGTTGTTACAAGTAAACCAGAATAAACTATTAACAATGCCCCTTACAGCATGTATCTCAGGGCTAGATTGTCTTGTGCAATGTACAGACAATGTGGATTAAACAATGACTACTTGTAGTGGCTAAGCTTCCTAGAGTTCACAAAGGCCACTTCCTTAGATGCCAAATACAAGCTTGGTTATATGCGTTTCCATAGATGAGACTTAAGAGTTCTTGATTGCAGTTAAATTATATTAATTACTGCCAATAAGATTGCCCTGTTACCACACAGATTCCAAGGTTGATGAATGGTAAAAAGTAAAATAGTCCCAAAGAAAGGTTAAAAAACTGTTTGTCTATTCAAATAACAAATCATTCAAATATCTTCAAATACATTTCCGTTCCACATACAAAATGGCTCTAACACTACTATTTGACTTACTGCAAGAACTTATTTTCTGTATGAAATATTTGTAAATTTTGTCTTGTGTTTCATGTTGGGATACTTCCCCATCCACGCTTGCAATGTAACATTAATGTAATGCAGGTAAGCAAAGCAGCAAAGAAATGCAAAGCAAAGAAATGAAATAAAATAGCATTTTCAAATGCTATCATGGTGACTTATTACATTATATAAACATTTAGCCTGCCTTATCTAATCTGATACTCATCATATACAGTAAGAGAGTATGACTTTGATGATATCCATGTCAGAAACCTGATTTGGGTGTAACTTCCATGGGAAACATTAGACTTTGTCAATAGGCCTGGTAATAAAGTAATCATCCTCACTTTCTCAGGTCTCTCCTGTGTAAAGGGCTGACCCACTAAAGATGAAGAGCAAACAGAAAGGGGATTAAGGGTAACGATCGTATAATTTCTGGAATGTCCTGGGCCTGGAGCACACAATAACTGAAAGTGAATTAATATATTAAAGAGGCATATATGGGGAATAAACGACTGCACATACTGTATGGCTGCAACAGTCTATAGCGTCAAAATAAGTATAAAAGAAAAATAATATGACAGAGAAAAAAATACAACTAGGTAAAAAATAATATGACTGGCAAAATAATACAACTCACAAGATTATAAATAGCACATGAATGTTGTTTTAATTAAGAAACATTGAGGAAGGGGGAGAGTCCTTCCTTCCAACACTGGAAATGGTACAGTCAGGAACAAGAGCAGTATCACCCAATGGACAATAATATCATGTGTAGTACACTTCCATTCACTAGAATGTTGTGACACTCTTTTTCAACATTTGTCTTTAATCTAAAAATGAAACATAGACAATATTAACAATTTCAAAAAAGGTGAAATAATATCTTCATAAATGATGATATTTACTTTATAAATACTCAGTACATCATCCATACCCAGTTATATCTTATGATTAAGATCACACAAATAGGACATTCAATGTATTAATGATTTGTGATTGTGTGACGTTTTCTCATCTGTGTTTATGCTGTGTTTTGGCCACAACTCCTGTCAATTACACAATAAACACACTAACATTTCCCAATGAGTAATGGTAACTCAAAGAGTGTAACATACAGTAGCTGAGCCTAATCCTCCATTTTGTCATCTAATCTGATAGCCAAATGACACATCCATTTGTCTCTAGCACAAACCAGTTGACAACCCCTTCTCAGGCTGATGTTACAGTCGGTTACCACATTTGTTGCACATTCAGTCCACTGAGACTGTATGGACTGAGAGGTCATGGTGGGAACGCCAGTGGGGCAAGACACTCTTGGAGGAAAGGTATTAAAAATCAAACATGAAGGGAACAGGGGGATGTGGGGAGGCAATACACAATAACCCAAGAAAAAAAAAGAATGGCAAGCTTTTCTGATCGCTCTACAACAGCAGAATCAAGCCTGAAATGAACAGACATTAAAAAGAAAAAAAAAAGGAAAGAAAATAAAAATGAAGCAACTTTAAGTTAACTGACGGTGCTCATTTTCAGAATATTAATCAACATAATCTTAAGATTACAAAAGGTGAAAAGTTTGTGAACCTCATGAAGTGAACTTTGATGCCATGATGTTATATTTGTCATGAGGTAAACCAGTGTGGGCGAGCATGCTCATTGGAGCTCCATAGGTCACAGCTAGCGAGCACCCCACCAGGGAGGTTTCAACGGCTTTCTCCCACTACTGAAGTAATCTACTCTGACTGCTGTATGTCTACTGTTAGTCTCCCTCCAATATGTTTACCCCAAGTTACGGAAGCCATATCCATGTCAAAATAAAAATGATTTTGGCATGAATGTGCTTCCAAACTGTGTTAGGTACAACAGCTAACAAAATGATGCAGCTGTTAAGAGTTCAATATCAGACTTGTTAGTTCTATAAGACCGTAACTAAGGCTAATTGCTACTGAACCTGAAAATGACTGAGGAACATCTTGAGGCAGTTCTGCGTTGACCCTCCTGAGGATTTAGATGGCAAGACTCACGCATTCAGTACAAACACATACAGTAACATATACAGTTCATACACAAACATCATATAGGGGTTTAAAGAGAGGGTGGGGTTGAGGGGCAACACATACATACTAAACTTTTTGAAGTACACACGTAGACACTCTCACACACATAACCAGACTAAACTGATATTTTACCTGACTGGCAGATAGTTGGCACATGATTGTTACTGCAGAAGTAAAATGACAAAATGTCTTATAATTCTCAGAACCACTCATAATAAAAAAAACATCATAATACAATCGCCATTCATTCTTAAAAACACCTCCTTGATGTCTTTTGAGATCTACTCAATCAAATAGGATGTTGAAGGAGACACTTAAATGATGAAGATTTCAGCTAATAATCAAATAAACCTCAGATCTCATGCATATCTTGGAGAACAACACAACCTCCCCTACCTCAGGAGAGGTGAAAGAAAGTAGGCACATGTGTAGCATGTGTTTTACACTGATATTCTTTCAAACACGTACTACATTATTATAAGGAGACAGACAAATAACTGTTAGTGTTAGTGGGCTGTATTTTCATTTCTGACTTAATAGCACCAAGTAAAAAAACTAAACAATTACAGACACAAAAAAGGGAACCATGCTACTAGGGAAGGCAAGTGATTTCAGAATCAGATCAGAAACGATTTGGCAGAATAGAAAAGCACCAGTACATCTAATAGCGTTCTGTTTGTTTTTAAAATCCTGTCTTCCCCTGAGATGTGTCTTGATGCTGCTTTGTGCCGTGACCTCTGTGACCCCTCTCCCAATAGTGTGACAAGTCTGTAAGCATGCTCACCCCTAAGGTTCCCCTACAGAAGTGAAGAAAGAAGAAGGCCTTAATGTCTTCAAGTATTAACACAACTAGGCCCTATAAAAAAGCCCTGGAACCCAAAATATAAGACAAAGAAGAGCAGTTATGGTTAGTTCGCATGTTGCCCCCACAAATATATAATATATATTTATATGTATATAAATAAAAATTCAGTGCTGTAAAAACATCTCCAACTCCATAGGATCTGACCCATCGTAGAAGGCCTATAGCATTTTACTATTTTTCTCATGACTAAAAGCTACTGCTGGGAGTATGTAAACTGTACTGGATCTCCTGTGTCCTTCATTGAGAATACATTTACATTTACATCATTTAGCAGACGCACTTATCCAGAGCAACACTAAGGAAGTGAAGACTTGTTAATATCAATATTTTGTCACTTTTGGGGGGAGGGGGTTTAATGCACACAGAGAAAAATATCATTTTGTGTAGCTTTGTTTTTGGTAGCAGCAAAGCACCAAGTTTTTTTCAAACTGACTGTATGTATGTCTGTATGCATGTGTGTAAGTCTCTCTGTGAGTCTGATTGTATCTTGTCTCCATAGTCTCTGTGTGTGTGTGTGTGTGTGTGTGTGTGTGGGGGGGGGGGCTGCTATAGGTCTATGAGGAGCAGCGCCCCACGTTGATGCCATTCTCTGCGGCAGCCTGTAGCTCGATGGGTCTAGCTGGCTGCTCTCCCGGCCGGGCGTTCATCAGAGACAGGTTCCTCACACAGCCTGTGAGCCCCGAGGAGAACTTCCCTCCCGTCATCGCAGATATGTCTGGGGCTCCCCCTGTAACAAACAAACAGACACACACACACACACACACACACACACACACTCAGTGCATGTTCTTAGAGAAGACACGATATCACCTCTGTCAGTCAGTCATTTCCCTACAGATTTGGGACACTGTAAGTTTGTACACTTTAGACACTTTGAAAACAGGATATTTAAGGTACTGTATTTCTCTACTCTTTGGAGACTTTGAAATATAATACTTGACATTTTCCCAACAGGTCCCTAACAGGAAGGTGACGTACCCAGGTATACGTTGCCTTTGGTGTTCACCATGATGCTTTTGCCTTGTGATTGTCCTCGTTGAATGGCTCCTCCGTCTACCTGAATATATCCCTGTTTACCAGTTCTGATCACACACACACACAGAAAACTTCCCTTACTCGTATGATCAAGACACTTTGTCACAAAGCACAAGACACTTCGCCACAAAGCACAGAGAGAGTACATTCATTGAGAAAATACACCACTACCAAAAATCAATTCAAAATAGATCTATCAGTGACATTAGATATTCATTATAAATCCATTTTTAAAGACACTGTATGAAAACACAAGATGAAGAAGACGTGAAAAATAAAAAGTAAAAAATACAGTCCCTCCAAGATATTTTGTGATATTTGCGAGCAAAAATGCTTGATTTTGCTGAAGCAATTTTGAGATTTTGCATGGCAATATTTGTCGCGAAAATGTGCTGACAAGGGAAACCGTTTGTTGACGTCTGGCTTGACTGAACCATATTATGCGGTAAATGTGCGGTGATTGGTTGAAATTGTGAGCCTCCTTTTTGTACTGTGGTGATGGCTCAGTTTAATACGATAATATTGCGATGATTTCACTGTTTTAAGCGGAAATAGTGCGGTGATTGGTCAAATATGCAAGCCCAAATATGCAAGGGAATTGATTTAACAAAGAAAATTGCGATCGCAGAATGGTGGAATCATGGAGGGACTGATAATAGGAGGTGTATCAGAACATGAGAGTGGAAGGTCATGAATTGCACAGTACCTCACAGCAGTGACCTTGTGCCACCTGCCATCATTGATGGGCTTTCTGGACTGTATCTGAGACTCTCCACTGCCCAGCTGGTAGCTGTGGACAGACAGGGAACATGCAACAGTAGCATTACTACTACAGTAGGACTACATAGAGGAGAATGATCACCTATGTGCTTATTTAGGACTGGTGCAAACAATACTTTACCAATTAGTTATATATGACCCGTAAGCATGGCATATTCCTTAGGAAACCACAATAATCAAAAAGAAAAACAGTCATGACAGTGATGCTTTCTTACCTGAAGACTAAGTGTCCATTTTGCAGACCAAGACTTATAAAGTCTTTGCCCTTGCCTTGATCTCCAAGTTCCTGGAAATAAAGTTGTTTAGGTGACACATTATAGGAAAGTAATGACAGACAAAAAAATATCATATATCATATATATATATGGATCATATTTTAAAACCATAATGGATTTTTTCATATACTAAGTGTACATGTTTTCTGTAAATAAGACTTGTGGAGTTGCCTGTATTGTATAAGATACATGCAAATATATTTGTATACCTATTCAAACTTTGATCACAAACCTGAATCAAGCTCCTTTTGGGAGTACAGTACAAACTAAGTTACATGCAACATAACAATAAGCATTGAAGCTGCCACAGCCATGGTGCATATTATAGTACATTGTTAAATGACTAAAATGTAAATGTAAATGTTAAAGATTGATTGATTGAATTGATTAGATAACTAAAAGTAGTAGGCTGCTCCAGCCGGAGACAACAATATATATAGATCCAAGTAGCCTTATCCAGATTGTTGTACATTTCAAAACATGTAGTCCATAGTAGTGTAAGACTGTCAAATTATCTCACAATACATCTATACATGAAGTACATCACAGGAGGCTGCTGAAGGGAGGACGGCTCATAATAATGGCTGGAATGATATCAAACACATGGAAGCCATGTGTTTGATGAGTTTGATTATCATGCCATTTATTCCATTCCAGCCATTACTTTGAGCCCGTCCTCCCCAATTAAGGTGCCACCAACCTCCTGTGAAGTACATATCCTGAAATATACCATATTTACCAGGTGTTTTGGTGAGGTGGATACCTTTTTACTAGCATGCATCTTGCGGAAATGGCTAGCGCCATTAAAGGGTTCCTGGGGAAGATGGCAGGGGGGTCGGGTTAGAGAGGCAAAGCAGCAACCAGGCAACATGCAGTGCAGTCAAACAAAACAGTGCTGTCAAAACCATGACAAACCATGCCTGGACCTGGAACTGTGACATGGCTCGCTCAGAGCCAACATGCCAAACCAACAGCCAGTCTGTAAGTTGCATCAATCTCAATGCAATGAGTAAGGAGTGAGCTGTGAGAGCCAAACATTATTAATAACCAAACAGAAAAGAGCAGTTGAATGTCAGCGAACCTCTTTGAGTCTTAGAAAAGCTTTATAAATATCCAATGTATTATTACTGACAGTGAGTGTAAAAGGTAGGTAATGCTGTATAGGTGGGTTATTGGTAAATACGTGATTAGATAGTAAGGATGATAAGGAGTGCTGAGTAATGCCCCGGTGACTAGGTTATTATTAGTAATACGGTGACTAGGTTAGGACATACCACTCCCTGCCACAGGATCAGGCCCTCTTTGGAGGAGGTGTTGACCTTGAGCTCCATCTCGATGGTCTCTGGAGCATCAGGGCCGCTGCAACACACACACACACACACACACACACACACAGAGAGAGATAGAGAGCGAGAGAGAGAGAGAGAGAGAGAGAGAGAGAGAGAGAGAGAGAGAGAGAGAGAGAGAGAGAGAGAGAGAGATAGAGAGAGAGAGAGAGAGAGAGAAAGAGATTTAAAACTACAAAGACCACGTCAATGCCTCACTACAATAGTGACAATTTTAGAGAAGGAAACTGATACAGCTTAAAGAAAGTTGCTGCTTTCCCCACTTAGGAAACTCTGGCTCACCTTCTGGGGAAGATAGTCTTGGGAAGAGAAAGGTAACCGTTGTCATAGAATTGAGCAGCATACTCAATGGGGGCATCTATAAAAATAGAGTAGAAAACACAGCACTTCAGTTTCCTGTATGTTGCCATAGTGATCCTAAGTGTTAGAGCTCCCTCCGGTGGCAGCAGGGTGAATAGAACCGTCCAACTGGCTCAGTTAGAAACTACAGTAGTTACACAAGAGCGAAGAAAGACATGGAAAGAGGGGAAAAGACAAAGAGCATTTTCTTATCATTTGACTTTAGGAACAATATTTGTATTAATATTTCAAATAGCTCTATTTTTGACACGTATTCCTTAATACAGTATTTTATACCAATGTTGCAGATTGCAGATTCTGTATTGACAGACAAACTGTACAAAACTCCACAGTCAGATGACAGTCTCCATAGTACGTCATTCCTTACACACACTATGTTTGTTGAGTCTAAAGATACAGGTATCACAGTGCAGTGTAGACCCAGAAGATTGAGTACTCCATGCGTAGTTATCATCTTCAGGAGTTTCACACCCAAACAGCTTTCACATCATAATCCTTTCATAAAAATACTTTTAGTGGTTAGTAACTGACAACGAACATCCTTGTACCAATATGTAGAAAAATGCATTTCACATTCTCAGTTCCCAACGACAGCAGTAGTGGAGAAAAAAATAGTTGTTTCTGTTGTTGTTTTGGACAGGCAGTTCGGAAGACGGGAGACGGAACAGAAGTTCTTGTTGCAGTGAGTGGTTGGTTATTATGTCAGACTCGACAGGACGCTTGTTTAGGAGAGGAAAAAAGGGGAATTCTACATTTAAAACCTATACGGTATCTAAAACAAGACAAAGAAAAAGTGTCACAAGGCCAAAAGCTGCTGAGACACAACCGCAAGATGACGTAATATCCATCTGCATGCTACAGTACACTTAGCCTTTAACAACATAGAATTCCCCTCTCCCAACATGTCACAGATAGGAACCCCAGCCACCAGTTGAGTACAGTACAGACATGTGTAGTGTTGGTTTGGTAGTATAGTATACGTGTCGTGTAAGTGACTTGTTTCTCTGATTTGCTGAGTGTGTTAGGCTGGCGGCGGGGACCCGCGGGGACTCTTTGGGGCCCTCAGGTCGGTCGGTGGGGCCCCTGACGGTTAGTCACGGTTATGTCAGGCAGAACTGAAGGGAGGGATACTGTACCATTCCCCCCACTACCCTCCAAATTCCACAGGGCCTCGGCGAAGCTGGAGACCTGGCCTGTGTGTGTGGGATACAACCATGAGAGGCCTGGAGTAAGACACATTAGATCATGTGGCTTTGACACCCAACACTTCAGAGCACTGCTGGATCCTATAGACTAGCTGTCTGATGTTATGGTATGGAGGTTAGGGTGTGGAGAATCATCTTCATATGGGACCATTCCTTAGACGAGCGGTCTGGTTGAGGTCTAGCTAATGCAATGCCCTATGGGACAGAGATTGTTATTTACATTTTAGTCATTTAGCACTTATCCGTTATGTCTACTGGTAACTATTATCTCGGTCAAGATGATAAGGGCGTATTCTAAAGCGAACATATACACAGTGCTACTGTGAAGCGATTTCATGGTATCTCCACAGATATCTTTATCTCCTAGCTAATAAAGACACAGTGCTGCAAACAAAGTCCTCATTCACAATTATACCATACATCAGCTTTTATGGTAACAGGGTAATTCTTGGAGTAATTGGTAGAAAACTAAAATACAATATATTGCCACCAGTGAATACATTCTGAAGCGTTATAATTAGGTTCTAATGATTCCTTATCCAGATTCTCTATCCAGAATTGTTCCATTTGTTCTGCTGGTCTCCCTCATTCTCTATGATAACAAAGTTGCATCTCAAGATAATATAATAAATATAATATGCCATTTAGCAGACGCTTTTATCCAAAGCGACTTACAGTCATGCGTACATTTTTTACGTATGGGTGGTCCCGGGAATCGAACCCACTATGCTGACGTTGCCACTGCCAGTGCCATGCTCTACCAACGGAGCTACAGAGGACCACCAAGAGCCCTACAGAGGACCAAGATGTAGTGGAATGGTTGTGTTGTGTCCAGTGTATAGGAAGGTAAGAGAGCAGTACTCACTCTGCCCACAGATGGGGCCATTGAAGCCTATAGGACACACACACTGGCCATTCACACAGCTGCCTCCATTCTGGCACTGGTCACTGCTCTGACAGGTATCCTTCACCACCTCACAGCGCTCACCTGGAGAGGGCACAGAGACAGGGGTCAGTGGTCAGGGTTAGAGGGGTCAAAGTGGCATCAGGAGGACAGATACACACTGCAGTGACATTTTCTAAATAGTTAACCAATAGGACTATCTGCATTGACCCATCTTTGCACTAACTCTTGACTCATCACATATGCTGCTGCTACTGTTTATACTGTAAGTCGCTCTGGATAAGAGCATCTGTTAAATTACTAAAATGTAAATGTAAATGTATTATCTATCCTGTTGCCTAGTCACTTTATCCCTACCTATATGTACAGTGGGGAAAAAAAGTATTTAGTCAGCCACCAATTGTGCAAGTTCTCCCACTTAAAAAGATGAGAGAGGCCTGTAATTTTCATCATAGGTACACGTCAACTATGACAGACAAATTGAGGAAAAAAATTCCAGAAAATCCCATTGTAGGATTTTTAATGAATTTATTTGCAAATTATGGTGGAAAATAAGTATTTGGTCACCTACAAACAAGCAAGATTTCTGGCTCTCACAGACCTGTAACTTCTTCTTTAAGAGGCTCCTCTGTCCTCCACTCGTTACCTGTATTAATGGCACCTGTTTGAACTTGTTATCAGTATAAAATACACCTGTCCACAACCTCAAACAGTCACACTCCAAACTTCACAATGGCCAAGACCAAAGAGCTGTCAAAGGACACCAAAAACAAAATTGTAGACCTGCACCAGGCTGGGAAGACTGAATCTGCAATAGGTAAGCAGCTTGGTTTGAAGAAATCAACTGTGGGAGCAATTATTAGGAAATGGAAGACATACAAGACCACTGATAATCTCCCTCGATCTGGGGCTCCACGCAAGATCTCACCCCATGGGGTCAAAATGATCACAAGATCGGTGAGCAAAAATCCCAGAACCACACGGGGGGACCTAGTGAATGACCTGCAGAGAGCTGGGACCAAAGTAACAAAGCCAACCATCAGTAACACACTACGCCGCCAGGGACTCAAATCCTGCAGTGCGAGACGTGTCCCCCTGCTTAAGCCAGTACATGTCCAGGCCCGTCTGAAGTGCATTTGGATGATCCAGAAGAGGATTGGGAGAATGTCATATGGTCAGATGAAACCAAAATATAACTTTTTGGTAAAAACTCAACTCGTCATGTTTGGAGGACAAAGAATGCTGAGTTGCATCCAAAGAACACCATACCTACTGTGAAGCATGGGGTTGGAAACATCCTGGGGCTGTTTTCTGCAAAGGGACCAGGACGACTGATCCGTGTAAAGGAAAGAATGAATGGGGCCATGTATCGTGAGATTTTGAGTGAAACACTCCTTCCATCAGCAAGGGCATTGAAGATGAAACGTGGCTGGGTCTTTCAGCATGACAATGATCCCAAACACACCGCCCAGGCAACGAAGGAGTGGCTTCGTAAGAAGCATTTCACGGTCCTGGAGTGGCCTAGCCAGTCTCCAGATCTCAACCCCATAGAAAATCTTTGGAGGGAGTTGAAAGTCTGTGTTGCCCAGCGACAGCCCCAAAACATCACTGCTCTAGAGGAGATCTGCATGGAGGAATGGGCCAAAATACCAGCAACAGTGTGTGAAAACCTTGTGAAGACTTACAGAAAACGTTTGACCTGTGTCATTGCCAACAAAGGGTATATAACAAAGTATTGAGAAACTTTTGTTATTGACCAAATACTTATTTTCCACCATCATATGCCAATAAATTCATTAAAAATCCTACAATGTGATTTTCTGGAAAATGTTTTCTCATTTTGTCTGTCATAGTTGACGTGTACCTATGATGAGAATTACAGGCCTCTCTCATCTTTTTAAGTGGGAGAACTTGCACAATTGGTGGCTGACTAAATACTTTTTTTCCCCACTGTACATACACTATACATACAAAAGTATGTGGACACCCCTTCAAATTAGTGGATTTTGCTATTTCAGCCACACCCGTTGCTGACAGGTGTATAAAATCGAGCACACAGCCATGCAATCTCCATAGACAAACATTGGCAGTAGAATCAAACATTGGCAGTAGAATGGCCCGTACTGAAGAGCTCAGTGACTTTCAACGTGGCACCGTCATAGGATGCCACCTTTCCAACAAGTCAGTTAGTCAGATTTCTGCCCTGCTAGAGCTGCCCCGGTCAACGGTAAGTGCTGTTATTGTGAAGTGGAAACATCTAGGAGCAACAACGTCTCAGCCGCGAAGTGGTAGGCCACACAAGCTCACAGAACGGGACCGCCGAGTGCTGAAGCGCGTAAAAATCGTCTGTCCTTGGCTGCAACACTCACTACCGAGTTCCGAACTGCCTCTGGAAGCAACTGTTTGTCGAGAGCTTCATGAAATGGGTTTCCATGGCCGAGCAGCTGCACACAAGCCTAAGATCACCATGCACAATGCCAAGCGTCGGCTGGAGTGGTGTAAAGCTCGATGCCATTGGACTCTGGAGCAGTGGAAACGCGTTCTCTGGAGTGATGAATCATGTTTCACCATCTGGCAGTTTGACAGACGAATCTGGGTTTGGCGGATGCCAGGAGAACACTACCTGCCCCAATGTACAGTGCCAACTGTAAAGTTTGGTGGAGGAGGAATAATGGTCTGGTGGTGTTTTTCATGGTTTGGGCTAGGCCCCTTAGATCCAGTGAAGGGAAATCTTAACGCTACAGCATACAATGACATTCTATACGATTCTGTGCTTCCAATTTTCTGGCAACAGTTCGGGGAAGGCCCTTTCCTGTTTCAGCATGACAATGCCCCTGTGCACAAAGCGAGGTCCATACAGAAATGGTTTGTCGGTATGGAAGAACTTGACTGGCCTGCACAGAGCACTGACCTCAACCCCATCGAACACCTTTGGGATGAATTGGAACGCCGACTGCGAGCCAGGCCTAATCGCCCAACATCAGTGTCCGACCTCACTAATGCTCTTGTGGCTGAATGGAAGCAAGTCCCCGCAGCAATGTTTCAAAATCTAGTGGAAAGCCTTCCTTGAAAATTGGAGGCTGTTATAGCAGCAAAGGGGAGACCAACTCCATATTAATGCCCATGATTTTGGAACGAGATGTTCGACAAGCAGGTGTCCACATACTTTTGGTAATGTAGTGTATCTACCTCAATTACCTCGTACCCCTGCACATCGACTAGGTACTGGTACCCCGTGTATATAGCCAAGTTATCGTTACTCATTGTGTATTTATTTCTCGTGTTATTATCTTTCTATTATTTATTTTATTTTATCTCTGCATTGTTGGGAAGGGCCTGTAAGTAAGCATTTCACTGCTAGTCTACACATGTTCACAAAGCATGTGACGAATACAATTTAATTTGATGATTACATTTTTGATTTGGTAAATATTATTTTCAGAATAGGTTAGCATAGGGTTATTGAATGCCAATTCTTAAATCAATCTATGGCATATAGCTCTAACCAAACTGAAATGCCATAGATTGTAAGTCATTTAACATTTACAATGGACTCACCCTCGAAGCCATCCTTGCAGAGACACTGGTACTCATATTCAGCGCTGGGCATGCATCTGGCCCCGTTCAGACAGGGGTTGCGGTCACAGGGACTGTTGTCCTTACACTGGACGATGGCCATGCTGTCTGTGAAGCTGTAGGACAGGTCCACCTTCTTACCATTGATGGACACCTGGACAAGGGACAATAAACATGGTAGAGGTTAAAGGTCCAATCAAGTCAAATGATCAGGGAAAATAAGACATTTGTCATATTTGTTTTCCACCACTATTGTACACAGATATTCTGTGACTGTTCTGTATCTGGATATCCGACGTGACATTGTGGAGGTACTAAGGTGATTATAAACATGACATAAGTGGTTATGAATGGTAATAGAGGGAATCATGAATCATCACGTCTCTCACTCTCCCTCTGTGTGTGTGTGTGTGTTGAGCTCACCTCTCCTATGCATCCAACAAACAGATCACTGATATTAAGGGCCTTGGGTACGATCTCCATGTTGGGGACTCCTCCCAGGTACATGGGGGTGTGGATGTTCAGGCCCTGGGCCTTGCCTGGCGACGACCTCCTGACCTCCCGACCACCGTCAACCGTCAGAGAGCCATCCTTGTCGAGGCGCCCGGCTTCCATGCGGTGCCACTGGCCAAGGGTGACCGGCTCAGGACTGCGCAGGACAGCTTGGCCTGGAAACAAAGACAGTAGTAGCATGGTTTCCACTACGGCACTATGTCTGAGCGCGTCAGTGCTTGCTAGTGGCTTGCTAATTTCCTTTCCACTGTTTTGTGGGTGCCTGAGAGGTGCTTCGTGTGAAAACTAGGCCAATGAAACAGCGGAGATACTTAAACCCTAGACAACAGATTCCCTGATCGTATCGGTCAACAGAGTTACAGTGTTTGGAGACTCGATCTATAAGTTAAGATTCAAGAATCTATGGCACAACCATAACAAGCTTAAGGTAACAGTCGGAGAGGATACACCAGGTTGAGTAGCTATCACAATACACACGTAACATAGTAGTATACTATAGATATTATTATACTATATCTTTATGCTCTCACCAGTCCCCAGTTCATAGCGGAACTGCACGTATCCGTCTACCATCTCCAGGGAGACAAAGTCCTCTGTCTTCATCTTCTTGCCCACGCTGAAGAACATCAGGCCGTCCTGGTCCATGGGTTTGAACTCCATCTCGATGCGCAGGTCGTTGTGGATGTTGGTCAGGGCAGGGTACTCAATGTACGAGTCCAAACCATCAAACAGGGGAGTAGTCACCAATTCACCTAGAGGAAACAAACATCAACAAGATGTTAAGATAAAAATGCCACAAAAAAACAAGATGTTGAGATATTATGTGACCAAAATGCCTAAAAACAAACAAACAAGATATTGAGAGAATTTCTATTATATCTAGTAAGGTGTGATTATGCCTCAATGGCAATACAGGAAAGTGGGCATTGCTCAGGAAGAAAACCTGTTTCCCTTACCATCCATGCACTTGTTTCCAGACTTGCCCAGGTGGCATCGGCAGTCGTAGCCCAGGGTGTTCTGACGGTTGATGCAGGTGGCGTCCGGTCCACAAGCCTCTGGGTGGCAGTGCAGGGAGGAGTGGTGCTGGCAGTTACTCCCTGTGAATCCTCTGGGACAGCTACACTTGTACAGACTGGCCTCAGAGTCCTGGCACACCCCTCCATTCTGAAACACAACACCACAATGAATGAATGCATGAATGTATTTCAAGTGGGGTCTGAGGACGTGGTTGTCAGCTGACCTGACAGGGGCGGTCAGTGCAGATGGGACAGTTGGACACGCCCGTGGAGCTGCGGTCCAGATCCTTGAAGATGATCTCATCACCTTGGATGACCAGCTTACGGATGCACCCTGGATAGAACCAAGAACAAAAACCAATGGGAACATTCCAAAACAGTGATCAGCAAAGTATTGTTTACTGTTAAGAAATAACCAACTACAAAACAAACAAAGAATGTATGTTATAAATGTATCTACTGTTCCCTGAAGTATGGGACATTTGTGTTGTACCAGGTGTTCTGGTTGAAAGTGATCTCTTACCGACAAAGCCGGTCTTGAGGCCAGCGGTCTTGGCCAGGAGGGTGTAGTTGGGGTAACCACCCACATACAACTCCTCGTTCAGATCCAGCCCCTGGAACTTGCCCTTTGATACAAGACAGGAAACAGTGTTCATGGATTAATCTCCTGGATATGTACTTTATATGAATTCAACAGTCTATAACTGGCTATATGAAACTACCTGGGTGCTTCTGTTGGATATTCTCTTCGTACGAATGACATTGTTCAACAGTCTCAGGATCTAAACAATTTGAGTGGGACTACCTGTGAGCTCCCATTGACAGGGGCCTCTCTGTCCACTATGATGGAGCCCTGGGTCTGGTTGCGGTAGAGCTCTATGGTGTGGAACTCTCCCAGTTTGATGGGGGTGGGGTAGCGGATGGTGGCCATGCCAGAACCCACGTCAAACCTGGCAGGAGAAAACAGTTCAGGTTAGAGTTATCGCTGCCATTGTCGTTTTGCCATCATGATTGTGATCCATCATCATCAGCTAATGTTGACAGAGACTAATGACAGTTCAAGTTACCATTCATCAACAGCTTGTTTATTCTTACACATTGAGCTCATATAGTGTTCATATCGGTAGCCCTAATGCACCAGAATGACAGCCAGGTGCTCACCTGAACTCAGGCCTGCCTCCCACCAGCCCCAGAGAGATGAAGTCTGCTCCCATGGTCCTCTTCTGTCCATTATAGATGATCATACCTGGTGGACCAGTGGAGGTACAGTTAGCTTGGTACACACCCTCGCCCCCTGGAGCCAGTCAGAGACAAACAGTCCCCCTGGCACCAGGAGGAGAACTGAGGTCACTCAGTCCAAGAAGCTGCATGCTAGCTGGTTAAGGGCCAAGCTTGGGACAGTCAAAGCCAGGTTCTAGTATGTGCTGCCCTGGGGCATCGCTCTGCTCTGTATCAAACTGTCAGTATCTCTGCCTTCACACTGGCTGCATGCCAACGACACATGCTCTGCTAAACTCTGCCCAACCAGCACTGCAACCATCATCAGCAAGGTCAAAGCCAGGGCAGTCTAAAACCATGCCTCCTCCTCATAAACATATCCCTAACATCTATGGCTCTGAAAGGGAGAGGTTATAGCAAAGAGAGATTTCTTAAATGCGGCACAATTGTATTTTGTTGTTGGATAGTTCACTCTGTACAGCTTCCATGAGCTGGTATGGAAGTTGTTTTCAGAGTATGAGTGTCACCCATTGAAGCGGCCCACCTCACTGGTGGGGCTTACATACAGTACTGTCCAATCTCCATTATGAGGCCTATTCACTGTCTAGGCTAATAAGACATTCATTTTGCAATAATAAAGCTTGTCTTTAGAAGCAGCAGGGCAGTCTTGTAGGTAGAAGCTGATGCAGAGAGATGAAGTGGACTGTAATGGAATGACGAGCGGGAGGGTTGCCAATACAGCCATCATGCCTGAATGAGGACATAGGCCATTCTTCAATAGGCTTCTCTCTCACAGCCACCAGCTGTCCTCTACATTAGGATGCATTATGGTAAGGTAAAAGGTCAACATCACTGGTGGCTTTTCTGGCTTTTCAGCCCAAAAAGCATCACCTGCATCAGTCTTGAGTGTGTGAGCTCAAGCACTGCGACTCACCCGCATACAGTATGAGACCTTCACACCGCATGGGTGAGAAGAGAGGGAGTGTGTGGATGAACAGAAGAAGAGGGGGGTGAAATCATGTGAAAAAACATATGACACACAACAAAAAAACAAGGAAAGAGAATGTACTCAATGACACAAAGACATCATAACAGATGCAGTCAGGATCACTGTAGTCAGTGAAACTATCATAAAGCAAAAGATGCAAATCCACTGGTGCACATCATCTGTGCAGAGAAAGCTATTTTTCAGTACATAAGTCCTCACCATCAGGATTGTCTGGCCTGAAGCTGATCTTGATGCTGAAGGACTTATAGGCGTTCTTGATTGTGGGCAGAGTGAGATAGGACAGGGGCTCCTGGGTGAAATAGGGCATCACTCGATCTGTAGAGATAAAGGATAGAGAATCATAGATTTAGATACTGGCAATGTCGAAAGTTTCCCTCCGATTGAGCTTACCGCCTATGAACTAGAGATAGGGGACAGGGAATCATCGAGTTGGATACTGGCAATAATATGATATTCCCTTTCACAGTGTGTTTATATACAGCTGACTGACCATGGACTTTGAGGGTGGTTAAGGCCTCCACTTTGCCTTGCTTGTTGGAGGCAGTGCACACGTATGTCCCAGAATCCTCGTGGGTCACTTCGGGAACCGTCAAGGTGTTGACTACCTGTCTACACTTAGGAGGGAGTTCCCCATCCAGCTAGAGAGACAAGGACACAGAACATGTTACAAAGGGTCAAATCAGGATCCTGTTCACTAGGCACAAAGCAGATGAAAATGGTCAGAAACAGATAGGCACTATCTTTACTAGTTTGTTTTCCGTTGCACTGATAGGGTGTTGGCTACCTTGGACCATTTGATGGCAGGCACTGGGTATCCTGATGCCACACAGGGCAGGACAGCATCTGATCCCACTGTCACTTCATTCAGCTCTGGTAGAGCTGCGATCTGGGGTAGGGCTTTACAAACAAATATCCACCAATACATGATCAGAGGGGACAAGGGCTATAGGAGTGTATATGTGTGTTGTGTGTGTCTTTGTGTCTGTGTGTATGCGTGTCTGTGTGCAGGTGCGCGTGTGTTTGCAGACGTACAGGTCCAGTGCACTTCTCTTTCTACTCACATTGGACATGTAGGACCACCTGAGACTGCACAGAGCCCACGTCGTTGGTGGCAGTGCAGCGGTACTGTCCAGCGTCAGCCTCGGACACCTGTTCGATCTTCAGCATGTCTCCCTTCACCATGATGTGTGCCGGCAGTGGCCCTCCCACCCTGCTCCAGCGCACCGTGGGCTGGGGCTCGCCGATAGCCTGGCACTCAAACTCCACGGAGTTACCCAACATCACTGTCTGCACTGCGGTACGTACATTGATCATCACCTTAGGCAGGGCTGTGGATGGGAGAGGAGAGAGGGTCAATACCTGTCACGACCCGGTGCGAGAAACAGTCACTAATAATTGTCAGAACCCAGAAGATGAGGCAGACACAGCTGTACTAGAGATGGTGGTTTATAAAAGAACAAAATCTACAGGCAAAGAAGCTAAATCCACAATGTCCAAAAATAAAGCCAAGAGGCACAAAGAGGAAAACCTCCAAAAACAAAAGAAACTCCACAAAGTGGTAAAAAACAGCAGGGAAAAACAAACCTCAAAAGACTACTCAAACAAAACACAAGAACTAAACCAGAGAACCTCTGGAAAATCCCACCAGAGAAATATCTATATAAAACAAGGCATGGGCTGGGGCTGGGTGCTAACTTACAAACACTGAGCAAGGAACTGAGGAACACACAGGGTTTAAATACTAACAAGGGAATGACCTACAGGTGCAAACAATAATTAGAGCAAGAAAAACAAAAGGTACAAAAGGTGCAATGGGGACATCTAGTGACCAAAACCCGAACAGTCATGGCCAAAAACCTGACAGAATCCCCCTCCTAGGAACGGCTCCTGACGTTCCTACCAGCCTTCTCAGGGTGGAGGGCCCTGAACTGACGAATGAGGTCAGGGTCCAGTATGTCCTTGGCAGGAACCCAGGAGCGCTCCTCGGGACCGTAGCCTTCCCAGTCCACCAGATACTGCCAGGACCGCTGCACCCGGCGGGAATCCAGTATCCGGTGGACGGTATAAGCCGACTGACCACCGATGACACGGGGCGGAGGGGGAGGTCTGCCTGCCGGGATAAGGGGAGAAAAAACAACAGGTTTTAATAAAGAAATGTGAAATGTTGGATTGATCTTAAGTGATCTGGGTAAGTGCAGGCGAAAAGTAACGGGATTGACTCTCCTGGCAATCTTAAAGGGACCGATGAACCTCTGGGACAGCTTGCGAGACTCCACCCGTAGTGGTAGGTTCTTAGTTGAGAGCCATACTCTCTGGCCGGGGTACAGGGTAGGACCGGGACGGCGACCTCTGTTGGCTTGTCGTTGGTACTGCTGAGAGGAACGCAGAAGATTAAGACGTGCCTTCTTCCACGTAAGCCGACAGCGTCTGATGAACCTCGAGGCTGAAGGCACTCTGACTTCTGCCTCCTGGTCCGGGAACAATAGAGGCGCATAGCCAAACTGACACTCATGCGGGGACATACCAGTGGAGGAGGAGCACAAGGTGTTGTGCGCGTACTCGGCCCAAACAATGAAGGATGACCAAGTGGACGGGTTGTTGGAAACCATGCATCTGAGGGTGGTTTCCAGCTCCTGATTCATCCTCTCAGTTTGGCCATTGGACTCCGGATGGTACCCTGAAGATAAACTGGCCGTGGCCCCTATGAGTTGGCAGAAGGCCTTCCAAAACATTGAGGCGAACTGGGGACCTCTGTCGGAAACCATATCTTGCGGAATCCCAAAGACTCGGAACACATGGTTAATCACCAACTCAGCTGTTTCCTTGGCAGAAGGTAATTTGGTCAAAGGAACAAACCTGGCCGCCTTAGAAAACCTGTCGATGATGACTAGGATCGTAGTATTACCATGGGACGGAGGAAGGCCAGTAATAAAGTCCAACGAGATATGGGACCAGGGTCGGTGGGGAATAGATAGAGGGTGAAGGAGTCCTTGAGGGCGGAGGTGAGAAGATTTGCCCTGGCAGCACACGGAACAGGCCTTGACGAAAGTGGCAACGTCTTCTTTTATGGTGGGCCACCCGAACTTACGCTGGATGAACTCCAAGGTGCGGCCTACGCCCGGGTGACAGGTGAGGCGAGAGGAGTGCCCCCACCGAAGGACTTGGGACCTTGCTGCCTTGGGAACAAACAACCGATTAGCAGGACCTCCTCCAGGGCCCGGTTCGATGGCTTGAGCTTGTTTCACGGTATCCTCCACTTGCCACGAGATCGGAGCCACGATCTTAGCGGCCGGAAGGACAGTCATGTCAGTATCTTCTCGAATGGCAGGAGAGTAGATTCGTGACAAGGCGTCCGGTTTGAGATTCTTCGACCCGGGTCTATAGGTGAGGATAAACTGAAATCGGCTGAAGAAAAGAGACCATCGAGCTTGTCTGGCGTTCAACCGCTTCGCCTGCTGGATATACTCCAGATTCTTGTGGTCCGTAAGCACTTGAAACGGTTGAGAAGCCCCCTCGAGCCAGTGTCTCCATTCCTTCAATGCCATCTTAACCGCTAGGAGTTCACGATCCCCCACATCGTAATTCCTCTCGGCCGGGGTAAGCCGGTGAGAGAAGAAGGCGCAAGGATGAAGCTTCTTGTCTTCACCCCTCTGAGACAGGACAGCTCCAACCCCAACCTCTGATGCGTCTACCTCCACCACAAAAGGTTCATCCGCCGTTGGTAGTGTCAGGATGGGAGCAGAGAGGATGCGCTGCTTGAGTCCTTGGAAGGCCGTCTCAGCTTCTCTTCCCCACAGAAACCTTGTGTTGCCACCCTTGGTTACCGCCGAGAGAGGGGCTGCCACCGAGCTGAAGTTCTTGATGAACTTGCGGTAAAAGTTGGTGAAGCCCAGGAAACGCTGAACTTCCTTAACGGACTTGGGGGTGGGCCAATCCGCTACCGCCTCTACCTTCTTGGGGTCCATCTGGACTCGTCCGGGTTCCACTATAAATCCCAGGAATTGTACTCGAGAGGAATGGAATTCACACTTCTCCGGCTTAACGTACAAATGGCTGTCTAGGAGGCGTTTGAGCACTTGTCTGACATGCTTCGTGTGTTCTTGAAGGGAGCTCGAAAAGATGAGGATGTCATCCAAGTAAACAAACACAAAGATGTTAAGCATATCCCTAAGCACATCGTTTATGAGCGCTTGGAACACAGCCGGAGCGTTGGTCAGGCCGAAGGGCATCACCGAGTATTCGTAGTGACCAGTAGGCGTGTTGAAAGCGGTCTTCCACTCGTCCCCGGGTTTGATCCGCACAAGATGGTATGCGTTCCGCAGGTCAAGCTTAGTGAAGACAACTGCTTCCTGGAGCAGCTCAAAGGCTGTGGCCATAAGAGGTAGCGGGTAGCGGTTACGGACGGTTATGGCATTGAGTCCCCGGTAGTCGATGCAAGGTCGTAATCCACCGTCTTTCTTGGCCACAAAGAAAAACCCTGCTCCCGCCGGCGAGGTAGATGGACGCATGAGGCCTGCTGTCAGAGCGTCCTTGATGTAGGTATCCATAGCAGCTCGTTCGGGAGGGGAAAGGGAAAAGATCCGACCCCTGGGAGGGCAGGTCCCCGGCAACAGGTCGATGGTGCAATCGTAAGGTCTATGGGGTGGTAGTTTGGTGGCCCTCTGTTTGCTAAATACCAGTTTGAGGTCATGGTAACACTCGGGAACTCGGGACAAGTCGATGGATTCTAGAGACTCGGAAGGAGAACTCTGGGAACTCGGGAAGATACAAGTGGCTTGGCACGTAGGACCCCACTGCTTGATAGTGCCCACAGACCAGTCGATGTGAGGGTTATGGCTGTGAAGCCAGGGATAACCAAGGACGAGAGGAAACTCGGAACAGGAGATCAGATGAAAGTTCATCACTTCCTGGTGTTGGGAAACTGAAAGTCGTAAGGGGGTAGTGGCACGAGTGACAAGTCCAGATCCCAAAGGACTTCTATCCAACGTAGTAACCCTTATGGGGTCACTTAGAGGTTCAGAAGGAACGCCATTCTCCTTCGCCCAGATCCCATCCATGAAGTTACCTGCGGCTCCAGAGTCTACCAAGGCTTGAAGAGAAAACTCGTGGTCGTCCCAGGAGAGGGTAACTGGAATGAGCAGGCGGGAGTTGGATTGATGGGAGGAGGTTATGTTTCCCGTTACAGTCCTCCCAGGCCTGCACGGGAGAGTGCGTTTCCCTGGAGCCCGGGACACGTGGAGCGGAAATGGCCCGGTTTGCCGCAATATAGACAGCATCGCTCCCTCATCCGGCGGTCTCTCTCAGCCTGGGAGATGCGTCCAACCTGCATGGGTTCTGGTGGAGCCAGCGAGGATAAAGGTGGAGACTCGGAGCTGGAACCGATAGGAGCTGGGGTGAGCGGTCTATGGTTTTGTTCTCTCTCTCTCAGACGCTGGTCTATGCGTGAAGCCAACTTGATAAGGGACTCGAGGTTGTCCGGTGGTTCCCGAGTGGCCAGTTCATCTTGGATGGTGTCAGAAAGACCCTTCAAAAAACACACTGTGAGCGCCTCGTCGTTCCAGCCACTTGCTGCTGCCACAGTGCGGAACTGGATGGCATAGTCCGTCACGCTGCGCCGACCTTGGCGGAGAGTCAGGAGCTGTTTGGCTGAGTCAGGGCCGTTGGTAGGACCTTGAAACACTCGCTTGAATTCTTCAGCAAAGGTAGAGTAGCTGGCACAGCAGGGACTTTGGGCATCCCACACAGCAGTAGCCCAGGCTAGGGCCTTTTCCGACAGCAGGGTGATGATATATGCTATCTTGGACCGGTCGGTGGGAAACGACGATGGTTGCAGCTCAAAGGAGAGAGAACATTGGGTGAAAAACCCCTTACAAACACTCGGATCCCCTGAGAACCGTTGGGGAGGCGGCAGACGAGGTTCAGCCAGGGGATTAACTGCCAGGGGCCCTTGAATCGGATGAACTGGAGCAGAAGCGGTTGCCGGGGAAAGTCGATCCGAAATCTGCTTTATGGAAGTCAGCATCTCTGACAGAAGTTGAGAATGTCTAGCCATTAAGGCCTCTTGCTGAACCAGAGCAGCTTCGTGGCGTTGGACAGTCCCCTCATGGTGGGACAGCATGGAAAAAAGATCCTGGGTACTGGCTGCCTCTGGGTTCATAATAGTGGCTCAGTGTTTCTGTCACGACCCGGTGCGAGAAACAGTCACTAATAATTGTCAGAACCCAGAAGATGAGGCAGACACAGCTGTACTAGAGATGGTGGTTTATTAAAGAACAAAATCTTCAGGCAAAGAAGCTAAATCCACAATGTCCAAAAATAAAGCCAAGAGGCACAAAGAGGAAAACCTCCAAAAACAAAAGAAACTCCACAAAGTGGTAAAAAACAGCAGGGAAAAACAAACCTCAAAAGACTACTCAAACAAAACACAAGAACTAAACCAGAGAACCTCTGGAAAATCCCACCAGAGAAATATCTATATAAAACAAGGCATGGGCTGGGGCTGGGTGCTAACTTACAAACACTGAGCAAGGAACTGAGGAACACACAGGGTTTAAATACTAACAAGGGAATGACCTACAGGTGCAAACAATAATTAGAGCAAGAAAAACAAAAGGTACAAAAGGTGCAATGGGGACATCTAGTGACCAAAACCCGAACAGTCATGGCCAAAAACCTGACAATACCAACATTAAATTAATGCTGGAATGGATACATTTAGGGCAGGGCTGTCAAAATCATTTTGCCCCGCAGGCCGCATTCGGTCTTCACCAAGGTCCGGAGCGCTGCACTTAAAATTGGTTTAAATTTCCATGCCATCAAAATTAGCAAAACATAGTCCTCTATCCATCGCTTTTTACATTTTCGATGCTCCCTGATTGTCTGACATTCGTTTAAATGACTGTTAGCAAGCTGGACAGAGTGAAGAAACTATTGATGACTGTTAGCAAGCTGGACAGAGTGAAGAGACTATAAATGTAGGTCAATTTCTACACAGTTTCGATTTGGTTTTAGCCTAAAATAAACTCCCCTGCGGGCCAGAATGAATGAGCTTGTGTGCCGGATCCGGCTCGCGGGCTGTATGTTTGACTGTCACGACTTCGGCCGAGGCTGCCTCCCATCCTTGTTCGGGCAGGCTTCGGCGTTCGTCGTCACCGGCTTACTAACCACTGCCGCCCCAATCATCATCACATTTGTTTGTCTTGTCAATCACACACACCTGGTTCTAATCCCCTCATTAGTCCGTGTATAAGTGTTCCCTCTGCCCCCTTGTCCTTGTGGGTGATTGTTAGCTGTGAGAGTAGTGTAGCTCGGTAGAGCTACTCGTACATTTTGTGGCCAGGGTAGATTTTCCCCTGTGCCTATGTATTATGGGATATCCGTTACAGTGTATTTGCCAGGGATGAGTGTTTCCCCTGTGCCTGTTTCGTTGATCACTATTTGAGTGCATTTGTGTGTCAACGAAGGAATAAACTCTGTATTCGGTGATTACCCTCCTGCGCCTGACTCCTTTCATCACACTCATCACATTGACACCCCTGATTTAGGGGTTCATGATTTAGAACAGATCATTATTGCATAGAGCAGCTATACAAATTCTCCAGTGTTATAACTCAGGGTTGTGAGTCAAAACTTGTGTCAGTGTATCTCAGTGATTTTGTGGATGTTGGACAGACCTTGGATGGTGAGCTTGGCGGAGTCCTGGGCCTGGCCGTGAACACTGGTGGCTCTGCAGATGTAGATGCCCTCATTGCTCTGCTCCAGGTTCTCAATCCTACACAAAACACACAAATGTATCAGTGCAAGACAGACAACAAAAATGCACTTCCTGATTTCACCAAATGGGACATGATCCTGGATCATCATCTGTTTGATCCTGGATCATCATTTATTTGTGTTGATCCTGGATTGTATTTAAGTTGTGTTGATCCTGGATCATATTTAAGTTGTGTTGATCCTGGATCATCTTTAAGTTGTATTGATCCTGGATCATCTTTAAGTTGTTTTGATCATGGATCATCTTTATGTTGTATTGATCCTGGATCGTATTTAAGTTAGGTTGATCCTGGATCAACATTTACTTGTGTTAATCCTGGATCATCTTGAAGTTGTGTTGATCCTGGATCATCTTGAAGTTGTGTTGATCATGGATCATCTTTAAGTTGTGTTGATCATGGATAATCTTTAAGTTGTGTAGATCATGGATAATCTTTAAGTTGTGTTGATTCTGGATCGTATTTAAGTTGTGTTGATCACTATCTGTATTTTGACTGCCTGCTGTAAAGTGTCTCTCCTGGTGGGACTGACTCACCTCAGCACCCCATCTTTGATGTGATGGTTGGGGGGCAGGACTCCTCCCTCCTTCAGCCACTCCATGGTGGTCCCCAGGCCTCCTGCAGCAGAGCAGGTAAACTCTACAGCACTACCCCGGGCCTTTACCTCCACCTGAGGAGACACACGCACTGCCAGGGGCGCTACACATCCACACGCACGCATCCACACAAACACATTCTGTTTTGAGTTCACAGTCGCATGGCTTTTAGGTTTGCTCTTCATGAAGGTATTTCCCATTGCAAAGTAATTGAGCTGTCGGTCTCCATTTGGTTTGCAAAGTAAGAACAGACAAAGTTGTGACTGCGCACGGTACTTACATCTGACAGTGACTTTGGCATGTGCTTCGCTGGTGCCCACTTTGTTGGTGGCGACACACTTGTAGGTGCCAGCGTCCTCGGCTATGGCTAGGTTAATCTGGAGGTCTCCTCCCTGGACGTCGGCCCTGGTGGACAGACTGCCGTTCAGCTTGGTCCACTGGAAGAGCAGGGGGGGAGTACCATGGGCCAGGCACTGCAGCCGGATCACCTCGCCCACACGCACTGCCACGTCGTCGGGCAGGGAGGTGGCATAGGGAGGAGCTGCATCACCGAGACATGGAGGGTTAGAGAGTAGAGACAGGGAATGGTATTGAGACGTTAGGATGATTGGGACATGACATGATTTGTGATACATTTGATAGGACAATGTTACTCATGAGCAGAGCAAGGAATGGGCAGTGAAGACCAATATTCAGTCCCAATGGCCAAGCTATACATTTTTTAAAAACGTTTTAGTCATTTAGCAGACGCTCTTATCCAGAGCGACTTACATGAGCAATTAGGGTTAAGTGCCTTGCTCAAGGGCACATCGACAGATTTTTCACCTAGTCAGCTCGGGGATTAGAACCAGCAACCTTTCGGTTACTGGCACAACGCTCTTAACCACTAAGCTACCTGCCGCCCTATGTTTCATATACACTAGTGGACCAGTTCCTTATGATCTATTTTGTGTATAGATCTTTCAGTTTACTCGTGTTCATTTTTATACATAAGTGTATCCATATCTATCTCCATAGTGTTTCTGTACAGACTGGGAACTTGCTTTCAATGATGAAACCAATCTATCTCTCATGATTAGCTGGCCAGAGCAGCGTGCACAGATTTTGAGACTCACTCTCCACGTCCAGCATGATGGTGACTTCAGTGGTGCCCATGTTGTTGGTGGCGTTGCAGATGTACTCTCCAGAGTCTGCCCGGCCAACACTGGGCAGGACCAGGGTGTTGTCCACTACCTTATGTCTCCAGGGGAGAGGGGCACGCAGCTTAGACCACGTGATCTTAGGGGTAGGGAAGCCTGAAGAGTTGATTTTGAAAACACAATGAATATCACAGTGTGGGAAAAGGACTTGTACAGCCAATTATTTGTCATGCCAATTCTACGCTCTTAGCAAAGATGTGACTATGACATGCATTTCCTCTTAGCTCTCATTTGCATAATATAATTGTACTTAAAAGTATTCTCTGTACTAACAAGGATCAATACAATCAATACAACAAGTATTCTCTTCTCAGTTCTCTTTGCTATAGTACTCATTGGTATAATTTGGAAGTGGTTTAGTTACCGTGAGCATCACATCTCAGTGTGGCAGTCCGTCCCTCCACCACCACCATGAGGGGATCGGGCACAGAGGCACGGGGCGTGATGGGCACCTGGGCACCTCCCTCCACGATCACCTCCACCCTGGTCTCTGTGGTGTCCTTGTTGTTGCGGGCTGTGCACACGTAGGTACCACTGTCCTCTGGACGGGCCACTAGGACCTGGGGGAGGGGAACACCATTACTGGGTCTGTCCATCATATAATAAATAGATGAAGCCTAGTCTTAGACCAAGAAGCACTTTGAATTGAGAACCTAGGACTAAACTTAATCTGTGTTTAGGAAACCAGCCTTTACTCTTCCATGTACAGCACAAAAGCTCAGTAACAATGACTTGGAGGTTTCATCGGGAGTTGAGGATCAGGAACACAGATGCAGTATAGTACCTGCATGACAGCGTTGGATTCCATGGGCACAGGGCTGCTCAGCATGGTGTTGTGGGCGCTGTCCAGTCTGTGCCATGTGACAGAAGGGCGTGGCTCCCCGGAGGCCTGGCACTCCAGGTTAATGGGTTCACCCATCCTGACTCGCACGGGCCCCTGAGGGGTGACGGTCACTACAGGAGACTCTGGAAGGAAGGATGACTTCATCAGGACAAACAACCATTAGGTCATTCTGTTGCCAAGACAATTACTAAGGGGGTCCTAACAGAGAGCAGATGCTCAAAGTGAACCACATCAGAAACATCAACACCATATGTGTGTGTCTGTGTCTGTGTGCGTGCCATACCTCTGATGATCAGAGAGACGATACTCTGGGTGATTCCAAACAGGTTGGTAGCCACACAGTGGTAGGTGCCTTGGTTGCTAGGGCGGGCGTCAGTGATGGTGATGACAGTGCCGTAATGGCCAACCTTCACATTATCTACAGAATGAAAGGTTTCATGGGGAATCTTTTAGTCTATCAAGTACATCTCTGACAAGCAGCAACTTTGTGTGTTTGATTAAAAACATAGGTAATATGAAAGAAATGTAATTAGATACAGACTATATTATATTACTATATATTACTGTAGACCAGGACTGCCCAACCCTGTTCCTGGAGAGCTACCGTCCTGTAGGTTTTTGCTCCAACCCTAATCTAGCACACCTGATTCTAAAAATTAGCAGGTTGATAAGATGAATCAGGTTAGTAACACCTGGGGTTGGAGCAAAAACCTACAGGAGGAAGGCTCTCCAGGAACAGGGTTGGGCAACCCTGCTGTAGATATTGCAGGTGGTTTGCTTGTGTGGATAATGACATGCAGTGGTGTAAGGCCCTTAAGTATCTGTACTTTACTTTACTATTTATATTTTTGACAACTTTTACTTCATTACATTCCTAAAGAAAATAATACACTTTTTACTCCATACATTTTCCCTGACACCCAAAAGTACTCGTTATACAGTATTTTGAATGCTTAGCAGGACTGGAAAATAATCAAATTCACACACTTATCAAGAGAACATTCCTGGTCATCCCTACTGCCTCTGATCTGGCGGACTCACTAAACACACATGCTTCGTTTGTTAATTATGCCTGAGTGTTGTAGTGTGCCCCTGGCTATCCGTAAATTTAAAAAACATGAAAATTGCGCAGTCTGGTTTGCTTAATATGAAATTATTTATACTTTTACTTTTGATAGTTAAGTATATTTTCGCAATTACATTTACTTTTGATACTTATGTATATTTAAAAACAAATACTTTAATATTTTACTTAAGTAGTATTTTACTGGTTTTACTTGAATCATTTTATACTAAGGTATCTTTACTTTTACTCAAGTATGAAAATTGGGTACTTTTTCCACCACTGACTAAATGCCTCTCTGCAAAAGTAATATGGAATTGAACTGAATGGGAGGGGCCTCACCAGGAAGGGGCTGGTTGTTGGACAGTTTCCACTCCAGCCGTACGGGCTCTGCTCCACCGTTGACCCTGCACTTGAAGCTGGCTGACTCTCCCTGTCGCACCGCTGCACTGTGGGGCTCAATGGAGATGATGGGGGTCTGCAGACCTACTCCAGGAAACACACACCACCACAAACATTACAACAGGACAACATTTCCTCTACTCACTCCAGTTCACTTTGGTTCTAATCCTACAACATATACAAGACAGTGTACTGTAAGTACCAGATCATGATACTGTAGGTCTAGAGCCTCCATTGGAAGCATTATAATTTGGAAGCAAATACAGAACATGACAAACTAGAAACCCAGGAAGATTTGAACCAGGATGAGATCATGGCACAGTGTGGAATAGCAAAGCATACACTATGAGGTCACTTTAGGGAGGGTTGGAAAACAAACAACTGGAAAAGTACCACTGTACCTGACGAAAGGCCACTAAATAAAGTCCTCTAAAAACACAGATGTTCCTACTGTATATGCCTCTGACTGCGTCACTGTCATCCCCAGTGATATCAGTGGGGAGGATAGTTCCATTGTTAAGTCAGTGTATTGTCACAGAGAGAATGGCTTGGTGACTTACGAGAGGAGGTGGCGGTGACTGAGACAGAGACTGAGGCCTGACGGACAGGAGTACCAGGCCCTCCCTCCACAAGACAGATATACTTCCCAGAGTCATCTGGACCGGCAGAGAGGATACGCAGCTTGGTGCCCAGAACCTACACACGCACACGCACGAACACACACACACACACACACACACACACACACACACTACATATGAGTGACTATTCAGCTGAAATAAACAGAACAAATCTTTATGACATTAACAATGAGCTATTACTAGCTGTGTGTGTGTGTTTGTGTGTGTGTGTGTGTGTGTGTGTGTGTGTGTGTGTGTTTTCCAACCTGGTGATTGGCGGACAGGCGTCCACTATCCCTCCTCCAGGTGACAGCAGGTGGGGGGTTACCAGGGACAAAACAGTTGAGGTCCAGGCTCTGTCCCTCCTGGACCTCTGCTATGGAGGGCTGGATGGTGATGGCTGACGAGATGGTGTCTCCTCCTATTGCTACACAGCAACAACCGCAGGATACAGACATTTACTAAAGTGATAATACTGTCAACAGACAGCAGTACTCCTCTGGGGTAGGTTGACCTGGGTCGTGTTCAGTAAGGCGAAAACATTTTGAAACAGAATGAATCAGTACTATCTGAACTTGTCCAATATATAGTGCTGCACAGCATTTTAAAACGTGTACCGTACTGAAAATGACCCAAGCGCGACCTCTCACCTCTATTGACGGTGACCTCGATGTGAGCCTCTGAGGATCCGATGGAGTTGGTGCCCACACACAGGTAGGTGCCAGAGTCAGATGACTTGATGTTAGGGATTAGCAGGGTGCCAATGTCTGTACGCTTCATACGGGCCTAGAGAGGACACGGCAATGAGCAAGGAGAGGGATGAAGATTATGTCACAATGTCCTTAGACATGAAGGACTACTGTGGTATGAACTACATGACAATGTACACGACAGTGACAATGTCTCTACCCAAATCCAATACAAAAACATCATACATACACAGTAGATTAATTACCTTTGGACAAACACCTACTGTATAAACATTGGATTTCACAGACCACAAATTGTGCGAACAAGAGACATACTTGACATGATTTTTTTTATCAATGAGGCAATACCAACAAAATGACATAGCAGGTGGATCTTCAGCATATATATAACATTGTTATATGGTTTGTGCTTTATAACAATGTTTGTGTTATGATAATCATTAAAAAGGCTTTTCAGGTATTGCTGTGCTTTGCACGAAAGAAAACAAAAATAAAACCAGTTGGTTGGTTGTCGGGAATAGTAATGTTTAGTTGAATCAACATTACTATAATGATTTTACAGTTAAAAATCTTCATTTGACAACAAATAATGATCACTACTGAAATAGTTACCAATGACATACAGTAGATGTCTTTGACAGTAGTTAGTAGTACACTACAGCAGGTATAGTAGTATGTTTTGTAGTCCATAGTAGTATGTTTTGTAGTCCATAGTAGTATGTTTTGTAGTCCATAGTAGTATGTTTTGTAGTCCATAGTAGTATGTTTTGTAGTCCATAGTAGTATGTTTTGTAGTCCATAGTAGTATGTTTTTGGATACTTTTGTATACTTAAAATAATGGTTGTTGAGTTGTTGAAATGATTCAGTACAATGTTGACAGGACTGGGAAACTGTTAGGGAATTGAGATATTAGACATAGGGCTTTGAGCCAAAGGATATGTCACAAGCAATACAAAGCTTCTCTGTCATGTATGAAATCACTGGAAATGTATTACAGACGTTTACTAATACTTACAACCACTCACTACATCATCAACCCTATGCCTTCATTTCTAAATAAATCCCAATGATCAACCAAACACAATGGTAAGACAGTGGATCACTCTTTTCTAATGGGGAAATAATCAGCCTGTGTATGGTAATGTGAAATTGAGTCCCTAACCAACTACTTTACACTTTAACTATAATGGACAGCGGGGTGGACCTTACCACTATTTAAAACCTTATCAGCCTGTAAAATCGACCAGTGTTATATACAGTAGTACACCTAAAGATAATTTAAAGGGGTGTGTCTAGAGAGAGAATTTAAAGGGGTGTTTCTAGATGGAGAATTTAAAGGGGTGTGTCTAGGTTGAGAATTTAAAGGGGTGTGTCTGGGCTGGGCTGGGTGGATTACAGTATCTGGGAGGTGGTGGTAGCGTGGCATCCATCCGTGGACAAAGCTGCTTAGTTCCGGCCTAGTCAACCGTGAGGGCCAGGCTAAAGTGAGCAGAGGCCGAGGAGGGCCGGCTCAATGTGTGTCTGAACCCATTCACAAGTTTTCAAAGCAACCCATTTGCTAGAGCACACAGAATTTCTGCGTGGCCGCACGGCAGAGCCCGAGTCCCCCTGGGAAAAGCTGACACAACGCTGAAGCTCTCTGAGGCAGAACAAAGCCCCGGGCCTCGGGTGGCAGAGGAGACACCAGGTACGGAGGGACTAATCCAAAGGGCCTGGCAGGAGGAAACCATGTCCCAAATACCTAGCTATGCCCTGGGGCCTGGGCGTGTACATAGAGGAATAATAATAATAATAATAATAATAATAATAATAATAATAATAATAATAATAATAATAATAACAATAATAATAATGTGAACACAATGGTTTGTTTAGGAAAAAAATATGTCAGGGATGATATGATCATGTGGACAAATTTGAAAATGGAGGATGATGGATGGATGGAACACTTATAAGACAATAACAACAACTAAACCATGCATTAAGTAGACTAATGAATAGCGTCACACCCAGCTTGTTGATGCTGTTGTTGTTGTTATCTACCAGTTACACTGAACTACTATTTCTCATGGAGACTTTGTGAGAAGCTATTTGCTTGTCGTGAATTAAATGGTGGTTACAGTGTGTGATGATGAATCAAAGAAACGTTTGATCATGTGTTTAGTAGACAGTGTGTTGAAGCAAGGTCAGTAGAGAACAACAGGTGGGAAGTAAGAGACGAGACCGACAGACATAGAGACAGAGGACAGATGGACAGACCTGCAGCTCCTCAATACGTCTCTGTAACACATTGAGACTGTTGCTTTTAAACTGTTGGAAACCGTGAGAAGGAATGGCCTGAGCAAAACGTCAAGAAAAAAGGGTGGGAATAAAAAAAGGAAGAAGGAAACACAAGAAGGAAAAAACAATAACAATTTGTCAAAACACTGTACACCAGATTTCACTTTTTCACCAACACAACCCTTTCAATAGCATGGTGAGATACCATTACCAGATATTGTATACAATACATAATAGTTACTCTTAAGATCAGGATATATCCCAACCATATCCTGAGTCCCAGGCAGAAAGCATCAGGTAGAAAGGACCAGTGTTTACCTGCGGAGAGAGTTGTCCTCCCTGTTTCTTCCAGGTGAGTCCGGGACTGGGCGTGCCTCCAGCCCTGCAGTACAGCTTCAGAGTCTCCCCCTCATAGATGTCCACCCTCTGGGGGCTCACCTGCACGTGGGGCAGGCTCGCACCTGAAGCATTCAAACACACAAGAAGGAGACATGATATGACCAAATGAGTACCCAACAAGAGTGGTAAGACAATATGGGCCAGATTCAGTGTATTTTCAAGTAAAAATACCACCCTATGAACCTGTGACATTGGCCTGCTGTTGATGTTGAGACCCACTGTGTACGTAGGGCAGGGGTTCACAAACTTTTTTGCTTCCTGACCCAATAGAGGTGTCTTTTGAGTCGCAACCCACCATAAGTCAAAAAACATACACAGACCAAAGACAAAGTAAAAAGTAGATTAATAAAAACCTCTTCTTCAAAACATTGAACTGAATGTAGATTTGAGTATGGTCTTTTGTGACCAATTTTAAGAAATTGACTGTATAATTATGAAATTATTTGTGCAGGGTTTTTTCTGGATCAAAAAGGGGCTTAGGTGGTGAGCGTGGTGGCGCAGCAATGGGCTAAATTCTGTCTGGGCCCTGGGCAAGAACATTTGAGGCCCTCATCTTGGCAGCGTAGACAATTGAGCAGCTTTAAAGCCAATTTCCTGCAATTCTATACATTTGGCCATGGAGCTAAGAGACAATTTTGCAGTTTTAAGCTAATTTCCTGCAATTCTACACATTTTGACATGGCTAACTTTTATTTTGGTGATTGCAAGTTCTCAAAGATTCTAGGCTATTATAAAAAAATATATATATATTCTACATACTTTCTATTTGGTTTTAGTCATTTAAGTTTAAACTGTAAGCGTTGTTCTATCCCAAAATAGTATATTTTTATATAAACTCAGCAAAAAAAGAAACATCCCTTTTTCAGGACCCTGTCTTTCAAAGATAATTTGTAAAAATCCAAGCAACTTCACAGATCTTCATTGTAAAGGGTTTAAACACTGTTTCCCATGCGTGTTCAATGAACCATAAACTATTAATGAACATGCACCTGTGGAACGGTCTTTAAGACACTAACAGCTTACAGACGGTAGGCAATTAAGGTCACAGTTATGAAAATATATGACACTAAAGAGGCCTTTCTACTGACTCACACTTTCTACTGAAAAACACCAAAAGAAAGATGCCCAGGGTCCCTGCTCATCTGCGTGAACGTGCCTTAGGCATGCTGCAAGGAGGCATGAGGACTGCAGATGTGGCCAGGGCAATAAATTGCAATGTCCGTACTGTGAGACACCTAAGACAGCGCTACAGGGAGACTGATCATCCTCGCAGTGGCAGACCACGTGTAACAACACCTGCACAGGATCGGTACATCCGAACATCACACCTGCGGGACAGGTACAGGATGGCAACAACAACTGCCTGAGTTACATCAGGAACGCACAATCCCTCCATCAGTGCTCAGACTGTCCGCAATAGGCTGAGAGAGGCTGGACTGAGGGCTTGTAGGCCTGTTGTAAGGCAAGTCCTCACCAGACATCACCGACAACAACGTCGCCTATGGGCACAAACCCACCGTCGCTGGACCAGATAGGACTGGCAAAAAGTGCTCTTCACTGACGAGTCGCGGTTTTGTCTCACCAGGGGTGATGGTCGGATTCGCGTTAATCGTCGAAGGAATGAGAGTTACACCGAGGCCTGTACTCTGGAGTGGGATCGATTTGGAGGGCAGGGTCCGTCATGGTCTGGGGCGGTGTGTCACAGTATCATCAGACTGAGCTTGTTGTCATTGCAGGCAATCTCAACGCTGTGCGTTACAGGGAAGACATCCTCCTCCCTCATGTGGTACCCTTCCTGCAGGCTCATCCTGACATGACCCTCCAGCATGACAATGCCACCAGCCATACTGCTCGTTCTGTGCGTGATTTCCTGCAAGACAGGAATGTCAGTGTTCTGCCATGGCCAGCGAAGAGCCCGGATCTCAATCCCATTGAGCACGTCTGGGACCTGTTGGATCGGAGGGTGAGGGCTAGGGCCATTCCCCCCAGAAATGTCTGGGAACTTGCAGATGCCTTGGTTAGAAGAGTGGGGTAACATCTCACAGCAAGAACTGGCAAATCTGGTGCAGTCCATGAGGAGGAGATGCACCAGTACGTAATGCAGCTGGTGCCACACCAGATACTGACTGTTACTTTTGATTTTGACCCCCCCTTTGTTCAGGGACACATTATTCCATTTATGTTAGTCACATGTATGTGGAACTTGTTCAGTTTATGTCTCAGTTGTTGAATCTTGTTATGTTCATACAAATATTTACGCATGTTAAGTTTGCTGAAAATAAACGCAGTTGACAGTGAGAGGACGTTTCTTTTTTTGCTGAGTTTGTATACACTGAACAAAAATATAAATGCAACATGTAAAGTGTTGGTCCCATGTTTCATGAGCTGAAATAGACCATGTGTATCCACGCCAGCCCAGGACCTCCACATCCGGCTTCTTCACATGCGGGATGGTCTGAGACAAGCCACCCTGACAGCTGATGAAACTGTTGGTTTGCACAACCAAATAGTTTTTGCACAAATGTCAGAAATCGTCTCAGAGAAGCTCATCTGCGTGCTTGTCGTCCTCACCAGGTCTTGACCAGACTGCAGTTCGGTGTCGTAACCTACTTCAGTGGGCAAATGCTCACCTTCGATTGTCACTGGCACGCTGGAGCAGTGTGCTCTTCACGGATTAATCAGATGGCAGACCGTGTGTATGAAATGCTTGGGATGCTCTGGATCGACGTGTACGACAGCGTGTTCCAGTTCCTGCCATTATCCAGCAACTTTGCACAGCCATTGAAGAGGAGTGGGACAACATTCAACAGGCCACAATCAACAGCTTGATCAACTCTATGCGAAGGAGATGTGTCACGCTGCATGAGGCAAATAGTGGTCACACCAGATACTGACTGGTTTTCTGATCCACACCCCTACTTTTCTTTTTAAGGTATCTGTGACTAACAGATGCATATCTGTATTCCCAGTCGTGAAATCCATAGATTAGGGCCTAATGAATTTATTTCAACTGACTGATTTCCTTATATGAACTGTAACTCAGTAATATCTTTGAAATTGTTGCATGTTGCGTTTATATTTTTGTTCAGTGTATATACACTACCAGTCAAAGGTTTGGACACACCTACTCATTCAAGGGTTTTTCTTTATTTTTACAATTTTTTACATTGTAGAATAATAGTGAAGACATCAAAACTATGAAATAACACATATGGAATCGTGTAGTAACCAAAAAAGTGTTAAACAAATCAAAATATATTTTATATTTGAGATTCTTCAAATAGCCACCCTTTGCCTTGATGACAGCTTTGCACACTCTTGGCATTCTCTCAACCAGCTTCATGAGGTAGTCACCTGGAATGCATTTCAATTAACAGGTTTGCCTTGTTAAAAGTTAATTTGTGGAATGTATTTCCTTCTTAATGCGTTTGAGCCAATCAGTTGTGTTGTGACAAGGTAGGGGGGGGGGGGTGGGGGTATACAGAGGATAGCCCTATTTGGTAAAAGACCAAGTCCCTATTATGGCAAGAACAGCTCAAATAAGCAAAGAGAAACGACAGTCCATCATTACATTAAGACATGAAGGTCAGTCAATACAGAACATTTCAAGAACTTTGAAAGTTTCTTCAAGTGCAGTCGCAAAAACCATCAAGCGCTATGATGAAACTGGCTCTCATGAGGACCGCCACAGGAATGGAAGACCCAGAGTTACCTCTGCTGCAGAGGATAAGTTCATTAGAGTTACCAGCCTCAGAAATTGCAGCCAAAATAAATGCTTCACAGAGTTCAAGTCACAGACACATCTCAACATCAACTGTTCAGAGGGGACTGTGTGAATCAGGCCTTCATGGTCAAATTGCTGCAAATAAACCACTACTAAAGGACACCAATAAGAAGAACAGACCTGCTTGGGCCAAGAAACATGAGCAATGGACATTAGACTGGTGGAAATGTGTAATTTGGTCTGGAGTCTTTGTGAGACGCGGTGTGGGTGAACAGATTATCTCTGCATGTGTATTTCCCACCATAAAGCACAGAGGATGAGGTGTTATGGTGTGGGGATACTTTGCTGATGACACTGTCTGTGATTTATTTAGCATTCAAGGCACACTTAACCAGCATGGCTACCACAGCATTCTGCAGCGATACGCCATCCCATCTGGTTTGGGCTTAGTGGGACTATCATTTGTTTTTCAACAGGACAATGACCCAGCACACCTCCAGGCTGTGTACTGCTATTTTACCAAGAAGGAGAGTGATGGAGTGCTGCATCAGATGACCTGGCCTCCACAATCCCCCGACCTCAACCCAAATGAGATGGTTTGGGATGAGTCGGACGGGCAGAGTGAAGGAAAAGCAGCCAACAAGTGCTCAGCATATGTGGGAACTCCTTCAAGATTGTTGGAAAAGCATTCCAGGTGAAGCTGGTTGAGAGAATGCCAAGAGTGAGCAAAGCTGTCATCAAGGCAAAGGGTAGCTATTTGAAGAATCTCAAATATAAAATATATTTTGATTTGTTTAACACTTTTTTGGTTACTACATGATTCCATATGTGTTATTTCATAGTTATGATGTCTTCACTATTATTCTACAATGTAGAAAACATTAAAAATAAAGAAAAACCCTTGAATGAGTAGGTGTGTCCAAACTTTTGACTTGTACTTTTCTATTTATTTGCAATGCACAACAAATGTCATAACGCGACCCACCTGGAACCCTGCTGTGACCCACAAGAGGGTCCCGACCCACAGTTTGGGAACCACTGACGTAGAGGACAGCCCGTGCTGTGTGTTCTCCGTGGGTGTTGAGGGCCTTACAGATGTACTCCCCCCCATCCTCCCTCTCTACAGCAGGGATGGTCAGGACCCCTCCACGGACCACAGCGTTGGGGCTCATCCTGTTACCAGGACCTTTACCTAGAAACACATAAGATTTGAGTATATGTTCCCCTTTTGTCAGTAATGACATTATACAGTGTGAATAAACATTAAGAACACCTTCCTAATATTGAGGTGCCCCCCCTCCCTCCTTTTGCCCTCAGAACAGTGTTCTACAGGGATGCTGGCCCATGTTGACTCCAATGCTTCCCACGGTTGTGTCAAGTTGGCTGGATGTCCTTTGGGTGGTGGACCATTCTTGATACACATGGGAAACTGTTGAGCGTGAAAAGCCCAGCAGCATTGGAGTTCTTGACACAAACCAGTGCGCCTGGCACCTACTACCATACCTCGTACAAAGGCACTTAAATATTTTGTCTTGCCCATTCACCCTCTGAATGGCACACATCCACAATCCATGTCTCATTGACTAGCTCAAGGTTTAAAAATCTTTCTTTAACCTGTCTCCTCTCCTTCATCTACACTGACTGAAGTGGATTTAACATGTGGCATTAATAAGCGATCATAGATTTCACCTGGCCAGTCTATGTCATGGAAAGAGCAGGTGTTCTTAATGTTTCATACACTCAGTGTATACTTCCAAAAACTTCCAAGACTAAGCCAGCATAAACTGTATTGATAAAGAACAAGACAATACAGTTTGTGCTATACGTGTTCCACTGGCTATAGCCAGGCCTTCCTTACCTATCCATTCGATGGCAGGGGTAGGGTTGCCGGTCACAGTACAGTGGAACTCAGCATGGCCTCCTTGCTGGATGGTCAGGACAGGGGGATTGACGGTAGCCACTGGCTTGGACCCCTCGCCAGCTACAATAAGGCAGAGAACAGTTCAGCATGACTCAGTAATAGACAGCCCAGCCCCCAAAATACAGGGCATTAGTGTTCACAAAGGGCAGGAAATGGATTTTCTGCAGGAAGGGCCTTTTCTGTAGGAAGGAGCTTTTCTACAGGAAGGGGCTTTTCTACAGGAAGGGGCTTTTCTACAGGAAGGGGCTTTGTTTACAGTCAACACTTTACAGCTACTGCATGAGATGAGAAACTATGTCAGGGATTCGTGTCCTCTCGCTTGATCAACAAACACTTACCTCATCCTTTTGTATAATAAAAGGTAGCAATAAAGAATATATTCATGGCTACCAGACCAGAACTTGACAGCATCAAGTGACTTTAGTTCAGAGTACTTTTTGGCTGCAGTGAAGTTCAGTGAGGCTGGGTCCTGACTCACTCAGGCCAAGACTGTGTCTGTGTGCAAATGCTTATGATGGAAGACAGAGAGAGGGTGGCGGGACGAAGCCGGGTACATGGCCTATTTCCGTGCCCCTTGGCAGCCAGTGCCCTCTGTGCAGCCGATGCAGATGAGAGGTGGAAGGCTGGCCTTGGCAGGGCACACAGCTCTCTGTGCCAGCTTGGCTGGACACTGAGCCCCAGCCACATTCAATCCCATTTGATCCCAGGGCGTCAGAGCAAAAGAAAGCCCCGTTTCAGCAGCCAGGGAGGACAATCAGGCTATTTAAGCTCTGAGATAAGCCCTGGTCTGGGACTTACTGATCTGACAGAAACAGACACTAAAAGAAAGGCCAATATTTCATCATCTTTGTTTTCTAAGAGGATGGGCACTGACTGTGGTGAGCCTCAACAATGAGACATTGGCTCATGGAAACACTGGGGAACAAAGTATACAACGATATATAATAATGTTACAGAGGGATGATTGATGATGATTGGATCTTAGGGCTTGACTTTGATGAAGACTTATACAGTTGAGTGACCTGAGTGAACTTTGCAAAGTTCTCTAGTCTATTCTACAGATTTCTAAAACCTTTTCCAAACCTGCTGTTTACTAATAATATAACTTCTGTAAATGGGTGGTGAGGTGAAAACAGGTCATGTGTATTCTATCTAATTAAAACATTCACTGTAACAGTTAAAGGATGATGTCTGTAGTTAGCTTCCAGAGGGAGATGAGGTGAACAGTGAACATGATGAGAGGAATTCTCCACCTTCCAGTGAGCTAACAGCCATGATGGTGGATACGATGTGGTGTATTAGGCACAGCATGATGTTTGAAGCACAATATGAAAGCTATTTCAGACCAGTGTGGGACTGGCAAGCAGACTGCAGATGGGGAAAGTGTGGGTGGGGTATCCTCTGTATTGAGTGTTGATTGGAAGACAACAAGTTAAGTGCATCTACATAGAATGGGGAAATAAAAACATTCTAGAATGTCTTATTGAGTATGTAACTTTCTCTCTAAATACTTCAGATACTTGAGGTTACAGTGAGGGAAAAAAGTATTTGATCCCCTGATGATTCTGTACGTTTGCCCACTGACAAAGAAATTATCAGTCTATAATTTTAATGGTAGGTTTATTTGAACAGTGAGAGACAGAATAACAACAAAAAAATGTTATAAATTGATTTGCATTTTAATGAGGGAAATAAGTATTTGACACCTCTGCAAAACATGACTTAGTACTTGGTGGCAAAACCCTTGTTGGCAATCACAGAGGTCAGACATTTCTTGTAGTTGGCTACCAGGTTTGCACACATCTCAGGAGGGATTTTGTCCCACTCTTCTTTGCAGATCTTCTCCAAGTCATTAAGGTTTCGAGGCTGACGTTTGGCAACTCGAACCTTCAGCTCCCTCCACAGATTTTCTATGGGATTAAGGTCTGGAGACTGGCTAGGCCACTCCAGGACCTTAATGTGCTTCTTCTTGAGCCACTCCTTTGTTGCCTTGGCTGTGTGTTTTGGGTCATTGCCATGCTGGAATACCCATCCACGACCCATTTTCAATGCCCTGACTGAGGGAAGGAGGTTCTCACCCAGGATTTGACAGTACATGGCCCCGTCCATTGTCCCTTTGATGCAGTGAAGTTGTCCTGTCCCCTTAGCAGAAAAACACCCCCAAAGCATAATGTTTCCACCTCCGTGTTTGACGGTGGGGATGGTGTTCTTGGGGTCATAGGCAGCATTCCTCCTCCTTTAAACACGGCGAGTTGAGTTGATGCCAAAGACCTCCATTTTGGTCTCATCTGACCACAACACTTTCACCCAGTTCTCCTCTGAATCATTCAGATGTTCATTGGCAAACTTCAGACGGGCCTGTATATGTGCTTTCTTGAGCAGGGGGACCTTGCGGGCACTGCAGGATTTCAGTCCTTCACGGCGTAGTGTGTTACCAATTGTTTTCTTGGTGACTATGGTCCCAGCTGCCTTGAGATCATTGACAAGATCCTCCCGTGTAGTTCTGGGCTGATTCCTCACCGTTCTCATGATCATTGCAACTCCACGAGGTGAGATCTTGCATGGAGCCCCAGGCCGAGGGAGATTCACAGTTCTTTTGTGTTTCTTCCATTTGCGAATAATCGCACCAACTGTTGTCACCTTCTCACCAAGCTGCTTGGCGATGGTCTTGTAGCCCATTCCAGCCTTGTGTAGGTCTACAATCTAGTCCCTGACATCCTTGGAGAGCTCTTTGGTCTTGGCCATGGTGGAGAGTTTGGAATCTGATTGATTGATTGCTTCTGTGGACAGGTGTCTTTTATACAGGTAACAAACTGAGATTAGGAGCACTCCCTTTAAGAGTGTGCTCCTAATCTCAGCTCGTTACCTGTATAAAATACACCTGGGAGCCAGAAATCTTTCTGATTGAGAGTGGGTCAAATACTTATTTCCCTCATTAAAATGCAAATCAATTTATAACATTTTTGACATGCGTTTTTCTGGATGTTTTTGTTGTTATTCTGTCTCTCACTGTTCAAATAAACCTATCATTAAAATTATAGACTGATCATTTCTTTGTCAGTGGGCAAACGTACAAAATCAGCAAGGGATCAAATACTTTTTTCCCTCACTGTATAAGATAAAGATACAGATCTGATCTCAGTCAGATGACTGTACTAAAATGTGCAATACTTGTTGTTGTGGTACTCTGTAGCTCAGCTGGTAGAGCACGGCGCTTGTAACGCCAAGGTAGTGGGTTTAATCCCGGGACCACCCATACACAAAAATGCATGCACGCACGACTGTAAGTCGCTTTGGATAAAAGCGTCTGCTAAATGGCTTATTATTATTGTATACTAGTGTTGCATTAAAAATGTGAGCGTGAATTTTTGTGCAGATGGAAAACTTGAGGGGACCTGAGATTAAGTGCATGAGGAACTTTTTGGGTGAAAAGTAAAGTTGATAACTGGACATTCGAGAGGAGCTTCCCACATGAATGAGCATGCACCTGCACCAATGAACCCATACCTTACAAGCCAGACAAGGCCTAGTAGTGCTCATGTACAATCTATTATGTACTGTCATAACTAAAGTATATGATGTCAAGAGTATTATCAACATATATTATCATAAAGATAATATATGTAAACATATTATCATATGTTATCAAGAATATTGTCTGTTCAAAGACTTAACGTTTGAGGAGACGAAATGCAGAGCCAACTACGACTTCAATTAAGACCTTTGAAGATGCATTCTTGCCTATGATAGTCCAGTTAACCGTATAACCATGTAACCGTATAACCCTATAACCTTATGTGAAGTGTAAACTGTATGTAATCCCTGTGGTTGATTGTACATGGGCATTACCAGACCACCATTTCCATGCTGAGGACGGAAGTAGATGAATGCATGCGTGACCGAGAGATGTGGTGGAGGTGGAGAGGTGTGGCCATGCCATGCCATGCCCACTTACGCTTTCCTTGTCCTTCAAACATTTCATAGGCTGTGTAAAACATCGGAGTCTGTGAGGCCTCTGGAAATGGGGGAGGGAGGAGGAAGGGACAGGCAAACTGACAGGTGAGTCTCCAGGTCAACGGTGGAACACTGGCATTGGAATCATCATCCAATGCTCCTCCCACTGAGCCTGTGGCCCAATCAGTACCCAGAATACTGTGGTCCATCCAAGTACTGCCTGGTATTTCTTGTTCCAGTGATTTTCCAAAATGCACAAAACACAACAATACAACAGCCGAATGATCGGCAAGGAACATAACAAAACTTGAATGCAATAGGCACCAAATCCCCATCATGCATTTTAAGTATTCAAAGAGTTTCTCCAATTCAGGTTGAGAACTGAATGAGGAACAATAACTGGGTATTGGGGACACTAACCCCTTCAAAGAAAAAAACAACTTTTCGAGGATTGTCCATTTAGACACATGCAAATAAATCATCTTCTTCAGCCAGTACTACCCACGCAGACCAAGGAGTCAGAGGTATCCTTTTCATGATGGTCAGAGATGGTGCTATTGCATTCATAGTTTTATGTATTTACAATCATCACACACTTACCTTTGGATGAATTTAGGTGAGTAATTGTTTGATTTCTGAGACATTTCTGAGGTTCTGTGGATGTTAGTTAGGATATAAACCATTTCACCTTGGAGATTGTGTTATTGTGTTCATATTACATACAGGAAAGGAGAAAGGGGAAGTGGGATACCTAGTCAGTTGGACAACTGAATGCATTCGACCGAAACGTGTCTTCCTCTATGCTATATGAAACGAATTACTGCTATGAACTATGGTCATTTGCTGGTGTAACAGTGAATGTGTCTACTCAGAGAGAGAACCTGTGGATTCAAAATCAACTAGTTACAGGTATACTTCACAAACATGCATAGACCACATGGGACAAGAACACAACAAGGTATGGCAGAACACAAGACAACAAGCATAAAGATAATAGAGAGCCACATACAAAACATGCATGTTAGTAGTCATACAAGAAGTCATATCTGGTGCCTTGTACCCTGAGGGTGGTAATATCTTCTGTTCCATTGAAGTCTCACTCCACATGACTCGGTGTCATATCTTTGGTCTGTTATCATTACTTTAATCAACTTGATATTTTTCACAAACATTTTCACAGTTAAGACAAACAAAATACATTATGATATTTGTATAGTACATTAGTATCAGTTAGGTATTACAAAATCAATCAAAATCAGTACATAGCATACTGTACAGTAAAATGTCTTTGAATTAGCACCTTAGGTTATCTAGACAGATTCTGTCTCTATTGGCACACAAGTGAGATTTGAATTGGCACATTTCAGCTACCGAATCTATATTTATTTTAAAATGTTTGATGAGACACAGTTGAAACATACATAAATCAATGCACTGACAAAACATTTTGACAAACTTTGTATCTGTTGTCAAAATACATGTAAACTGTGTTTTTTATCATGCAAGTAAACGCACGAATACAGCCTAAAATCAAGTACTATCCAATCATCTTTCCCTATCTACAGTGAGGGAAAAAAGTATTTGATCCCCTGCTGATTTTGTACGTTTGCCCACTGACAAAGAAATGATCAGTCTATAATTTTAATAGTAGGTTTATTTGAACAGTGAGAGACAGAATAACAAAAACAAAAATTAGGGGTCAAATACTTATTTCCCTCATTAAAATGCAAATCAATGTATAACATTTTTGACATGCGTTTTTCTGGATTATTTTATTGTTATTCTGTCTCTCAATGTTCAAATAAACCTACCATTAAAATTATAGACTGATCATGTCTTTGTCAGTGGGTAAACGTACAAAATCAGCAGGGGATCAAATACTTTTTTCCCTCACTGTATGTATCTAGCTGTTTAGGTGAAATTTATCAAATTTGATTGTACAGTCAATATATACTATGCATGGTTAACATATTGGTATAAAAATATATATTATAAAAGAAATACAGTACTGGTCAAAAGTTTTAGTACACCTACTCATTCAAGGGTTTTTCTTTATTTGGACTATTTTATACATTGTAGAATAATAGTGAAGACATCAAAACTATGAAATAACACATGGAATCATGTAGTAACCAAAAAAGTGTTAAACAAATCAAAATATATTTTATATTTGAGATTCTTCAAATAGCCACCATTTGCCTTGATGACAGCTTTGCAAACTCTTGGCATTCTCTCAACCAGCTTCATGAGGTAGTCACCTGGAATGCATTTCAATTAACAGGTGTGCCTTGTTAAAAGTTAATTTGTGGAATGTCTTTCCTTCTTAATGCGTTTGAGCCAATCAGTTGTGTTGTGACAAGGTAGGGGGGGGGGGGTATACAGAAGATAGCCCTATTTGGTAAAAGACCAAGTCCCTATTATGGCAAGAACAGCTCAAATAAGCAAAGAGAAATGACAGTCCATCATTACATTAAGACATGAAGGTCAGTCAATACAGAACATTTCAAGAACTTTGAAGGTTTCTTCAAGTGCAGTCGCAAAAACCATCAAGCGCTATGAATAAACTGGCTCTCATGAGGACCGCCACAGGAATGGAAGACCCAGAGTTACCTCTGCTGCAGAGGATAAGTTCATTAGAGTTACCAGCCTCAGAAATTGCAGCCAAAATAAATGCTTCACAGAGTTCAAGTCACAGACACATCTCAACATCAACTGTTCAGAGGGGACTGTGTGAATCAGGCCTTCATGGTCGAATTGCTGCAAATAAACCACTACTAAAGGACACCAATAAGAAGAAGAGACCTGCTTGGGCCAAGAAACACAAGCAATGGACATCAGACCGGTGGAAATGTGTCCTTTGGTCTGGGGTCTAAATTTGAGATTTTTGGTTCCAACCACAGTGTCTTTGTGAGACGCAGTGTGGGTGAACGGAAGAACTCTGCATGTGTATTTCCCACCATAAAGCATGGAGGAGGAGGTGTTATGGTGTGGGGGTGTTTTGCTGGTGACACAGTCTGTGATTTATTTCAAATTCAAGGCACACTTAACCAGCATGGCTACCACAGCATTCTGCAGCGATACGCCATCCCATCTGGTTTGGGCTTAGTGGGACTATAATTTGTTTTTCAACAGGACAATGACCCAACACACCTCCAGGCTGTGTAAGGGCTATTTTACCAAGAAGAAGAGTGATGGAGTGCTGCATCAGATGACCTGGCCTCCACATTCCCGACCTCAACCAAATTGAGATGGTTTGGGATGAGTCAGACCACAGAGTGAAGGAAAAGTAGCCAACAAGTGCCCAGCATATGTGGGAACTCCTTCAAGATTGTTGGAAAATCATTCCAGGTGAAGCTGGTTGAGAGAATGCCAAGAGTGTGCAAAGCTGTCATCAAGGCAAAGGGTGGCTATTTTAAGAATCTTAAATATATTTTGATTTGTTTAACACTTTTTTGGTTACTACTTGATTCCATATGTGTTATTTCATAGTTTTGATGTCTTCACTATTCTTTTACAATGTAGAAAATAGTCAAAATAAAGAAAAACCCTTGAATGAGTAGGTGGTCTAAAACTGACCGGTAGTGTATGTGCCCTTGATTTATAAATGTTGAATAAAACCGCAACACAAATTAAATGCAACAAGTGTGACATACACAAGTAAGTTGTTTTGTGACAGCATCGAAATCAAAATAGTCTCAATAATCTTTCAAAAGTCAAATCTTCAACATTTTCTTGGAGTCAAATTTACACATACTGGATAGTATGATGCAAAACAAGAAGCCTTACTTACTATTGACAATGCAATGCCTTGACCCTCTTAATACTCAGATCCATATAACAGATAATGAAAGCAGCGATAGATAGATATACTACTAACCTAAAGTTTAAAGTTCAACCACAGGTTCTTTACCTGCTGCAAGTTTGATAGCACCATTTTCAACATTAACTTCATCAAAACAATCAGGAAAGTAACAAAGGATCTGGTTTTTATACAGTGTGTAATTGTTTTTTTCCTCTATGATCAACACATCACACTCGAGGGAGGATTGAGATTGGGATCGTGATGGGGCTTCAATATAGTACTGGAGTGATTGACTGAAGTCCTCTTCGAATGTCAGTCCCAGTCACTAGGCACCCATCTTGTCATCCATATACCTCATCAACCACTACAGCTCAAGGAGAAACCACCACCTTTCCAGTCAGGGTTGCAGACTTCAGGAAAGACACCGAATAACTAGCACACTGCTAGTAAGGAAATTGAAGTGGCACAAACTAGTGTACAAGTGGCTAAAAAGTTACCAAACCACCACCACCACCAAACCACGTGAACCCACAGTGAAGACAGTAACAGCTAAAGATCAGAGAGAAGATGTCACCGATGGCAACAGAGATCAAATTCAAAGGATTGATAAGTCATCACTGAGTATTAAACCAAGAAGCAACTTGAAAATGAATAAAATACATGCCACTGGACAAGACAGCCTTCTGTGGTAGATCCATTGGGGGTGATAAGACTACAGTTCATAGTAACTAAAACTACTTGAAACTCTTGAGTGGGCACTATCTTTGGGCTTTGGTAGCATTGAGGTCTATTGTGTGCTATGATGTCTTGGACAAACCACACACATAATGTATCTTAAAATGATGGACCTTTTGATTATTTTATCATTAGAATATCCACAAGCTGTATATTGCTCCTGGACCAGTAAAGATTGTCCACACAGTAAGAAGGTCAGGCCATTATTAGAAAGACAGAGGCACTAACATCAGACACAGGTAGCATAGAGAGAGATTGGAAGGGTTTAAAGTGAGAGAGGTTATCCGAGTTTAGGAAGTGCGGGGCTGGAATTAGGAGTGACAGGGGTTATGCTGTTTGCCAGAAGCTGGGGTGCAGACAGATAAACACATTCAACACAGTGCATGATATAGGGGGACAGAAGCAAAGCCAAAGGAAGGCGGGGCATGCACCATTCAAGGAGGGCTAAGGGGAGGAACTCAGAGAAATAGAGCTTGTAGGGTGGTATAAAGAGGCTGATGGCTAACAGCATGATGCGCCTGTCTAGGATCACGAACCTGGCACGTAGAGGACGGCAGTGCCCTCGTCCATGGCAAACATGTTGGAGCCTGTACACACGTAGATGCCAGCGTCCTCAGGCTGGACGTTCTGGATGGTCAGGATGCCGTTGAAGTCCATGGCTCTGTTAGGCAGCTTGCCATTACCCCGCTGGGTCCACACCAAGGTGTAGGCTGGAGACTGGGAGGGGAGGGAACAGATGGGTACAAGATGTGAAGTAAACACAAGTAAGAAAGAAAGCAATACAACAAGGTGGCCAATAAGAGGTGGACAATTGTGCTTATTGTGCAATAATAAGGTAAACAAAGGTGTTGTCAATTGTGACCCGTTTCAGGAAGCTAGGCATATGTCGCACATCACAAAGTATTTGAAATACTTTTTTTGTTTGTTGCAAAATGTGTTTTTGGGCAGAAATGCCTTCTAGAACATGTGAACGTTCATGTGCCTTAATAATATGGGCCCCGTGTAGCTCAGTTGGTAGAGCATGGCGCTTCCAACGCCAGGGTTGTGGGTTCGATTCCCTCTGGGGGCCAGTATGGAAAAAATAAATAATATATGCACTCACTAACTGTAAGTCGCTCTGGATAAGAGCGTCTGCTAAATGACTAAAATGTAAATGTAAACAACAAACTTGGATTCCATCTGTAAATATGAATACAACTGTTAAATTGCGAGCCTAGTTGTTTTAGCCACAGAAAAAGACAGGAACCTTCCCGCTAGCCATGATTGGCTGAGATAATGGATGGATTGGACATGCCGGGAGATGAGTTAGGATTGGTCTGCCATGTAGAATGCTTCTGTCTATAACGTGAGCTGCTCAGTGTGTGTTGATAGTCCTTTCTACCGCTGCGTTTTTGAAAGATATAACGTTAGCCACCGAGATCTACAAAAGTTGTTCTACTTTTCTCAAGAACATTGATGCCCTGAATTTAGCAGGTGCTATCGACAGATCAGTTGGAAAAAGTTGTGATGGGCTACTTTCTGCACACGCCACAGTCAGTGTGAACCGGAGTGACTTGACACATTGGCCAAACATGATGTAGCTACAAACAAAACTGAGTTAAATGGTTCCAGTCTGCCGTGAAGCGTTCATCCATGTATACGGGTAAGAGTCTAGCTACATTTTCAGATATTATACTTTTATACTATTATACTTCGGCCTGATTATTACATGACCCATCAAATTAGCCAGGTGTGTCTGTGGGTGATTACGGCCATCTATTGTATTTCATGAACATGTGTACATGTCTAGACAAAAGTGACCATCCACTTAGCTAGATGTGGCTGGGGGGTGGTTATAGCATTTATTTCACATGACCCGTCAATTTAGACAAGTGTGTCAGGTAAGCGTCATCTAATAATTATAAAATATTTATAAATTATTTTTATCTGGACACTTTCTGTTTTTGATATTGTTACTATGCAAGTATTTCACTGTACTGTTTACACTTTCTGTATCCTGTGCATGTGACAAATAAACTTGATATAGTGTGCGTTTACCAGAGATGGTAATGTGAAGAACAACATGACCTGCACCAAAGTCAGATTAGGATATAGGCCAAGGACTAGATAAAGTATTTTTATCTGCAGGTTTTCCTTATTGTAGGCTACTACTTTTACCACTTTTAGTCTTGAAATGTGAATCCTTAAAGAGATGGGTGGGGCTAAGGCTTAAGAGAATGATGCTGAATGGGTGTAGAAAAAAAAGAGCTCTCCAGTAGGTGTACCAAAACATTCAAGGGCCATTTTCTCAAAAGTGGAGTTACAAGTTCATCAACTGTCAAAGCAAAATTACTTTCCCATTGTTCCTCAACTGCAGTGTATGTTATACAATTTTCTAGCTCTGAGTCTCTACCTTTATCCAATGTAAAAAACACAATTTCAAATGTTGCTACATAGGACCGAATCCAGGTGGTGGGTCACAATTGTGGTGGCCTTCGCATAATGTTTAAGGGTTTCTACCATTTTCTCTAATGGGCAAATGATTTAAGCACAATGCCAATCATCAAAGATATATTAAAATAAGCAGAATTGATTGTATTAATGTCTCCATGTTGGTAGCTAGTCTTACCTGGCTCTTGGCTGTGCAGATGAAGCTGACTGTTGCTCCAACTGTGACGCTTTGTGCTTTGGGTTCCTCGATGGTCACTTCAATGGGTTTGGATGACACAGCTGGAGAAAGACATGCACAGAAACCATTCAGTAAACACTCAAAAGCCCCAAGTTACAAAATGCAATTTTTTTTACTGTCTCGGCTTTGACCATATTTTGTTGGACCCCCCAAAAATAAAACGTTTTAGTCAGTTTAACTATTCAACAACTGGCTGTAAGATCAGTGAAAAAATAATCACAAAAGTATTTGAAATGCAATATTTTAATGGATGCAGTAAACATTTAAAGGATTTAACAAGTAGAAATGCGTACCTCTGACGACAATCTCAGCGCGGCTCCTGTTGGTGTTGCGTTGGTCTCTGCAGGTACAGACATACACGCCTGTGTCACTGGGCTGAACACTGGGGATATGCAGCTCCTCTCCTGAGAGAACAGGTAGGAATATGGAAGGAGATTAAATTACCATGGGAAATGGACTAGTACTTGAATAGTGTAGAAAACCCTTACAGTTGCCCATGAGTAGTACTTCTCAGGGCCCTCTCTTACCCTCTCTCAGCGATGCAACTTAACATTTTTACATTTACATTTTTAGTCATTTAGCAGACGCTCTTATCCAGATTACCCAATTAGGGTTAAGTGCCTTGCTCAAGGGCACATCGACAGATTTTTCACCTAGTCGGCTCAGGGATTAGAACCAGCGACCTTTCAGTTACTGGCACTACGCTCTTAACCACTAAGTTACCTGCTGCCCCACTTAAAGACGGCATCCAGCGATTTTTGAACTTTTACTGTTGAAAAGCGATATCCCAATTGTAAATACAGTAAAGTACACACACTAAAGTGTACAAAAATATGTTTTGAGCAAAATAGTTATTTTTGTTACACAACTGCAAACTTCAAGGAGTAGGGCATTCAAGGAGTTGGTCTGCTGGGAACCTGTGATGTCATCGCCTCCCCCCTTGCTTGAGGAACAATAGAGGAACAATAGAGAACAAAAGAGGAAAGGCCCACCGCCCCACTTGTGCTATGTCACGACTTACCTGGACCACCTATTGAGATGTGCCTTTTGTTAAGTAAATCAGGTGTTAAATGAGGTGAAAAGGAGACTGGAGTGTCACTTGAAAGAAGAAGAGTGGAGGTACTCGGGGGATGGGCTTTATTTTGTTCTTAGGTCACTCTGCCCCCACTTCACACCTTTGTGTTAGGGACCAAGTTGCCAGGGAACTCAGTCACCTGACAGGGTCAACCAATCACAGGCCCTATCTGATGGGGTAACAGATCCCCACTACCATCTATACCTCAATCTCTCTGCAGCAAGTTGACTAACCTCCTGGCTGCAGCAACACACAGAGGACGGACCGCACCCCAAGGACACTTCCCTCTCTGGACATTCTCTACTGTGTAGTGCGTTTATGACCATACAACCACTTCTACTAGTTCCCTCTTGCTACATTGGTGTGTGTGTGCAATTAAGTGTGTTCTGTACATCTACATTTTAGTCATTTAGCAGACGCTCTTATCCAGAGCGACTTACAGTTAGTGAGTGCATACATTATTTAATTTTTTTTCATACCCCCCGTGGGAATCGAACCCACAACCCTGGTGTTGCAAACGCCATGCTCTACCAACTGAGCTACATCCCTGCCGGCCATTCCCTCCCCTACCCTGGACGACGCTGGGCCAATTGTGCGCCGCCCCATGGGTCTCCCGGTTGCGGCCGGCTACGACAGAGCCTGGATTCGAACCAGGATCTCTAGTGGCACAGCTAGCACTGCTGCAGTGCCTTAGACCACTGCGCCACTCGGGAGGCAATCTGTCTCCTACTGGTCATTCCTACACCTTCTAACAGAGGCGCCGGGACGATTGTATCTATATTACATTTACATTTACGTCATTTAGCAGACGCTCTTATCCAGAGCGACTTACAAATTGGTGCATTCAACTTATGATAGCCAGTGGGACAACCACTTTTTTAGTTTTTTTTATGGGGGGGTGGGGGAGAAGGATTACTTGTATACTATTATATATATATATATATATATATATATATATATATATATATATATATATTCACCAGTATTAGGTCTTTACTGAGGAGTGTATACAGTGCCGCTATATACAACAATAGTAGTTGTATGTATGGCTCTTATACTAGGCCATGTCATACTCCCTATTACCCAGAACTGGTCTGTCCAGTATACTATACCTTGTCTGCGTCTGTCGGCGCTGTTGGTCATGGGACGTCCATCCTCCCTGGACCAGTAGTAGTAGTGGGGTGGAGGGCCGGTCACCTGGCACCGCAGGGTCACTGGGCTGCCCTGGGCCACCAAAACCCTCTCAGGGAACACCTTCACCACCAGGGAGGCTGCCGCTGTTGGGTCAGAGGTTAACGGTCAAAGGTTAGGCCACAATGATCAATCACAGAGACACTCTTGGTGGTACAGTATGGTAGGAAGAAAAAGTAGACAGATTTTGAGTTCCTTTTCAGTTGGTTCACTCAATACCACATGTATCGGCGCATGTGACAAATACAATTTGATTTGACTTGATCCAGTTTACTGGACGTTTTGGGTCTATTCTACACACATCTCTGTATAGATTCCTTTTATTCACTTACTATTGAATGGACGACACTTAATCCTGTCCTGTGGATTTCCAACGTATCCAGTTGCACAGCTGTAGGGGTTAGAGAGAAAGAAATTAATTTAGAGTCAACATGACAACAGACTTGGTACTAGCTCAGTTTGTGTTGTATAGCCATTGGCATGACAATGACCGACAAGACAGAACAAACAGATCTGGGACCAGGCTAGATTAGAGAGGTAAAGAGAGAGTTGTGTCAGCTTACCGCTCACAGTACTGGCCAGTGTATCCAGGCTGGCAAGCAGTACACTGATACCCACCGTTACCAAGGCTCTCACAGGTGGGGGAGAACCTGGCAAACATACACACAGATAAGCAAGTACAGTATACTCCAGTAATAACTCTAACCCAGTGGGATCTGTTCCAAGTTGTGATATAGGGCAAAGTTTCAGAGACAGATATGAATGACTGAGAACTAAATCTTGTTCCAATGAGGAGCATTTTGATACTGTTTATATTTGTTACAGAAGCAAAGCAAACAATCATTTTTTTTCTTCAGACTGAGACTGTGCTCTGTGTTCTAATCCTGTTAGTGGCCTACTACTCACTGGTTGTCAGGGTCGGTGTGAGGGCAGGCACAGGGCTGGCAGTCCTCTGGGGTTCCAGCGGTGGGATCACCAAAGAAGCCTGGGGCACACTGCTCACACAGCTCTCCCTGGGTGTTGTGCAGACAGCTCTGGAGACACAGGAAGACGACAAACACTCACTTGTTATTCAATGTACTAATTTCAAATCTACTGCTATTTTGGACCTAAGACCATATGGGTGCTGATCTAAGATTCATTGTGATCTAAGAGGCTAAACTGATCCTAAATTAGCACTCCTGGTTTTATCTTAGCGAGACTAACCTGGATAAATTAAGGTTAAATCAATTAAATGAAAAAATTAATCAAAACAACTGCCTTAAAGAGATTCTCTGGGCTGCATACCGTGCAGATGCCAGTCTCAGGGTGGCAGGAGTCAGAGTGCCCGTTGCACTCACACAGCTCACAGTGGCCCAGGTACAGGCCACCTCCGGTACGAGTGTAGCCAGGGGCACAGTCCTGGTAGAGAGATGAGGTACAACTGTCATCACACATCACACCATGGACTTGACACTCTAAGGGTGGGTTTCCCTGAGTGTTCAGATATACATAAACGTACATAAACGTAAGTTCGAGGTTAATTAGTCAATATTCCCACCTATGGCAGAGAGAGAGACCTCCTCTTACCTGACAGGAAAGTCCCTGGTAGGCGGGCGGGCAGCGGCAGTGCTCCACCTCTAGAGCCTGTGCCAGGCCGCTGTAATTGGGCACGGCCACTTCCATGCTGACCTCGGAGATGCTGGAGGAACTCATCTCTGTGTAGTAGGAGGCCCGCACCAGGATGTCATCCAGGTCAGCCAGCACCATCATCAGGTGCTCCCTCGTGGCAGGCATGCCGTCTAGGCGACGCCAGTTCTCCTACAGTGGAGAGAGAGGGGAGTTAATACTCTTCTATTACCAGGATGCTAGTGTGACCTGTTTCAATGAGGAATGGATGGTAAAGGTTGCAATCAAATTGCCATTTGGGGACTATAGAGTTCACAGCTACTGTAGAACACTGACCTCTCTGAAGACAAGCTCAAACTGGCGGGACTCTCTTGTCCCCTGTCCCCTCTGCCATGGCTGGCGAGCCACCAGGGTGATGTCATTTCCCTGTGGGCAACAATGACAAGGGCAACCCATGACAGGTGAGTGTACAACGAATTGATGCAACAGCAGTACATGGAAGAGAATGCAGTTTATAACTTGTGGGGTGGTGAGTGTGCTATGGAATGGATGCAATAACAGTAAATGAGATTGAATGCAATGTTAACTTTGGTGCATACTTACAATAATATGAACATCAGCGTCTTCAATGGCTGTTCCTCTCTGGCCGGCTACATAGGAGATGGTGTACTTCAGCTTCCCACCATACGAGTTCACCTATTGTAGAGGTGGAGGTAAATACATTTAGGCTTCTTAGTACATGTTGGGGACCTTAGGCCTCGACTATTAGAAATGTGTCTTTCTGGAAGAGCAAAAAAAGTGAAACGATCATAGAACACATGATGTATTAAATTTCTTTAAGACATTAATATTTTTCAATAAAAACTGAGTCATGCTTGACCTCCCACCACTTGGAGAATTGTCTTAGTTAAACAATGATTATGAATCAATAAACAAGTGCTCTAAACTCCACAGGGTTGCCTGGTGGTGCCGCCCATCCCTTCATTTCCCTTCCACAGCTCTGTTAGTTCAGGTGGAGGAATGGTGGAGTGGTTCTGTGGCCAAAGGGTTAACCGAAGGGTAAACACCCAATCAGGGTGCAGGAGGGCTGGGCCTGGCTCGTACTGTTACCTTATCCCCTATGAACTGCTCTGGGAGCTGCCAGTAGAGCGTGTCATCCGGGTGCAAGCTGAAACCTTTGTTGGACAAAGCGTACTGGGGCAGAGGAGGAAGGAGAGGCATGAGAGAGCAAGCCAGAGACAGAGATCAAAAGATAAGCAAGGAGAGAAAGAGAGAGAGAGAGAGATAGATAGAGAGAGAGAGATAGCGCGAGTGAGAGAGGGGCATCGCAAGCACAGTAGAGAGTAGAGCAGAGAAAGGGTTTACATTTTTGTCCTCTACTAGTTAACTACTACTTGGTGACAAAGTGACTCTCACACCATGCATTAACTGGCAACTAAAACAACAGCTTCCGGTGTGTATAATGTGAAAATCACAGCTTGTAAAGGTGACTGTGTGACGGGTGTATATGTTTAGACCCTTGTACAGCATAATTATAGATTATAGATTCAGTGCTACTCTTTAAGTGAAGAATTACAGAGTACGACTTCAACAGCAATTAGTGTGTACTGTGCTTTAAAGAGGAAAATACCACCCTGGTTAGTCATGGAATTTATGCACATACTGCCCTTTTTCAGCCCAATCTTCTCATTCTTGTTCTTTTGAAAAAGACCCAGGCGGCGAACACTTTGACAATACTAAGGAAAACTGTACAGGATAACCCTGTAAAATATTAACTCTCATGGTTCGTGAATGGATGACTTCATAATCAACCTGATCGGTTGTTGATTAACCTTCCTGGCTACAGTACAGTGTATGTTATCACATGGAGGGAGGCAGTTTCCTCTGTCTGTGTGTGCCAAGGGCAGGGACATGCAGTCAGTCAGTCTGGTTGTCTATCTGTCTGTCCATTATTCAGCCAGTCAGTCAGTCAGCCACCCAATCAGTCAGTCAGTCAGTCTGTCCGTCAGTCAGTCAGTCAGTCAGTTCACCAGCATGTCATCATGTCTACCTGTCTGGAGGCCCCTGCAGGCCTGGGGCCACTGGGAGCACTAGGAGGACCCACTATGTTCTTGGTACCACGCTGTTGAGTCTGTCAACAGGACCAGGCCCAAAAAAAGAGCAAACCAGTCAGCAACGACCACAATAACAACTATGGATGAGCTAAAAAGGTATGAAGTTTGAGGGTTTCTCAGAGGGGTTATTTTAGATGTACCTGCAGTCGAGGAGAGTGACCTGGGGAGGCTGGCTGAGGACTAGTAGGCCGTACCAGGGAGGAGAGACCAGAGGGGGAGGAAGGGGGAGAGGGGGGCCTCATGGGGGTACGAGACCCCGCCCGAGACGAGGCGCTGGGGACCTTCCTCTCAGAGGAAGAGGAGGGAGGGAAGGGAGGAGAGCCGGCTGGAAAGTTGGAGATGATTGCCCATATCTCATCATCCAGCTTCTTCACTTGTTCCTGGGGGAGAGGATGGGGAAGGTGGTGGGTGGGGGGACTCATGGGCGTTCCCCAAAGGAGACCTCCCACCATGCAAGGTAAGAGACACACCAAGCACTGGGGTCTGGGGGGTGTTGGTAGGGAAACTGTGTCATGCTCTTAACCAGGTCTACAACCCTGTGGTATGTACACAACTTCACTCACTGTGGCCATTCAACTTTCTAGTTTCTACAATCCTAAATCAGGGATGTCTTTGACACAAAACACACAAATCATCCACACACGTCTGCCATTAGACACAACATGTATCTCTTCTCTTCAAATTCCAGAGCGCCTCACATGCCCATTCAGGCTCTGTTTGTAATCCACACACGTGCCTTTTTGCGACATGCATCTGGTAAATGTACTGTCAACGTGCTGCAGTTGCTTTCATGCTGATATCTACCATGCTACAGTAAATATCCAATCACATATTGTCTAAGGGTGGTGGGATTATCTTTCAAGGATGTCATGGCGATTGACATCGCAAAAGGCAATCCATATTAGGGGAAGGGGGGTCACACTGTGTGAGGGAGATGGTTGGGTTGTATTGTTGTCATTAGACGTGTTGTATGGACGTAGCAGTGGGTGGCTAGGCTACAGTAGGAATACCTGGCTAGCTCTTTTGGACCTGGAGGTGCCATTACCCTTCGAAGACTTCATTATGTCCCAAATGCACGCATCCTTCCTCAGTTGCTCCTCTGACCAGGCGGAGTCTCTCTAGTGTTGTGAATAAAGCAAGACTCCCGTGATCACTTACTAATTTCCCATGTAGGAGCCAGTGGAAGACTTTAAAACTTTAGAACTAATGGAAGGCTTTTAGAACTTAATTACTGTTTATGGCTATCAAAGTTGGACCTCTGCAAAACTCCGTATGACTCATTCACTTCAGTACACTACATCTGAGTCATCCACTATGGGAATGGTCCATTAAACAGAGTGACTTCTAAGTAACCAATATGTGTAGCGTGTAACCTACTATGGCATGTGAATCTGAAATATAACTAATATAACAAAAATGTGTGTAAATAGAGCAAGTACTGTATGTTGATTGCTGCTACAACGGAGTTAAAACTAGGACAAATTAGAGACCATTGGAAAACTAAGCAGGAAATCCATGCATATCAAACACACAAACCTACACTCAAGAGAATGGGGTTATGTATGAAACATTTATCAAAATACAAATCAAATCAATCAGTACGATCAAATGCCAAATCACACCAATCCATTGTTTGAATTACAGGCAGACATTTTAGTCATCAATTCTTCACAATAAGTCTGATACTGTATGACTGGTCAATCCACAATCATCACCACACGACAAGCACCACTCTGGTTTACCTGGTGCGCTCGTCTCATACGAGCAAAGAAAGCTTCCTTCTATAGAGTGGAAAGGCAAACCAAGAGTAAAAATAACTAAATTACACTTGAATGATGCATAAAGAACCAACATCTCATCAAGACCAATAATGAAATGAAACTCTCTAAAAGTACACTACCAGTCAAAAGTTTTAGAACACCTACGCATTCAATGGTTTTTCTTTATTTTTACTATTTTCTACATTGTAGAATAATAGTGAAGACATCAAAACTATGAAATAGCACACATGGAATCATGTAGTAACCAAATTAAATTAAAATATGTTTTATATTTGAAATTCTTCAAATAGCCACCCTTTACCTTGATGACAGCTTTGCACACTCTTGGCATTCTCTCAACCAGCTTCATGAGGTAGTCACCTGGAATGCATTTCAATTAACAGGTGTGCCTTCTTAAAAGTTAATTTGTGGAATTTCATTATTTCCTGCGTTTGAGCCAATCAGTTGTGTTGTGACAAGGCAGCCCTATTTGGTAAATGACCAAGTCCATATTATGGCAAGAACAGCTCAAATAAGCAAAGCGAAACGACAGTCCATCATTACTTTAAGACATGACAGTCAGTCAATACAGAACATTTCAAGAACTTTGAAAGTTTCTTCAAGTGCAGTCGCAAAAACCATCAAGCGCTATGATGAAACTAGCTCTCATGAGGACCGCCACAGGAATGGAAGACCCAGAGTTACCTCTGCTGCAGAGGATAAGTTCATTAGAGTTACCAGCCTCAGAAGTTGCAGCTCAAATAAATGCTTAACAGAGTTCAAGTAACAGACACATCTCAACATCAACTGTTCAGAGGAGACTGTGTGTGTGATGTTGTGGTGTTGAAGAAGTCAGGCGCAGGAGGGTAAATCACAGAATAACAGGCAAAATACAGGTTTACGCAGAAATGTGTCAAACACACTCCAGGGCACAAAACAAGTGCACTGGAAAATACAAGGCACATGGGAAAATACTCCCGTCGATACAAAATACACGAGCTCCACCGAGCTTCACCAACCTCCACAATAAACAATCACCCACACAGACAAGGAAACAGAGGGAACACTTATACAATGACTAATGAGGGATAAGGTCCAGGTGTGTGTGATTGAAGACAAGACAAATGGAGTGATGATAAATGGATCGGCAGTAGCTAGTAAGCCGGTGACGACGAACGCCAAAACCTGCCTCGAACAAGGAGGGGAGGCAGCCTCGGCGGAAGTCGTGACAGTACCCCCCCCCCCCCCCCCCCCCCCCCCTTGACGCGCGGCCCCAGCAGCGCGCCGACCCCGGCCTCGGGGACGGCCAGGAGGACGCGAAGCAGGCCGAGCCGGATGGCGACAGTGGAAATCCCGTAACATGGAGGGATCGAGGATATCCCTCACCGGGACCCAGCACCGTTCCTCCGGACCGTACCCCTCCCACTCCACGAGGTACTGAAGACCCGACACCTCGAATCCGGGATGGAACGGACAGAGTACGCCGGGGCCACCTCGATGTCCAGAGGAGGTGGAGGGACCTCCCGCACCTCAGACTCCTGGAGCGGACCAGCTACCACCGGCCTGAGGAGAGACGCATGAAACGAGGGGTTAATACAGTAATCAGTGGGAAGTAATAACCTATAAGTGACCTCGTTGATTCTCTTCAGGACTTTGAATGGCCCCACAAACCGCGGGCTCAGCTTCCGGCAGGGCAGGCGGAGGGGCAGATTCCGGGTTGAGAGCCAGACCCGATACCCCGGTACAAAGACGGGGGCCTTACTGCGGTGGCGGTCAGCGTTGGCCTTCTGACGACGCACGGCGCGTTGGAGGTGAACGTGGGCAGCATCACACGTCTCCTCCGCACGCCGAAACCAGTCATCCACCGCAGGAGACTCGGTCTGGCTCTGGTGCCACGGTGCCAGAACTGGTTGGTAACCTAGAACACACTGGAAAGGCATTAGGTTAGTGGAGGAGTGGCGGAGAGAGTTCTGGGCATATTCTGCCCCTGGCAAGAACACCGACCACTCCCCCGGCCGGTCCTGGCAGTAGGACCGCAGGAACCTACCCACGTCCTGATTTACCCGTTCCACCTGCCCATTACTCTCGGGGTGGAACCCAGAGGTCAGGCTGACCGAGACACTCAGACGTTCCATGAACGCCTTCCAGACCTTGGACGTGAACTGGGGACCTCGGTCAGACACTATATCCTCTGGTACCCCGTAGTGCCGGAAGACGTGTGTAAACAGGGCCTCCGCAGTTTGCAGAGCCGTGGGGAGACCGGGCAGAGGAAGGAGGCGGCAGGCTTTAGAAAAGCGGTCCACAACGACCAGGATGGTGGTGTTACCTTGGGAGAGGGGAAGATCAGTTAGAAAATCAACACTTAGGTGAGACCATGGTCGTTGTGGAACTGGTAAAGGTTGTAACTTACCAGCTGGGAGGTGCCTAGGTGCCTTACTCTGGGCGCACACTGAGCAGGAGGAGACATACACCCTCACGTCCTTAGCCAAGGTAGGCCACCAGTATTTTCCGGTCAGGCAGCACGCTGTACGGCCGATACCTGGGTGACCAGAGGAGGGTGACGTGTGTGCCCAGTAGATCAGATGATCACGGATAAGAGCAGGCACGTACTGTAGCCCATCTGAACACTGAGGTGGAGAGGGATTTGTGCGTAATGCCTGCTCTATATCCGCGTCCATCGCCCATACTACCGGCGCCACAATGCAAGAGGCCGGCAGTATGGGGGTTTTGTCGCTGGGCCTCTCCTCTGTGTCATACAGCCGGGATAGTGCGTCTGCCTTCACGTTCTTCGTACCCGGGATGTATGATAGAGTGAAATCAAACTGGGTGAAGAAAAGGGCCCACCTTGCCTGGCGAGGATTCAGCCTCCTCGCTGCCCGGATGTACTCCAGGTTACGGTGGTCCGTCCAGACGAAACGCCCCCTCGAGCCAATGCCTCCACACGGTCAAGGCTCGGACAACAGCCAACAGCTCCCGATAACCAACGCCGTAGTTCTGCTCCACCGGGCTGACTTCTTCGAGAAGAACGCACAGGGGCGGAGCTTGGGTGGCGTACCCGAGCGTTGAGACAGGACAGCTCCTATCCCAACCTCGGAAGCATCCACCTCCACTACAAACGGTAGTGATGAATCGGGGTGGGCCAGTACTGGGGCTGAGGTGAACAGACCCCGCAGTTTGCTGAAGGCCAGGTCAGCCTCAGCAGACCAGCGGAGCCGGGATGGCCCACCCTTCAACAGGGAGGTAATGGGAGCTTCGACCTTGCTAAAGCCCCAGATAAACCTCCGATAGTAGTTGACAAAGCCAAGGAAGCGCTGCACCTCCTTAACCGTGGTTGGAGTCGGCCAATTACGCACGGCTGAAATGCGATCTCCCTCCATCTCCACACCTGAGGTGGAAATGCGGTATTCAAGGAAGGAGACGGACTGCTGGAAAAACATACACTTCTCTGCCTTAGCATAAAGGTCATTTTCCAACAGTCGGGCCAGCACCTTGCAAACCAGGGACACATGCTCGGCGCGCATAGCGGAATACACCAGGATGTCATCGATGTAGACCACTACACCGCGACCAAGCATGTCCCGAAACACCTCGTTCACAAAGGACTGGAAAACTGAGGGAGCATTCATCAAACCATAGGGCATCACCAGGTATTCATAATGCCCTGTGGTTGTGCTGAATGCTGTCTTCCACTCATCTCCTTCTCGGATACGTACCAGGTTGTATGCACTCCTGAGATCTAATTTGGTGAAGAAGCGCGCCCCATGCATTGATTCAATCACTGAAGGAACGAGGGGGAGAGGATAACTAAATCTTATCGTCTCCCTGTTCAGTGGTCAATAATCAATGCACGGGCGCAGACCTCCGTCCTTCTTCTTCACAAAGAAAAAACTTGAGGAGGTGGGTGAAGTGGAGGGACGTATATACCCCTGGCGCAGGGACATGGTGACATATGTCTCCATAGCCACCGTTTCAGCCTGTGACAGGGGGTATATATGACTCCTGGGAGGTACAGCGTCTACCCGGAGGTTTATCGCGCAATCCCCCGCCCAATGAGGTGGTAACTTAATCGCCTGCGTTTTAGAGAACGCTTGCGCCAGATCGAGGTATTCAGGGGGAATGCGCACGGTGGAGGTACTGTCTGGACTTTCCACCGTGGTTGCACCAACAGAAACACCTAGACACCTACCCTGACACTCTCGCGAGCACCCCGTGAGAACCCTCTGCGGCCATGAGAAGGTGGGGTTGTGGAGTGCTAGCCAAGGGTTACCTAATACCACAGGGAAAGCAGGAGACTCAATAATGGAAAAAGTAACCTGCTCACAATGAGTCTCCTGGGTAATCATGGTGACTGGTGCAGTAACTTCCTTAACCAACCCACAATGGTAGACTATCAAGTGCTCTGATGGGGCGTGGAATGGATAGGGGAATCAATGGAATGCCTATACGGTGTGCGAATGCCCTGTCCATAAAGTTCCCAGCTGCGCCTGAATCGACTAGCGCCTTACACTGGGGAACTACCATGTGCTCAGGAAAGGAGATGTGTATTTTACAGTGCACAGCAGAGGGCTCTGAACGAGTGTGGGTGTTCGATACCTGGGTTGATGCGAAAAGAACGTAGACTACGACGTGTGGTGTATTGTCCCTTCGTGCCACCAGGGTGGCACTGTCGCTGTCCTCCTCCGCTCTCTCGGCCTGTGGCTCCACCCAGCTCCATCGGCTCGGGATCTGAGTCGTCCGGGGTGGAAACAGGCAGACCCCTACCAGGATGTCCTCTGGCTGCCAGCAGGTTGTCCAAACGAATGGCCGTGCCCACCAGTTCGTTGGAGGACAACATGGTGTCTTGGCAGGCTAGCTCCCGTCGGACGTCCTCTCGCAGATGGCACCGGAAATGGTCGATCAGGGCCCGCTCGTTCCACCCGGACCCCGCTGCCAGCGTCCGTAACTCCAACGCGAAGTCCTGCGTGGTCCTCGTCCCCTGCCTCAGATGGACCAGTCGCTCACCCGCCTCTCTACCCTTGGGCGGGTGATCGAAGACCGCCCGAAAGAGGCGAGCAAACTCCCTGTAGTCCTCCATTGCGGCTCCTCCTTCGTTCCACACCGCGTTGGCCCACTCCAGGGCTTTCTCACAGAGTCAGGAAATGAGGACGGACACCTTCTCCCACTCCGATGGTTCCGGCCTGATGCTGGCAAAATAAAGCTCCAATTGGAGGAGGAATCCCTGGCACAGCGCCGTCGTCCCATCAAACGCCCGTGGTCGGGATATCTGGATCCCTCCGGGTGCTGGGGTGTAGGTGGCTGGATCCGGTTGGCCAGCTGGTCTCGACAGAGCTGGCCAGCATCGTGGAATGCTCCTGGACCCGTGCCATGACTCCAGGCATGCGCTCTTCTCCCGCTGACTCCATATTCGGGTGGGTGATTCTGTGATGTTGTGGTGTTGAAGGAATCAGGCTCAGGAGGATAAATCACAGAATAACAGGCTTTAATCCGCAAAATACTGGTTTACGCAGAAATGCATCAAACACACTCCAGGGCACAAAACAGGTGCACTGGAAAATACAAGGCACACGGGAAAATACTCCCTTCGATACAAAATACACGAGCTCCACCGAGCTTCACTAACCTCCACAATAAACAATCACCCACACAGACAAGGAAACAGAGGGAACACTTATACAATGACTAATGAGGGATAAGGACCAGGTGTGTGTGATTGAAGACAAGACAAATGGCCTGATGATAAATGGATCGGCAGTAGCTAGTAAGCCGGTGATGCCGAATGCTGAAACCTGCCCGAACAAGGAGGGGAGGCAGCCTCTGCGGAAGTCGTGACAGTGTGAATCAGGCCTACATGTTCGAATTGCTGCAAAGAAACCACTACTAAAGGACACCAATAAGAAGAAGAGACTTGCTTGGGCCAAAAAACACGAGCAATGGACATTATACTGGTGTAAATGTGTCCTTTGGTCTGGAGTCCAATTGTAAGATTTTTGGTTCCAACCGCCGTGTCTTTGTTAGACGCGGTGTGGGTGAACGGTTGATCTCCGCATGTGTATTTCCCACCTTAAAGCATGGAGAAGGAGGTGTTATGGTGTGGGGGTGCTTTGCTGGTGACACTGTCTGTGATTTATTTAGAATTCAAGGCACACTTAACCAGCATGGCTACCACAGCATTCTGCATTGATATTCCATCCCATCTGGTTTGGGCTTAGTGGGACTATCATTTGTTCTTCAAAAGGACAATGACCCAGCACACCTGCAGGCTGTGTACTGCTATTTTACCAAAAAGGAGAGTGATGGAGTGCTGCATCAGATGACCTGGCCTCCACAATCCCCCGACCTCAACCAAATTGAGATGGTTTGGGATGAGTTGGACCGCAGAGTGAAGGAAAAGCAGCCAAAAAGTGCTCAGCATATGTGGGAACTCCTTCAAGACTGTTGGAAAAGCATTCCAGGTGAAGCTGGTTGAGAGAATGCCAGGAGTGTGCAAAGCTGTCATCAAGGCAAAGGGTGGCTATTTGAAGAATCTCAAATATAAAATATATTTTCATTTGATTAACACTTTTTTGGTTACTACATGATTCCATATGTGTTATTTCATAGTTTTGATGTCTTCACTATTATTCTACAATGTAGAAAATAGTAAAAATAAAGAAAAACCCTTGAATGAGTAGGTGTTCTAAAACTTTTGACCGGTAGTGTATGTGCATCAACAAACAGTACAGTACGGACTATCTCAGAGATTGCTATGGCTAATGCTTTCTGATGAGGTTCTAACCCCTGTAATAGATGGTAAATTCATGGAGCATACAACCAAACTCTGTTTCTACAATTCCCACTATGAGATTGGCCCTCAAACTTAGTGTTCTCTACGATAACTCATTTAGCAAATCCTTTCACAGCAAAGACCAGCACAGACATTCAGGCAGAAATTGAGAGAGCATTTAAGCGCTGTTAGGAGCAGGAATGCTAGAGGTTTCAGAATGAAAAGAAGCCACTTTGCACCATATAGAGAGAGAGTGGGAGTAGACGTTGGGACAGCGTTTGTATCGTCTCTGATGGCCACAGTGGCCAGATCATCAACTGGGACTCACCTTATCCCCCTGGAAAGCCCCGGGCAGCTGCCAATAGTGGGGCTCCTGGCCCAGGTAGTCAAAGTTGCTGTAGGAGAGCTGGGTGCCGTCGGTGGACACCTCCACGGTGAAGCCGGTGGAGATACGGTTGGTGCGCTGCCGGTTGACCAAAGCAAAGCCCTGGAAGTTACCTGGGGCAAAGACGGACGACACCTGCAGGACACACAGGAAGGGATGATCAACCAATCACACTCAGAGAGACAGGAAAAGCGTCAGAAAATGTAATCCGTTTATTCAGTTCAGTAGAACATTATTGGCAATTGCAGTGCTCTCAACAAAGCTGTAAGTATCTGTTTGTGTGTTGACTTGCCAACTCCTTAATTGGTCATTGTCACGTCAAACTCAAACAAATATGGGACCAGCGCCAGGCTACTCTCAAAGTGCTCTCTTCATATATTTACTCATATATGTTTTTAAGGAAGTAGTTTCCTAGTTCTTGTTGCCTGGGTACCTGGTCTCTGTAGTGGGAGGAGCTGGAGCACTGCTGAGTGACTCCCATGCAGAAGCAGGACAGGCAGCCATCTTTGTTGCCTGTGCTGAGGTGGAAGGTTCCCTGCTTACAGTCGGAGCAAGCAGGGCCCTCAACGTTCATCTGGTAACACAATGATATAGTGTGAGAGGTGAACTAACCATAGAAATAGAACATTGACTTGAATGGGAATGCCATTCTAGTAACTCTATTTATATGGGACAAACTTAGAGCGATAACTAGTGGATAAGGATATTGGAGGATGTCAATGCGGATGGTGGTTTTATGAAAAACGTACCTTGCAGCGACACACACCATTTCCATTGCATCCTTCACTTCCTCTCTGGTCACAGTTGTAGCAGTTACCTGTTAACATGCCACAGCTGAGGTTTTCACTCTGTGTGCCTTCATTCCACCAAATACTATAATTTTTTTATTTATTTTTATAATGTACATAACTGCAATATGTTAGCACTACTAACACTGCCCCTGAGGCGATAAAGTTATATTTAATTGAATAATCTATATACCTACCATTGAGATCATTGTTGCCAACGATACACCTTTGTCCAAGCTGGGGGTTGCCTGTGTACCCAGCAGCACATCTGAAATGGAGAACAGCCAAAAGGTACACTTTAAAACAAACATTTCCAGTCAACGAGGATACATACAGGGAAGGAACAATGGGGGCAGGAAATTGGTTGAGCTGTGTGAAGATACATGATGAGGCTTGTCCTCGCAGCACACTCTTGGCCCAGAATAGACACATGAAAATACATTGCCAGTAAAATACTATGCATGATGTATACAAGCTATACAATAGATTTGTCACATTATTAGCCAACATCAACAATTTATTCATTGTGGATTTCCATTGTTCAAGCACTAGGTATCCCCCAGGTCCCCTGCATTATGAGTTTTTTTTTTTAAACACTACTCACGATCACATAGTGACACATACAGCTTTGATACACCACTTGAAAATCCACTGGCTTTTGAGTTTCCCAGATGCAAAAAGAGGCTAAAAGATATGTATGTATTGCCGATGGTGGAGATAGACAAAGCACAGCCAATGCTACAACTCTCAACATGGGTCAAATGTTGAAACCATCTCTCCTCTCGTAGGTTGCTAGAAGACGAACTGAGGAAGGCTGCATTAAAGTTACATTTCCATTTTAAAAGAATGTGTCACCAAAGTACACCTTGATAAAGACAGCAGAGCAGAGCAGAGAAAATGAACAGGAGAACTGAAGTCTAAGTGCAGAAAGAGGCATCATATCACATCATGATATAAGACTGAGAAACTAAGAAGAATGATGCCCATTGCCCAAGCAAGCTGAGGCACTACGTCCATCCACCAAAGCTCTGTCCAGCTAAAGAGCCCAATAGGCCAAGCTACCCTGGGGGAGAGCTACCCATGCTGCTCCAGTTCTTACCTTGTCACTGGAAGCTCCACGGTTGAACAGCCAACAAACGCACAGCTTCAATGGGACTTTGGAAAAACCTGTCCAGTCTAACTTTACAGTAAGAAGCTAAAACGTTTTTTGGAAACTATCTGACCAATGCATGATGAAGCCAAATCTGGATATTGTTGCTGTAAAGAAATGGGTTGACATTTTACATGCTTCATGTTGCTATTCAGGTTATGTACAAAAACTAAAACTAAAAAACTTTTTTAAAAACTTTTAAAGTACAATCACAAGGCAGCAAGGGCAGAATGAACGCTATAAAGTACATAATACACCATAATAATGGATTACATTAACATACACAATCATATCGATAGACATCTAATAATAATAGCAGATGGAATAAAAAAAAAAGATTTACACATGAACATAGGGACGAAAGCTTGGGCAAACTCACTTCAAATACTTAACTGACAGTCCTGTATTGTACATCAGTGGAGGCTGGTGGGAGGAGTTATAGGAGGACGGGCTCATTGTAATGGCTGGAATGGAAATATTGGAACACAGTCAAAGGTGGGTTCCATACCGTACGTATGATGTGTTTGATGCCGTTCCATTTGTTCCATTCCAGCCATTACAATGAGCCTGTCCTCCTATAGCTGCTCCCACCAGCCTCCACTGGTATACATATACAGTGCATTCGGAAAGTATTCGAACCCATTCACTTTTTCCATATTTTGTTACGTTACAGCCTTATTCTAAAATAGATTACATTGATGTTTTCCCTCATCAATCTACACGCAATACTCCATAATGACAAAGCGAAAACAGGTTTTTAGAAATGTTAGCAAATGTATTAAAAATAAAAAACAGAAATACCTTATTTACATAAGTATTCAGACCCTTTGCTATGAGACTCGAAATTGAGCTCAGGTGCATTCTGTTTCCATTGATCATCCTTGAGATATTTCTACAACTTGATTGGAGTCCACCTGTGGTAAATTCAATTGATTGGACATGATTTGGAAAGGCACGCACCTATCTATATAAGGTCCCACAGTTGACAGTGCATGTCAGAGCAAAAACCAAGCCATGAGGTTGAAGGAATTGTCCATAGAGCTCTGAGACAGGACTGTGTCGAGGCACAGATCTGGGGAAGGGTACCAAAACATTTCTGCAGCATTGAAGGTCCCCAAGAACACAGTGGCCTCCATCATTCTTAAATGGTAGAAGTTTGGAACCACCAAACTGAGCAATCGGGGGAGAAGGGCCTTGGTCAGGGAGGTGACCAAGAACCCGATGGTCACTCTGACAGAGCTCCAGAGTTCCTCTGTGGAGTTGGGAGAACCTTCCAGAAGGACAACCATCTCTGCAGCACTCCACCAATCAGGCCTTTATGGTAGAGTGGCCAGACGGAAGCCATTCCTTAGTAAAAGGCACATGACAGCCCGCTTGGAGTTTGCCAAAAGGCACCTAAAGGACTCTCAGACCATGAGAAAAAAGATTCTCTGGTCTGATGAAACCAAGATTGAACTCTTTGGCCTGAATGCCAAGCATCACGTCTGGAGGAAACCAGGCGCCGCTCATCACCTGGCCAATACCCTACGGTGAAGCATGGTTGTGGCAGCATCATGCTGTGGGGATGTTTTTCAGCGGCATGGACTGGGAGACTAGTCAGCATTGAGGGAAAGATGAATGGAGCAAAGTACAGAGAGATCCTTGATGAAAACCTGCTCCAGAGCGCTCAAGACCTCAGACTGGGGCGAAAGTTCACCTTCCAACAGGACAACGACCCTAAGCACACAGCAAAGACAACGCAGTAGTGGCTTCGGGACAAGTCTCAATGTCCTTGAGTGGCCCAGCCAGAGCCCGGACTTGAACCTGATCCAACCTCTCTGGAGAGACCTGAAAACACCTGTGCAGCGACGCTCTCCATCCAACCTGACAGAGCCTGAGAGGATCTGCAGAGAAGAATGGGAGAAACTCCCCAAATACAGGTGTGCCAAGCTTTTAGCGTCATACTGAAGAAGACTCGAGGCTGTAATTGCTGCAAAAGGTGCTTCAACCAAGTACTGAGTAAAGGGTCTGAATACTTATGTAAATGTGATATTTCAGTTTTCTATTCTTTATAAATTTGCTAACATTTCTAAAAACCTGTTTTTGCTTTGTCATTATGGGGTATTGTGTGTAGATTGATGAGGGAAAAAAACAATTAAATCCTATTTCAGAATAAAGCTGTAACATAACAAAATGTGGAAAAAGTCAAGGGGTCTGAATACTTTCTAAATGCACTGTACTTGCATTATTGTGCTAAACCAATTTGACATGTACAATTTGTCTGTATAATAGGGGTTATTTATAAATTCTGCTCTGAAAGTTGAAATGTAATACTCTCTAAATACTGCATGTGTACGTCTTGAGGTAGTCTGACCCACTGGGCTCAAGCAAAATAGCACCAAACAACTTTTGTAAATGTACAACTTTGAATAGGGTAACTGTATATTATTTCATGATGCACCTTTAAACACAATAACAATGTTGCCTGTACATGAAGAAGTTACTCTCAAACTCACGCAGTCCTTTATCAAAAACATTAATTTGACATATTCCATAGATAAAAAATATGTTATAAAAATAAGCATAAATATCAGGTCCACAAACAGGTTCTTTTAGATACATGTTGAAATTAGTTCAAGTTAAAAAAAATATATAAATGTACCTAATAATCAGGGATAATTTTGATGGGAATGGCCAGCCTTCCTAGAACAATGTGAAAAGAACCATCGGAACCATCTTGCTTCTGTTTCTTGTTCTTTTGGGATGATTTTTGATAATTCCTTTGAACTAGTTTGAGCAGGTCCAGAACATTGGACTGGGGCTGGGATTTCTTCTTCTGTGAGGGTCTCTTGGAACGAGTAGTTTTGACTTTACTCTTCATTGTTAACCTGGAACGCTTTGAAGAAGAGGTCGTTTTGGTGGGTGCCAACGTGGTGGTGAGAACTTTCTTGGAGTAACTTGTTTTGGCTTTTGACACTTCCTGGACTTTGTGGGACGGTGGGGCCAACTGGTATGAGTCTGGAGCAGTGGTTTCTCCATTAGGTCTAAAGTTACCATTGTTTGAGTGGGATGGTTTCTTGACAACTGTTTCTTTGATTTTAACATTGGGTTGAATCTTTGAATCAGGTGCAACTGATCTAAAGGCACTGTATATTTTATCATTGCTCCTAGCACGAGAAGCATCCTTTTCCTGTTTAGCAGCTTCATTACGTGACTTGGATGACGTTGGATTTTTTGACACCTGTGTTGGAGGCTTAAGTTTATGGGATGGTGGTGCCAGCTGATATTGAGTGTTAGCCAGGTCTTCTTTAGCTTGCCTTGGTTTTGATTGACGTGTCTGTGTTGAGCGCTTATTAGCTGTCACATGAAGCTTATTGGCCATCGTAGTCTTTGTTTCAGGCTTTGTTGTACTACGTGGTCTAGTGCTAGGATTTGTTGTACTACGTGGTCTAGAGCTAGTCCTGGGTTTACTTAGGGTAGTATTTTGTCTTGGGCTGGACTTTGAATTTACATTACTTTTAGTGGATCTAGTTAATGGTTTAGGTTTTGTAGTTTGTCTGTTTTTGACTGTTTGGGACGTGGGCTTTGTGGTGACCGTTGTTTGAAGATTTGTAGTTTGTTTGACTGTTTTGGTGGTGGACTTACGGGCTATCATGGCTTTCTTAGCAGGGAGACGGGGCATGGGTAAGCTTTTGGGGACTGTGGCTCTAGTTTGTGACCTGGTGGTTGTGGATTGAGTCCCGACAGTGGATCTCAGTGTTGTCACGGTTGTTAATTGAGAAGTCCTGAAGGAGTGTCGAGTTGTGGTAACACCTGGCACTAAGGCTGTGGAGACTGGTGGCAGAGCCATCGCCTCCTTAGCAGACCGTGCTATTTGTCTGACGCGTTTCACCTTGTTCATCTCCTGAGCCAGGGCAGTAAACCCATCTATCACAATCTCCAGACGACCCTCCAGCCTTCTCAGACGAGTTTCCATGTCTGTGTAGCTACTCTCCAGCTTGCCCACCCTCTCCTTCTTCTCCAGGGCAGACTGTGACTGCAGCGTCTCCAGCTGGGTGCTGAGCTTGCTCTGCTGGCCCCTCATGGCCTGGATACCCTCCTTGATGTCTAGGGTGTTGCTCTCCAACATGCTGAGGCGCTGGTTGAAGCGGTTCATGTGAAGCCTCATTAGGAACTGGAAGCTGTGCTCTCTAACCTCAGGGCTGGGCGTGTTCAGTGATGGAACCCTGGGTGCAGTCCTATTCAGGTGGACTTGGACCATGTCAGCTATGGGGGTGGTTGTGGTTGGGTGAGTAGGAGTGGTAGGGTGAGCGGCTGGGCGAGTGGTAGGGCGAGTAGGGATGGTAGGGCGAGTGGGTTGGGTACGGTGGCTGGTAGTGGACAGTAGGCTCCGTGTGGGGATGTTTGATGGCCACCGTGTGGGAATGTATGGCCTTTGGCTATAATCTGTGTCCTCCTCTTTTTCCTCCTCCTCCTCTGGCTGTTGGCTGTATTCAGTGTCCTCCTCCTCCTCCTCTGGCTGTTGGCTGTATTCAGTGTCCTCCTCTTTTTCCTCCTCCTCCTCTGGCTGTTGGCTGTATTCAGTGTCCTCCTCCTCTGGCTGTTGGCTGTATTCAGTGTCCTCCTCCTCCTCTGGCTGTTGGCTGTATTCAGTGTCCTCCTCCTCCTCCTCTGGCTGTTGGCTGTATTCAGTGTCCTCCTCCTCTGGCTGTTGGCTGTATTCAGTGTCCTCCTCCTCCTCCTCTGGCTGTTGGCTGTATTCAGTGTCCTCCTCCTCTGGCTGTTGGCTGTATTCAGTGTCCTCCTCCTCTGGCTGTTGGCTGTATTCAGTGTCCTCCTCCTCCTCATCTGGCTGTTGGCTGTATTCAGTGTCCTCCTCCTCCTCCTCTGGCTGCGGACCATAGTCTGTCTCCTCCTGCTCCTTGTTTGGCTGTGGGCTATAGTCTATATCCTCCTTATAATCCTCCTCGTCTGGCTGTGGGCTATAGTCTATATCCTCCTTATAATCCTCCTGCTCCTTGTCTGGCTGTGGGCTATAGTCTATATCCTCCTTATAATCCTCCTGCTCCTCGTCTGGCTGTGGGCTATAGTCTATATCCTCCTTATAATCCTCCTGCTCCTCGTCTGGCTGTGGGCTATAGTCTATATCCTCCTTATAATCCTCCTGCTCCTCGTCTGGCTGTGGGCTATAGTCTATATCCTCCTTATAATTCTCCTGCTCCTTGTCTGGCTGTGGGCTATAGTCTATATCCTCCTTATAATTCTCCTGCTCCTTGTCTGGCTGTGGGCTATAGTCTATATCCTCCTTATAATCCTCCTGCTCCTCGTCTGGCTGTGGGCTATAGTGTGTGTCCTCCTCCTCCTCATCATAATCCTCCTCCCCCTCCTCCTCGTCTCCACTGCCCTCTGGCACCACATGTTTCTCCAGGCTAAAGTTGAACACTGCCTCACCACAACCTGGCGGGAGGAAATCCTCATAGTCCTCTTGCAGGTATGGGTCCACACAACTGTCTTGTGTTCTTAATGATCAAAACATTAAAATCAGACATAGGGCAGGGTCAACTTATCAAAACATACCAATGTTTGTTTAACCAGTCACCACATCGTCATCTTTGCACATTGAGTAGCAAAGATTCGTCAAACAGACATGACATTAGAAATGCCACCTCTAGATTTATGCCTCGGAGAGAGAATAATGTCAACATAGCCCAGGAATAAAGACTGACAGCATTAGCCCACAGCTTCTAAACCTTTTAACAAGCAGCTAGAGCAGAAAGCAGTAGACTCTGAGAAACTTCAGGCAAAGCACTCAAGCTAAGGCAAAGGAAAGAAAGCAAAAACCATGTGACATAAAGTTTCCTCAGGACACAACTACAAGTCCAAACACGAAAGACTTGGTTTCACCACTTGTTGGCTTTTACGACAAGAAAAGTAATATCACAACTCATTATTACATGTGTAATCCCATGGAACACCAGACACATTTTTAAAACAAAAATGCCCATTGATAAATACAATGTCCGTTTGCCAAGCGCAATAATCCAACACAGATATTGACCTCTCAAATAGCATAAAGAGCACTGCTATTGCGGAGACCGAACCCAACCCAGAGAAACCTTTACTAACTAACTGGAATGGGTGGCGTTGGTTTGAGATTTGCTTCTCCCATACCATTCCACTAACACTCACATATCAATCATGACTGGTTGGAAAGACTGGTTGAAAGAGGGATGCAATCAGACAGACATGCTACTATACCCATTTTATAAAGGAAACAAGTGGGTGCCAGACTAGTCACCTCTGCTTTCCGTGCTTTGGCAAGCCCAGTATCCCCAGACCACTGACCAGTAAACAGCTGACCTTAAGGCTGGAGGGGATAGGTGGAGATGGAAGTGGAGATGGAGGGAGTATTACCTTTCACAGCGCCGGCCAGTGAAGCCAGGGGGACAGTTATCACAAGTGGGCTGACCGTCCGCATCCTTGTAGCAAGACTGAGAATACCTGCAGGGAAGGAAGAGACTTGTATCAGTCTCGTAAGCCAGTATACAACCCTACTCTGTATTATAAATAACAGGGTCATAGCTGACACAACAATGGAACTGCATGACCAGTCACTGACAGATCAAATGTCTTTGCAAAGAGCAGGTTGACCACAGAATTAAATATGATCTCTATGAGGTTGACCATCAGGTGAATAGACACATGTTTATAAATAGATTAAGGATCTTTCCAAGAGGATAAATCTGGAGCTAGAGTTCTAGAGACATTGCAGCAATTATATGACAAAGGAAATAATTCAATTTTGCCCAGATTCTTATTATATAATCATTTATAAGGTCACTAGTTTGAGACCACAAAATCAACCAAATCTGCTGAATAGAGCTGCTAATAGCATTTTATACTGTGATTGAAGAAAAATAGTACAGAGATTAAATTATTATTTTGTCATTTAGTCGTTTAAGTTCAGACTGGATTATTTTTTCATAAAAATAAATACTCAGAGACCCTCGACCCATTCAAAAGCTACCGCAACCCAAATTTTGGACGCGACCCACCAGTTGAGAATCGCTGCTGTAGAGTACATGAGGAGGAGTGAACTCACTGGTTGCTGGGAGAAGTGCCAGGGCAGGGGCAGGGCAGACAAGACTGAGGTCCGTCCGTCACAGGGTTGCCATAGAAACCTGGCAAACAGCGCTCACACCTTGGGCCGGCCGTGTTGTGAAGGCATTGCTAAAAAAGGGAGACGCATGAGAGGCAAGAGAGAGAGTGGTGGATCCATCCATGGAACAGTGAAATCCTATTATGAGCCCATGTGTGTTCTGAATCTGTTTCCACATGTTGAGATTCGCCAAGAAACCATTAGCACATTCCATAGCAGACTTCAAAGCCAAGTGCAGCTGTAGTACTGTACTACTGACTTAAATTACAACAGGAGGGTGGTGTGACTTACCAAGCACGCGCCTGTCTCCAGGTCACAGCCGCTGGCATGGCCGTTACAGTCGCACCTCTCGCAGGTACCCAGGTAGAGCCCAGAGCCTGTACGGGTGTAGCCCACGTCACACTCCTGTATAGAAACAGATGGAAAGACATGGGAAAACAACAGGCCATGTAGTGAAAACACTGCATGTAGCACAGTTGATTGTCTTGTTGTTCCATTACAGCATGCTCTAAGATTTCCACTCTGTGTTTCTTTCCAAGATGTCTACTGTACCATAGAACAAAGTGAGCACACTGGAACTTTACAACTAGGAGAGGTAACAGAGGAGGAACTATAAGATCAGGATGTACAGTACATTGATTTTGTGGTATGTGTGCGTGTGTACTGTACCTGACATGATGGTCCCTTGTAGCCCTGGGGACAGGCACAGTACTCCATGTCCAGGGCCGGTTCGTTGCCTGTGGAATGGGGCACTGCAATGTCCATCCGGATGTTTGAGAGACTGGACAACAGACAACAACACAGGTGAGGCAACTACAACAACAACAACCCTAACAACAACAATAACAACAACAGCCACATGGGTGTTTCCAGTAGCTCATACTGAGAGCGGTTTCCTAATGATTCTTTAGAATCCCCATCATGTGGAATCATTTTGAGTGAATCTCAACAGGGCACCCGGTCGGTTTTACCTGGTCTCAGCCATGTTGCCAGCGTAGGTGGCTCTGATCATGAAGACAGTAGTATCAGCCAAGGCCATGAGGAGGTGCTCACGAGTACAGGGCTGTCCATCAACACGCCTCCATGCAGACTGGTAGGGGGGAAACACAGGGAGAGAGAAACAAGGCTCAGTGCAACACTCTGCCATGGCAAACTCAGGATTAGAGTTGGGATTATAGCCAAGATTAGGTCATGGTAATTAATGGTAATCTAATTAGGTCATTTATACAAGATTATCAATGAAGACAACATGGTATTGCATTTTGATGTTAAGATTACAAACGGTTTATAATCAGTTAAAAAAAACATGTGCGCACCTGAGCGCACGCACACAAACACACACACAGTGACCCACCTCTCTGAAGGTGACAGTGACAGTAGCGGGGACGCGGGGGCGGGGCTTAATCTGGGAGAAGTGTTCCAGGAAGATGCCATTGCCTTGGAGAACCACGTCTGGCTGTCTGTCAATCACCAGTGAGTGTTGCCGGGGCTCGTAGCGCACGGTGTAGCGCAGCTCCCCGCCGTAGGCTGTCACCTGGTAACAACATGTCAGAAAGAGACGTTCAAGATTCTACAACAACCACCCGCTTTAATGCACGGTGGAAAGGTATTTCACTCCATGAGACTCTAAGGCTAGCTAGGTCACGGATCACATGATGACATGTGCATGACCATGAACTCAAACCAGAAGTAGAGAGCTTCTCTTTGTTTAGGTATGTAAAGCCTTTATAGTTTTCACATGTTGAGAGAGCATGTGGGCGGTGAAATCTAGCATGACCACATTTAAATCACACCTTGCTTCCAGAGGGAAGACTACTCAGTAAAAATAAAAGTTGATGACAATTTCTCCTGTCCCTATAGTCTACTCTCAGGGTAAGAGGAGAAATACATGTAAGTGTAAAAAAAGAGTCAAAGCCTCCTACCACTCATCTCTCCCCTTGTCTCTCATCTCCCCTGTCTTCCCCCTCTTCCCTCTCTCCCCTTCTCTCCCTTCTCCACCTCCACTCGCCCCTTGTCTCACTCTCTCCCCTTGTCTCCCACTTGTCTCCCCTTTCCCCTTGTCTCCCCTCTCTCCCCTTGTCTCCACTCTCTCCCCTTGTCTCCACTCTCTCCCCTTGTCTCCACTCTCTCCCCTTGTCTCCACTCTCTCCTCCTTGTCTCCACTCTCTCCCTTGTCTCCACCTCTCTCCCCTTGTCCCACTCTCCTCTCCCCTTGTCTCCACTCTCTCCATGCTCATCTCCCCTTGTCTCCACTCTCTCCCCTTCCTCCACTCTCTCCCTTGTCTCCACCTCCTCTCCCCCTTGTCTCCACTCTCTCCCCTCTCTTCCCCTTGTCTCCACTCCACTCTCTCCCCTTGTCTCCACTCTCTCCCCTTGTCTCCACTCTCTCCCCTTGTCTCCACTCTCTCCACTCTCTCCCCTTGTCTCCACTCTCTCCACTCTCTCCCCTTGTCTCCCCTCTCTCCCCTTGTCTCCACTCTCTCCCCTTGTCTCCACTCTCCCCTCTCCCCTTGTCTCCACTCTCTCCCTCTCCCCTTGTCCTCCACTCTCTCCCACTCTCTCCCCTTGTCTCCACTCTCTCCACTCTCTCCCCTTGTCTCCACTCTCTCCCCTTGTCTCCACCTCGCACCTTGTCTCCATCCTCCCCTTGTCTCCACTCTCTCCCTTCCCACTCTCTCCCCTTGTCTCCCCTCTCTCCCCTTGTCTCCACTCTCTCCCCTTGTCTCCACTCTCTCCCCTCTCTCACCTTGTCTCCACTCTCTCCCCTTGTCTCCCCTCTCTCCCCTTGTCTCCACTCTCTCCCCTTGTCTCCACTCTCTCCCCTTGTCTCCCCTCTCTCCCCTTGTCTCCACTCTCTCCCCTTGTCTCCACTCTCTCCCCTCTCTCACCTTGTCTCCTCTGAAGCTGTCTGGTAGGACCCAGTAGTAGATGTCGTTGGGGATGTCAGAGAAGGATCGGTACGCCACCTCTGAGGAGCCTCTCTGAGCGATGCCGTCTGTGATGGTTCTGGTATTGGCTCTGTTGGAGAGGGAGAAGAGCTGACCGTTCACACCGCCACGGACCTGTGGGACACAAACACACTTTAGACCCATAACACCTCTCCTCAAAGTACAAGCTAAAAGGGCACAGGTGCATTAAGACAGGCTCAATGCACTGCTGTGGTTTGGGATGTGCTTGTACATTCCTTGTATTTCCTGACCCCTAAAGTGTCTCCACTACTTCTCCCATGAACTGTAGAGCATGCTTCTTCAACTCACAGTACTAACACGCTTGATTCAGCAAATCGTGAAACACCATGATTAGCTGATTACTTGAAAGTGCGCTTGTCCTTCACACCCAGTATCTCTCCAGGACCAGCGCTGGAAACTCCCGGCTCGCAGTAGAAACCTGTTTGTCTGTTGGCTGACTGTTAGGAGTGGTATAGTATGGTTACTCCCATGCCCAGGTGTGCTAAGGCCAGTGCGTGTACATTCCTTTTATTTTCGGATCCCTAAATGTGTCCCCCGTCCACTAGCTCCCATGCCCTATAAAGGTAGTGTGTGTTGGCTGGTGTGAGTAGTAGTACGGCCAGGCTACTGACCTGGTCTCGGCTCCAGGTGGAGCTGGCACACTGCTTGGTGACGCCCATACAGAAGCACTGCAGACAGCCCTCTGGGTTGTCCTCCGTCAGGTGGAAGGAGCCGCTCTTACACTCGTCACACTGCGACCCCACCACGTTGGACTGCAACACACAGAACACATCAGCCATGCACATCTGTCATGTATCCCTGGCTGTCCAACTGGTTCATCATTCACTGTCTATAATCATAAAAGATGATTGTATAATGGCAGCAAAAGCTAAACAGGCCCAAGTTTATGACTGTCTCTATGAATAGACAATGGAGTTAAAATGTTGGTGATTGAGAGTGTAATCTTCTACTACAGCATATCAAAACTCCTACATCTAATCTAAAGCCCCATTCAAACTATAGCCATTATAATGAAATACAGTAGGCCACGTAGTGTGTTACCTTGCAGGCGCATGGTCTGCTGTTGGAATTCACTGTTCCTCTAATATCACACTTTGAGTTTGCTGAAGGAGGGAGGGAGAGAGAGAGAGAGAGGGAGTGGAGATGACAAATGGATATGGATCAACACCTGGGGTTGCTCCACCAACTCTAACCCCTTCACAATCACTCAACATACCAGGCTGATGACGACACCTTCTTAGCAGGTATGACTGATGTTAATAATTACAAGGCTCTTAAAGGTACAGTAGGACATAAAGCATGGCATGCACTATAAAGCAGAGTCATAATGTATATGTACAAATGTCTCTGGGTAAAACCGTCCAGGTGAATAACTTTCCTAACACATTCAAGCCTAACAATGTACATTCCATCCCCCCAAAAAAACAAGAAACACTCACGGGTTGGAAAACATTTGCCATTGGGCTGCAGTGGGTTACCCTGGTACCCAGATACACACCTATGGGGAAAAAACACAAACATCTTCATCAACAGCTTTTATAACTATTCCATATACAGTAAAGCTAGCACTGCTTTAAAGACAGTGCAGAGGTAAAAGGGTGTGATGTCCCTTCCTTACTTTTCACAGCGGCGGCCGGTGTAGCCTGGCTTGCAGGCGTCGCACGTGGCCTGGGAGTCATGGTCCAGGAAACAGGTGTCGGAAAACCTGGGAGTCACAAACAAACATCACAGGATCTGTACATTAATATCTACAGCTGCCAGTTAATGGGTAGCGAGAGGGGTCACAAGTTGACAACACCAGCAATGAACGAATAAGCCCAGAGTTCTTCTGGAGTGCTCAGTGAATCTACCCAACATGGACGTAAACCTGCTGTGTGAAAAAGCTCTTTCCATCTCTCTGTCTGTCTATCTCCCATGGTGTGTGTGTGTGTGTATGTGTCAGTGTTGGGGAAGCTACTCTGATAGTATAGCTAACCAAGCTACCAATTACTTCACACTGCAAGAAGTTATGCTACACTAAAGCTACCCTTAAGAGAATTATAGTTCACTACATCCCAAAATGATCATATGTAAATCTGAAATGTCAGACTGCAAATCACAAGATCAGATCACTTTAGGGTCATATGTTAACAGAATGTAGAAATGTGCCTATTAAACACAATAACTATGTTTCTAGTGAGAATCATGCAGGTCTGATACCGTAAATGAAAGGAAATTATTGCCTACTTTTTGCAAAAACAGTAGCGTGTAATTGCAGTAGTTAGCTACACCGCTACATGGCAAAAAAGTAATTAACTACTGAAAACACTACCTTGATTTGAATTTAGTTAAACTCCCACCAAGCTATTGCAAAATGTAGTTTAATTACTGGTTGAACTACATGTAGTTCACTACTCCCCAACACTGGTGTATATATGTGTGTGTGTATATGTCTTTGTATATATGTGTGTGTGTGACCTCATTGTGATCCTTCACCTGCGGGATGTCTCGGTGTATGGGCAGGGACATGGCTTGCAGTCATCGGGGCGACCTCGTCTGGGGTCACCGAAGTAGCCTGGTCTGCACTTGTCACACTGAGGACCTTCAGTGTTGTGCTGGCAGCTCTGATGGACGGAGAGGAACGTAGTTCAGTTACTAGCTCTATATTTGTACACTTATCCACAGGTCATTTAACAAATAAGGTGCAGCATATGACTGGTACTTTTGTAAACAGCTACTACAGTCAGTTTAACAAATCAGTCACTGACTGTGAGAACCACCAACTCAACACGTTTACTTGACATTCGCAACACTTGCAACAGATTCAATTTACAGCTAAAAGACATTGAGTTTGAATACAACTTGAAAGCTTTGTCATTCACAGCCAGGCTTTAGTATAATGATAACGTTGTGTTGAAAGGAGTCCTCACCAGACATTGTCCACTGATTGGGTCGCAGGCGCTGGCGTGTCCGTTACAGTTACATCCAGCACAGGATCCCAGGAAGTTCCCTCCAGACACACGCTCAAAGCCAGTGGAGCACTGTTCACAGGACAGTCCTGAGTAGCCAGGGGGACACCTGGGAGGAACACACACCATGGAAGCCATTACAACTGACCACAGAAACTATCCTACAATTCAAACACAATACAATGCAATGCTAATTTATTTACAATATACGAAAAGTTGCAGGCACTAAAAGGTTCTAAGCACTCCACCTTCTCTTAGGGATAATTTGTCACAAAAAACGGTACCACGGTTTAAGTCACTTCTCTATGGAGCGATGACAAACGACATCCAATCCAAATCTTAACCTCGGCTGAAGTCAGTCTATGGGATCTCACCTGCACTCCTCCACGTCCTTGGCGTTGCCATGGATGTTGTACTCCACAGTGGTGGTGTCCATGACAATGTCGCTGAGCGCCACGCTCACCATGTGGTTGTCATAGACGGTGCGGATGCTGATGCTCTCCAGGCTGGCCAGCGTCATCATCAGGTCCTCACGGGACACCTGGCGACCCGACGAGTGCTGCCAGTTCTCCTACAAGAACACACACAAACCATCTGAAGTCAGATATTGATCATGATCATACAAGGCCTAGACGGCTAGGCTACATTTAAAACAATTATCATTTACTGCACATGGAAGGCCTAGACAGCAACATGTCAGCCAGAGCATATGTAAGACATAAACAAATTATCTTAAACCACTGATCCTATACTGCAGGGATCATCAATTAGATTCAGCAGAATTTTTCTACAAATAATTTGTTGACTGCAAATTGACCGCAAGAAGCCCAAATAGATATAATATTTGACTAAAACATAATCATTTCGAACCTTGCTTACATTCGTATACGATCACATACTGTATATCTCTCTATTATGCGTGGGAATACCTTGGAACAGATTTCAAAAATTCAAATCACTTGCAGCTGATTTGCTGGTGTTTTTACAGTCTTTTATGTCCAACAAAAAAAAAGTGTGTGTGGGGTGGTCTCAGAAAACTTGGGGGTCCAAATAAAATCACCCCGTGGGCTAAATTTGGCCCGTGGACCGGCAGTTGGGGAACCCTACTATACTGTACAAATAAGGACTAGAGACAGTTACATTATTTTATTCATAAAGATCTTGACAAAGAGTATATGAACCAAACTAAACTAAAAGTGGGGTGGTTGTTAGCAGATGGACCCACCTCAGAGAACTTTATCTCCTTCTGGTTGACCTCTCTGGAGGGGGTGGGGTTGCCCCTGCGGTAGACCAGTCTCTGACCGTTCCCGGTCAGGACCACGTCTGGTTTCTCCTCAGGCTCAGTCTCACCACGGGCCAGCGTGTAACGCACCTTGTACTTCAGGGACCCTCCATAGGAGCCAATCTAAATAAACAGACATACCGGCGATGTATTAACTTCATAGTTATATAAGCCAGACAAAGCTCTGACGAGGGCTGTGAGGCTGAAACATAAGCCATGAATAAGTGTGATACAAGCAGTGTGGGCTTCTTTCCTTTGAATATAACGTAAACATTTCTGACACACTTTCTGTGTGCTGACACTTTCAGATGTGCATTTCATGTATAATTAATATAGTAGTTATCTTGCTAGTGTAAGCTAATTTCAACATGATGTCAAGGTGAGTCATTGGAGAGACAAGGGTTGTGTTCTTCTGCTCAGAGGTTGCTGATGCATGCCAGATCTTACAACACCTGGATAGGTATTTTGAGTATCAGCTAACCACATCATATGGTGCCCGACGGTTGATGCATGCAACGTCTGAGCAGGGGAACACGACCAAAGTAGTGCAGAGCAGGAAGTGATGTAGTGATGATGCCGCACCTTGTTGCCCAGGAACTGGCGTGGCAGTGTCCAAAACGAGTCCAGGATGAGGAAGCGTCGTGATAGGTCGACCAGCTGGAACTCCTCCTCCTCTGGGTTGATGAGGAGCTGAGTGGAGGAGAGAGGAGGGGTGCCCGGCCGAGAGGGGTAAGTCACGTTCACTCCTGGAGTTAGGGAGGTTGCAGGGAAAATGAAATAAGAGAGAGTTTTCTCGTAACAGTTCTGACATTCATGTTTTGCATGTACAGTACCAGTCAAAAGTTTGGACACACCTACTCATTCAACGGTTTTTCTTTATTTTTACTATTTTCTACATTGTAGAATAATAGTGAAGACATCAAAACTATGAAATAACACGTAGTAACCAAAAAAGTGTTAACAAATCAAAATATATTCTATATTTGAGATTCTTCAAAGTAGCCACCCTTTGCCTTGATGACAGCTTTGCACACTCTTGGCATTCTCTCCACCACCTTCATGAGGTAGTCATCTGAAATGCATTTCAATTAACAGGTGTGCCTTCTTAAAAGTTAATTTCTTGAATTTCTTTCCTTCTTAATGCGTTTGAGCCTATCAGCAGTTGTGTTGTCACAAGGTAGGGGGGGGTATACAGAAGATAGCCCTATTTGGTAAAATACCAAGTCAATATTATGGCAAGAACAGCTCAAATAAGCAAAGGGAAACAACAGTCCATCATTACTATGTTAGTGGATAATAGATAGTGTTACTCATCAACATTTTAAATCTCTAATTAAATGTTAATGCAGGTTGTATGTGATTAGGTACACTACCGGTCAAAAGTTTTAGAATGCCTACTCATTCAAGGGTTTTTCTTTATTTTTACTATTTTCTACATTGTAGAATAATAGTGAAGACATCAAAACTATGGAATAACACATATGGAATCAAGTAGTAACCAAAAAAGTGTTAAACAAATCAAAATATATTTGAGATTCTTCAAATAGACACCCTTTGCCTTGATGACAGCTTTGCACACTCTTGGCATTCTCTCAACCAGCTTCACCTGGAATGCTTTTCCAACAGTCTTGAAGGAGTTCCCACATATGAGCGTCTGCTAAATGACTAAAATGTAAATGTATATGCTGAGCACTTGTTGGCTGACTTTCCTTCACTCTGCCGTCCGACTCATCCCAAACCATCTCAATTGGGTTGAGGTCGGGGGATTGTGGAGGCCAGGTCATCTGATACAGCACTCCATCACTCTCCTTCTTGGTAAAATAGCCCTTACACAGCCTGGAGGTGTGTTGGGTCATTGTCCTGTTGAAAAACAAATGATAGTCCCACTAAGCCCAAACCAGATGGGATGGCGTATCGCTGCAGAATGCTGTGGTAGCCACGCTGGTTAAGTGTGCCTTGAATTTTAAATAAATCACAGACAGTGTCACAAGCATAGCACCCCCTCACCATAACACCTCCTCCATGCTTTACGGTGGGAACTACACATGCGGAGATCATCCGTTCACCCACACCGCGTCTCACAAAGACAGCGGTTGGAACCAAAAATCTCAAATTTGGACTCCAGACCAAAGGACACATTTCCACCGGTCTAATGTCCATTGCTCGTTTTTCTTGGCCCAAGCAGGTCTCTTCTTCTTATTGGTGTCCTTTAGTAGTGGTTTCTTTGCAGCAATTCGACCATGAAGGCCTGATTCACACAGTCCCCTTAACAGTTGATGTTGAGATGTGTCTGTGACTTGAACTCTGTGAAGAATTTATTTGGGCTGAAATTTCTGAGGCTGGTAACTCTAATGATCTTATTCTCTGCAGCAGAGGTAACTCTGTGTCTTCCATTCGCGTGGTGGTCCTCATGAGAGCCAGTTTCATCATAGCGCTTGATGGTTTTTGCGACTGCACTTGAAGAAACTTTCAAAGTTCTTGAAATAATAATAATATGCCATTTAGCAGACGCTTTTTTGTGTATGGGTGGTCCCGGGGATCGAACCCACTACCTTAGCGTTACAAGCGCCGTGCTCTACCAGCTGAGCTACAGAGGACCACATGTTCTGTATTGACTGACCTTCATGTCTTAAAGTAATTATGGACTGTAATTTCTCTTTGCTTATTTGAGCTGTTATTGCCATAATATGGACTTGGTCTTTTCCCAAATAGGGCTATCTTCTGTATACCCCCCCAAACTTGTCACAACACAACTGATTGGCTCAAACGCATTAAGAAGGAAAGAAATTCCACAAATTAACTTTTAAGAAGGCACACCTGTTCTTTGAAATGCATTCCAGGTGACTACCTCATGAAGCTGGTTGAGAGAATGCCAAGAGTGTGCAAAGCTGTCATAAAGGCAAAGGGTGGCTATTTGAAGAATCTCAAATATAAAATATATTTTGATTTGTTTAACACTTTTTTGGTTACTACATGATTCCATATGTGTTATTTCATAGTTTTGATGTCTTCACTATTATTCTACAATGTAAAAAATAGCAAAAATAAAGGAAAACCGTTGAATGAGTAGGTGTGTCCACACTTTTGACTGGTAGTGTATAAACTAATGTTTTCATGCTTTAAGACCTTCTTTATGTTCAGTAAAATCAATTACAAATGTCTTGACCTTTTCACTAAATGTTTAGTTAAGTAAAAATTACATCAACCATGACATGTATGACAGGCATAAATATTTAGTGTTGCCCATTACCTTTGAAGTCGTCCTCGTCAGTGAAGCGCAGATTGATCTGGTTTCGGTAGCGTCCGGTGTTCCCACAGTTCTTGGTGATGCCGAAGCAGAAGCAGGAGATACAACGTCCCTCCACACTGAAGTGACCTTCGGGACAGTTTCCTGGTGACGATGACAGAGAGGATGACATTAAATAGACATAGAACAGGCAAATAGGTGCAGACAGACATATAACATTTTAGGCATTTCATAAACCCACAAAGCCATTATTTTCTTATTGAAATAATGCAATAGATAGCCTTTATACAGTTGGCTCATTCTAGGGAAGAGTACCACACAATACCTGATTCCCACTATAGAGCCAACACAAACCATACCCTGCTGGCTCTGATCTTTCCTTTTCACATTGTCCTTTCCAGCATGGTCCCAGCAGCTATGATGGATGTCCTTTCCAGCATGGTCCCAGCAGCTACGATGGAACCATGCATAACCAGGACAGCTCAGTTCAGCTAGGCATGGCTTGGCCCTATAGTGTGAATCAGGCTATAGAATACATACCTGGTTTCTGTGTGAGGCTGAGTACCCCATCAGGGATACCAAACACCAGGCCCTTGGCGTTGATGGCCTCACAGGTGTACGCCCCCTGGTCCGCCTCCTTTACGTCACGGATGGTCAGGCTGCCACGCCCATTCTCACTGGTCATTGAGATCCTGAGAAGACAGATACATATACATTGCTGACATTACATTGATGCTTCAACCACATCAAATACTGAAGCCTGTGTTCGACTCTCCTCTAGCACAACAGTGATGATTCACTTTTCAAAGTTAACACTAGAGTGTCTAAAGGGCTTTTAGAGGACAAGGAATATTATGACTCTAAATCTCTTTTCTGAACTGACATATTGCTATAGGAACTGCCATACAGCCTACTCTCTGCAACTTTAGGCTTTCAGTATGGTATTTTTTAATAGTGATTGAATTAGTTAACTCTCTGTAGGAGTTTATTTTGACAGATAATATAGCACTTTACCATATAAAACAAACATCCATTCAATGGATGTACAGTAAGCTGAGTTCTCTGTTATTGGACATGATTAGCCACAAAGCAATAATTGAATAACTCAATACTTAATGACAGAAGTGTTTGAAAGATGAGTCACCTCTGAATCAAATCAAACATGACATGTCTGTAGATATATGACAGTGCTTAAACAGCAATGCACGAAATGCTGCATTTTGTGGGCTAACAAGATTGGATAGCAGACAAATCCTCAGTCATTTCAAAATCGTTATGGACTGTTTCCAATCAATTATACGCAACACTCATTTCACACAATCCCACAAATTAAACCCGGCTTTCTTTCCAAAGCTATCACTGCACAGATCAACACTCTCTTCCATAATGTCCCCTGTAGCTCAGTTGGTAGAGCATGGCGCTTGCAACGCCAGGGTTGTGGGTTCGTTTCCCACGGGGGGCCAGTATGAAAATGTATGCACTCACTAACTGTAAGTCGCTCTGGATAAGAGTGTCTGCTAAATGACTAAAATGTAAAATAATGGCATCAGAGTTTAAAGAGAAGCCACTTGTATCATGCAACTGAGGGGTTCAGAACTCCACATTAAATATTATATGATGCATATCAACTTCAATATCATCTTCTAGAGTCAAATGTTTGCCCACACACACATTTTCAAATATAACTTAACATTCCATCGATTCAGGCTGGGGTCATTCAAGATGGGGCCATTGGCCTAAATGTCTAACTAAGTTTGTGATAAGAGCTGTTATGGGGTGAACCAGACAGGGTTGGAAGGAGTTGGAGGACTGTACCAACTCACCTGCCACTGATGGGGATATGGCCCCAGTTAAGCCTCCAGGTGATGATGGGGGTGGGAACACCCACTGCCACACAGCTGAAAGTTACCGTCTCCCCCCGCTCCGCCTCAATAGATTCCTCCGGGGGACTGGTAACTGTGGGAGGAGCTTAAAGGGAAAGTTACAAGAAAACAACAACAATATGAGCATCTATAAAGCCAAGTATGCATGCACTGCGTGACGCATGATGGCACACACACATTTCAAAACAAGTCCCAACTACCCAACCACAATTTAAAAGGGCAGTGGTTTATTTGTGGACTCAATCTCTTTTGTGAGGCACAAACATGATGGAAAGTCAGAAAAAAATGAAACTCTTTGCCATGGATGGACAATTCTGCACCGTGTCTCTGTCACCACAGTGTGAATGGAGTCACTGCAGTGGTCCCACAGGGTGACTATACAGGTGAGAGGCAGGGGGGTGCACAGAGAGAGAGAGAGAGAGAGAGAGAGAGAGAGAGAGAGAGAGAGAGAGGGGAGAGAGAGAGAGAGAGAGAGAGAGAAGGGGGGAGTGAGGTTTTGAGGGAGAGAAAGAGTGAATGAGAAAGATAGGCTGAGAGAGACAGGGAGAGAGCGAGACAGAACAAAGTAAGACAGACAGACAGAGACAGGGACAAAGTCAGAGAGACGGTATGATGGTCATGATCAGGGACTTACTGCAGCCGTACTCATCCGAGCGGTCAGGGCAGTCAGGCTCCTCATCACACTGGTAGCTAGATGGGATGCAGGTGCGGTCACTGAGGCACACAAACTGCTCTGGGGCACACGTGTCACCTGGACCTTTGGTGGCTGGAACACAAGACGAGATAGAAAATTACTTAATCTTCATTCATGTAAAAATGTATGGCCAGTTCCCCGATACAGAAACTCCCAATTGAAAGTGCTTTTTAGTCCAGGACTAGAAAAACAGTCCTTTAGTGTTCAATCAATAAACGTTGAATGTGGAACTCACGGCAGTCGGTCTCATCTGAGTTGTCCTCGCAGTCGTTGTCTCCATCACAGCGCCACAACTTGAGAGCACAGCGGCCGTTCTTACACTTGAACTCATTGGGTTCACAGGGAGAGGGAGTGCCTGGAGACAGACAGAGGGGCATGATCAGAGGAGTACTTCACTCAGACACCTTGGTCAGGTGTGTTTACATGAAGCAGATGCAAAGCTTTTGTGACTGATCATGTGTGTGTGTGTGTGCGTGTGTGGGTGTGTGTGAAAGAATGATGATGAATAGGAGAGATAGAAAAGGCCACACAGAGGGCTCTATTCTAGTCTTAGTGCGTGTTCCTGATGCTTACCACATCTGAACTCGTCGCTGCCGTCAGAGCAGTCCCTCTCTCCATCACAAAGGTAGTCTCTGGGGACACATTCCCCATTCTGACAGGTGGCCTGGTCCACTTTGCAGGGCCCCAGGGGGTCAGGGGGCCCAGGGGGGCGTGGGGGCTTCTTGATGGGGGTGGTGGTGGGAGGGGTGGGGGTCACTGGTCCAGGCCGGATCTTATCTGATAAGATCAACATCAAAAAGAGCTTATAAATACTGTTCATACAGCCATAACCAGAGTTGCCCTGAGATATGGCTGTAGACGCCATGGTGTTAGACGCCATGTCAGCCATGTCAGGGCAATATCCAGATATGATTCTCTCTTTAGGATACAACAAAGTGCAGATCCTTTGCCACTACTCCACACTCCACTCCACCACACCAATGCCATTTTCACTACTCCACACTGCACTCCACCACACCAATGCCATTTCCACTCACCACAATCCAGCTCATCACTCATGTCATTGCAATCAGGTCTGTTGTCACACAGGTATTCCAGAAGGATACACCCCCCATCCTGACACGTGTGCTCATCCTTCATGCAGGGCCGAAGGTTGGGGACCACTGAGAGAGACGGGGGAGGGGGGTGGGGGTTCAAGGGTCAGACATGCATGGCTAAAAGGCCACCACACAACACAACACTTGCTGTTAAAAAATCTGGTGAAATACAAGGGGACCTTCCACGGTGGAGGCTGGTGTCACTTTATATCGGGATTGGAGGATGGGCTCATTGTAATGGCTGGAATCACAGACACCATGTGTATGATACCGTTCCATTCATCCCATTCCAGTCATTACTATGAGCCCTCCTTCTTTCACCAGCCTCCACTGACCCTCCTGGGTCACTGCAGGTCATGCTGGGGCCTGGGGCTTGTCAAAGGTCTAACAGCTTACTGTACTGTACCGTAGGTGGGACATGGCCTTGTTCGTTAGGTAATTGAGATCCTTCTGAAGAAACTCTGAAGATTTACACACTACAGAAACTCTGAAGTGTTTTTTAGAAAAAAGCAATATCTGTAACTAAACTCATGCCATGCAAAAATCTTTGCAGTCCTCTTGGGCAGTCCAAAACCAAAACGTTGTCCGACATCTACTCTAGGTGCACACATGCATAACATTCCTGCATGAACTCTTATAGATTTCCAAAGAGCTAATCGTCGTCATCATATTCATGCTCATCATCATCCAGAAATAGCTGCATTCTGCATTTTTACACGGGCTACAGAACAGTCATATAGTTTCTACAGCAGCTCTGGCAGTCTCCGTGCAGCAGGCATGGTACCAGACCTGGGTTCAAATACTATTTGACGACTTTCAAATACTTTTAGCTTTTCCTTCAGCCTGCCTGGAGTGACAGCTGGGCGGGTTTTGCTCTTTTGCTAGTTTTCTATTGGTTCCATAGCGCCATGCATGCGCAATCAAACCCATCTAAAGTATTTTAAATGATTTCCAATAGCATTGAACCCAGGTCGGCATGGTACAGTACAAACCTGGTACAGCCATGGGGTTCACAGGGGGCAGAGCTAGAAACCAGAGAGACAAGTTAAGGACACTACCTCGGACTCACCTAGCCCTCCTTTTTCTTTCTTTCGTATTGTATTGTTTTATTGACAGAAATAGGCCGGAATGAAGGGGAGACTTATAGAGGGGAAATCAAAATAGTGAAGAAGAATGGTGAAAAGAGGGCACCACCTAGCCCTTTTTAGCTTGAAGCCTTGGGCTGGCTAGCCCAGCTTAATTGAAAGATTGTAATGAGATATGAGATCCTAAAATGGATGCCATACATTTGACAACTTCCTTATATGGATGGCGTACATTTGGCCATGTAAGCATTCTGGACAGCCCTGACAATGCGGAGTAAACATTATCCCCTGTGGTTCTTACCTTCTCCCAGGCGTCTGAACTGGAAGCCCTGGACAGAGGTGATGTAGGAGGCGATGGTTCCCTCCTTCACCACTCCGTACAACACGTTGCGGATCTGATTTTCGTTGTTGTTGTAGTCAGAGCCCACGTCAAGCTCTACAAACACATCCACCCCATTCTGCCTGGGCATCTTCCTAAACAGACCAGGACAGAACAGAGGGGGTTGTTAGAGAGGGACGTGATGACAATAACGATTTGGGGTGGCAGGTAGCCTAGCGGTTAAGTGTTGGGCCAGTAATTGAAAGGTTGCTGGTTCGAATCCCCAAGCCGACTAGGTGAAAAATCAGTCGATGTGCCCTTGAGCAAGGCACTTAACCCTAATTGCTCCTGTAAGTCGCTCTGGATAAGAGCGTCTGTTAAATGACAAAAATTTCAATTGAATGGTACAGTGCTCAGGTTTTAATGAATGTGGGCCGGGGCATATCAAGATTTTCTCATGATAAGAACGTTGATTAGTTACACGCAGCTTGTAGACTGTGTTTGCTGAACCAACCAGAGGAGAGTCTAAGATGAAGCCTCAGCATTAGCTCTGGGAACCAACATAAGTCTTCAGATCTCAAACAAGGCTACTCATCACGCGATCATGGTTCTCCGAACCACCTTTGTTACACCCAGGCTTAAGTAAGTAAAGTAAGTAACAGCAGCTGGAGGTGAACAGTGATCTTACTTGATGAGGACCACATTTACAGTCTGGATGCCTGAGATCTTGTTGTACTCTGACTCCAACTGTGGAAGAGAGAGAAAAATACAAACGAGCAAAGAGATGCATTTCTGTCAACATGTTTTAACAAGTTTAACAACTTTCCTAACAAGTGTTCTTACATACGTTGATGTACAGTAGTATATTGTACAGTCAAGTATATTTACTAAAATGATCTACAGTATTTGACCTTCTGACAGACATGACTTGGCAGTGGAATGCAAGGTGTGAGAATCCTGCCCTGGCCTGTGTAGGCTACGGCCCCTATGGGGAGGGAGGGATAGGCATACTGTGTAGAGTATCTATTTGGCTCTGGGATAGGTCTACTGTGCACTATATCTAGAATAGGCCTACCGTGTACAGTACACAGTATACAGTATATGGTTCTAGAATAGGCCTACCGTGTACAGTACACAGTATACAGTATATGGTTCTAGAATAGGCCTACCGTGTACAGTACACAGTATACAGTATATGGTTCTAGAATAGGCCTACCGTGTACAGTACACAGTATACAGTATATGGTTCTAGAATAGGCCTACCGTGTACAGTACACAGTATACAGTATATGGTTCTAGAATAGGCCTACCGTGTACAGTACACAGTATACAGTATATGGTTCTAGAATAGGCCTACCGTGTCCACCACTGCATCAGAAATCTCCTGGAAAGCCAGTGAGTAGATGTCCTCCATGTCAGGCCTGTACACAATGGAGTCTGTGAAGTTCACCAGAGCTCTGTAGTACGCTGGAACAGAGAGAGACAACTGTTCGTTTAACCACAGGATGACATACAGGAACCACAGCGTGGACATTTACACTATTTTTCAGCAACATAATGTACACAAGGCCAAATTTGCATGGGTTTTTCCTTTGGTGGTGTTGCCTTGTTCAAAAGGAATTGAGATTAATTTAGAGTTATGCTTGGCTACTGTTTGGGAACAATTTCCCTCAGGCAGGCCTTGGATCAATGTTTGGAGAAAGAAACTCGAGAAACATTGGAGAAACATAACTGTGGCTGAATTCAGAGCCATGTACAAATGATGGGGTATATTTCCATATCTCAATTGTGGTCTGTACTAAAACTAACAACTGTACCAAGAGGCACGGCAGGCATAATCATGCACACTTATGCCCACACACACACTCACACACACACATACCCACACAAACACACTTTCTGTCTATAACACAAATGTGCACGTCAGACACACACTTACGTCAACACTTGTCATACAAATACACATTAATCCATACGTTTGGACAATCACACACAAGTACAATTACACTGTCAGCCAAGGTGGGTCACTCACTACCTTGCGAGCTACACTTTTACTCACAGTGAAAAGGTGACATCACAGTTTGAGTTAGATACTGAAATAGAGGGGAGCCCCCAGCCCATCCCAGCCCAGCTACAGCCCTAACCCAGGCTGCAGTGAAAAAAGCTCCAGCCAGTGATTCTGGAGGTGGGCCTCAATGTTCCCTTCCCATCCATGAAGTCAAACACATCAGAGAGGCTGGGGCAGGGGCTCTACTGCCTATGGAGAACAGAGGCTAGCTAAGCTATCCTGACCTGGCGCTATGCATTAAGTAGTTCATAGTCAAGTAGGTCATACCGGTCATACAATAGATACTGTACTATCCATAGTGGTGTTCTATGGTCGATTTAAGCTACTTAAAAATATCACTTTCTGTAGACATACTGTAGGCTACTGTCCCTGCTTTTCTACTTGGTCTCCTAGCAACTAAAGAAACAACAACTAATGGTTCGTCTTATTATTACATGGTCTATTATAGGGTCCATTTTATTGCATATCTATTTCCTTTCCAAGATGCACATCTTCTCCTATACCACTCACAAATACACCTCCTTTAAATAGCCCAGGCCGGCTCTCCCTCAGGGATCCTCACACCCCTGCCAACCTTGTTGAGCTGGCCTGGGTCTGCCAGCTTCAGTTCAGCTTGGTCTCTGCCTGGCCTGGTCCGGGTTGGGGGAAGGAAGTCAATATTTGTATTCTTTCTTACGGTCAGTTGCTACTTGCCATGGCTGTACTGACGAGTCATGTTTTATGTGGGTATACCCTGGACTGGGGCCTCAAGTCAACCAAACACATGCACACTTCTTCCCTCGTGTCTTTCTATTTATTTTCTTTCCCTCTCCCTTCCTCTCTGCGGTTGCAGTAATTACATATTGCTAGACGACGTGTTGCTGTGTTGCTGTTGACAATGACAGCGTGCATTCATCATGCTTTAGGAACCCTGGTGTTTAATTAAAAGTTGGAATAAGAGTGCCTCGCACATACGCACACACAAGCATGCACACACACACACACACACACGCATGCACACAGGCTGTCCCATACATCCATTGTGTTGAGGCCCTGAGGGGTCGGATAGTGATTGTGCCAGTGACAGGACATGCTGGCCGGCAGCAGTGTTATTATGGTTGGTGGTGAGAAGCTGCCATTCAAAACAGATCTTAGTTTCCTCAAATTACAACAGAACACTGGCACAAGCTGGCCTGGTTCCTCCATGACACCTTCCACTTCTTGTTGCAGAGTGAACTGCAAAGATTTGGTATAAAAACCCACACAGTGAGCAGACTATGTAGTGTAGAACTGTAGACGTCAGTTGTATAGCCTGGCATGGACATGGTTGACTGTTCCATACAGTCAGGCGGGCCTAAAATATATATTGTACGGTTTGAAAACAGTACCAGAAGACAAGCAACATCAAAAGGGCTGATCAAAGGGCCTCATTTGACCCACTGATAATCTAATCACTGCACTTGGCACTCGCCCTGCAGCGAACGGACACACACACACCCAGTAACAGACATTAGCCCTGTCTCCTCTGAGCTCGCCGCTCTGACGACACGTCACGGCCTGGTGAGCACACTCAGTGCCCATGAGTCTTTCATTACAGCCTTGGGCTGTGCCCTTAACGCTAACGAGGGCTCCCTGGCCTGCTCTCTCTCTTCCTCCTCTCCCTCTCTCGCTCTTCCTCTCTTTCTCCTCTCTCTCTCTCTCTTTTCCTCCTTCTATCCCTCTCTCTGAGGAGCATTCTGCCGAATGTCAGTCACCTTTTCCATCGGGGAAATCCCCCGTCAAGCACCACCAAGGGTGATGAAACTGCCTGCTGAGAGTGAGAGAGAAATAGCATTCCAAACTCTTAATTCATAAACGTATTCAGCTATTAAAGCTGTGCAGCAGAACTGTGGTGGCTTTATGAGGCGGGCCGGGCCCCCTCTGAACACACAGAGGCCTGTAGCAGGAGACAAAGAGCTGATTGAGCGCGCGCCCCAGGCTGGCCTTTAAAGGCAAGCCGCTTTTAGCCCGACCTTCAACCCCCTTCTCTCCCTTCAGCGCCTACGGCAGGGGAGTGGAGGAGAGGGAGAGAGAGGGGGAGAAAGAAAGAGATAGAGAGAGGGGAGAGTGGGAGAGAGGGGACGAGAGAGGGAGTGAGAGAATGAAAGAGAGAGAGGGAACAGAGCGTGAGGGTTAAAACGAGGGATAAATAGAGATGAAACATTTGAGAGAGAGAGAGAGTGTGGGAGAACGAGACCATTAGCCTACAAGAACAAGGCCCATTACCACGCATCCCACGGGGAACCGGCTAAGTATGAGGGCCTCTCTCTCTCTCTCTCTCTCCTAGGGGGCTGGGAGGGAGGATATGGGGCAGTGTGGGGTGGTGTATGGCGGGGGGCCACTTTCTCAGCTTTGGCTTTTACAGAGAGAGACCTCTGCTTCTTAACCCTACTGCTGGTGGTCAGCCAAACAGCCCTGTTCTACAGAATATACTGTTTTAGACTCAGGAGCTCATGGGAATGACTTCTGGCCCCAATATTACTGGAACTCTTTTGTGCTCTCTCCCCAATCACACAATGTGAATGTCAAAAAACCCTTCTGGGAAACAGCAGAACACTTCACTACTATATTGACTGTTTGATTTTCCACTTTATGTTCACTATAGTGACATGTTTGTACAGCACTGATGAAGGCATAAGGCTGAAACGTATGCGTATTTTTATTTATTTTTTAGCACCTTGCACTGTCACCCTTTGCATTATTTTGAGCATGGAGTAAGTAAGTATATTATTTTTGCATCTCTGCCTCCTTGAGTTATTCCTTTTCTTGGTTTGAGTGCGAGTATCTTTTGAACTCTTTTGTCTATATTTTCTCTCCTACGCACCGGCCACCTTTCTTTTTAGCCTGAGCGTAAACCCTCATATTGGCTTTCCACTATACTGACAAAAAACCTACTGGCAGGCCGTGCTATGGTAAAGGGAGTGGTGTAGGGTCAAAGATAGGGGTCAAAAGTGAAAACAAGAACAAGTGAGACGAATCAGGAAAAAGGACAGAGTTAGTCGAGGCAGGTGAGTGTGAGGGGAAAGAGAAAGAGAAAAACAGAAAGTGATGATTAGAAAGAACAGAATATTTCTCAAAAGAGTTCTCTCAACAGAAACAGGTGCACAACTAAGAAAAAGTCCCTGGGCTATTCAGTTTGACTGAATTGTGAAGAGGGCCGAGCTTTGTGGAAATTGAAAATTGGAATGTGTGAACAGTGGGAAAATACCTCGTAGGGCACAAGGCCAAGTCTGTGATAACCAAGGACTGTTTCCTGTGAGATGAAGAATCCTGATGTGTAAAGTATATCCAATGGATCTGCAATGTATTGAATATAGTTGCAGTTTATCAGTAGATCTGTTACATTCCACTGTCTTTAACGTGCAGCCACATAGACATATGTGAACCAGATGGTAAATGAGACACATATTTAATGAATATCAGAACACACAACAGAGCTATAATGCATGAGTTGTACTATAGCATAGCAGCAGTGTATCTGCAATGTGATATTCCTCTGACATCAACACCTAGTCACAGAGAGGGAACTTACAATGTTAATAATGATAAATGTAAAAATGCTCAATTGTTGTCTACAATCTACAGTAATCTACAGTGCATCACTAATGACCCATACATTTGATACTAATGTCCATTCACAGAGCAAAGTACTTAAACTGTAGGAATGATAAATGACAAGTACTGTATATTCAATCAATATCTGACATAACAGTCCTCCCATTGCATGACAGAGTCCATATAGGTAGTATCTAAAGAGTATAGCAGCAGTGTATCGGCTCACACTGTAATGAGTGTTAAATGCACTCTGCAATGTTCCTTTGACACGTATGTCCATTCACACACTCATTCCAGTCTGAGCTTGATGATAAATGACCAATGCATTGAATGGACATCTGTGTGGAAACACAAATGACAAAGCTCCGTTGCATGACAGAGTCCAGGGAAGGAGGTCAGAGTTTATCTCTTAGGGAATCATGTCAATATATCACTGGAGCTGAAAGGATATCCTTCAGACTGGACACACTTCCCTCCAACACTTCCCTCCACTCTCTGCTTTTCACATTGCGTATGCATCACAAAATGACACCTTATTCCCTATATAGTGCACTACTTTTGAACACAGGGCTCTCGTCAAAAGTAGTGCACTATTTAGGGAAAAGGGTGACATTTGGAAAGCAGCCTGCTTCTCTGATGGTTGGATCCACTCTGAAAAAAAGGGGGTTTCGGACTCGGAGCAACAACTAGGAGTTGGCACTTCCTGTTGTTCCCATTAGGATGGAAAAGCCTGGGAGACTGGACTGATTTCTCACTAAAACCAGTGCAATATATTACACTGGAAAAGACATCAACAGGACTGTTTTCTGATGACTCAATCATTCTTCCATTGCTTTGGTTAGACCGGGGGACATGCTATGAAAGTCAATTAGCAAGAGTTTGAGAATAAAATGTCCTTGTGTATACATTTCTACTAGGTCATTTAAGCAATAAGGCCGAGGGGGTATGGTATATGGCCAATTTACCATGGCTAAGGGCTGTTCTTATGCACGACGCAACGCCATATACCACAAACCCATGAGGTGCCTTATTGCTATTATAAACTGATTACCAACATAATTAGAGCAGTAAAAATGTATGTTATGTCATACTTGTGGTATACGGTCTGATATACCACGGCTGACAGCCAATCAGCATTCAGGGTTCGAACCACACTGTTTATAATAAACATTTCACTGTAGACTATTCTGCAAAAAAAATATAAAATAATAATACAAATCTCATTCACATTTCTATCAGTGCAATAATATGCATTATGAAATGCTACCTCTTACAGTGAGATCCTAGCTACAGGAACTCTTAAAAAGGCTCCAGCCCAGAGTCTGTTGCAAGTCCCCTGTCATAAACTTGAACTGCTGGTGAGGCCTACATAATCAAGTAGGTATGCTGGATCCAGCCGTGCCCCAGCTGCGCACACAGAAACACACACAGGCCTTCACTGAGACAATATAATTGAATTGTAGCACATGTCCATCTAATAGACTAGAGACATCTCTATAAGAATGTATGATGCATGCCCCTCCCCTGCTTGGTGAGAAAGTTCATACGATTTAATGAAGGGATCGATGTAAGTTGATGCTCTAAGAACAGAAGTCAAGTCTCTACAGTAGAGATGGCTTTAACCAGCTCTGCTTCACAGTAAAATTCTCTGGAAACAGTATAGAAGTTCCTGTATGTTCCTGTCAGATACATAGAACAGTGACAGTGTGGTGCGTGTCAAAAGACAGCAACGGCTAAAGGGTTTGTGGGTAGTCCAGTTCATGGTGACCCAACCTAATTAGTTTTAATGAAGAATCCGCACAACATCAAAACACTATTGGAAATGCTGTGATCCTTGTCACAATCAAATTGCTGCCGTGAGATTAAAAAAGAGAAGAGAGCAGAGCGGTAGTGGCTAAACTCTCCTTTTAAGTCCTGGGCTACTGTTGGACGTCGACGACTCACTCACTGAAACAGTGTTTCCTGTACAATTTGAGTCTTTACTAGATCAAAGACTAATAGAATTGTATGGGAGTTTTGTTTCCCTTTCTTTTGGTCATTTTAGAGAGTAATGTGTGAATTTGCTTTTTCAAAATACCGGAAGAAAAGCTGTAAACTGTTTAGCGAATCCCATGAGAAGGATTATTACTATGATAATGGACAGTTGGGCACTCCCATAGCGTAGAGTAGGAAACAATGTCTAACTGTAATACACTATGATAACAAACTCTGCACTGGAGGGACCTTGAGACTATTGAATACTCAACTAGATAAGTGAACCACCATTATCTATTCACATATTTTCATTGGGATGCGCCGTAATATTTATATCCAAGTACATCTGAATATTTACTCTCTTGTATTATCAAGTAGCCAAATCGAGTTGTTGGCCGGACGAGCACACATGCAAGATTTTGTTTTTCGGTCCAGAGATGAGTTGATATCCAACTGACATCAGTGATATCCCCCACTGACATCCTATCAGTAATGTAGGTCAATCAGACAGAGGTATTTCTTACCATCCTCTACTAGTAATAAGTTGAGAATTGTATCTGAAACAGTAACAAACATGCCCTCTGTGTAACATAAATCTCTTGAAACAGTGTTTCCTAAAGAGTTGAGGAAAAGTCCACTTCTCAAAGGCAACATGAACTGTTATTGGCACACAACCGACTGTAGCAGCATCAAGTGCCCAGAGCTGGAGTGGAAGAGTAAGACCAGCGTTTCCCTTTCATCATGGGGGAACATCTTGTGGGGCTGTTTTTCATGGTCTGGGCTAGGCCCCTTAGTTCCAGTGAAGTGGAGGCTGTTATAGCAGCAAAGGGGGGACCATCTCCATATTAATGCCCATGATTTTGGAATGAGATGTTCGGCGAGCAGGTGTCCACATATTTTTGGTCATGTAGTGTATGTTAATTATTCAAATGTAGTTCTTAAATTAACCTTTTACTGAATAAGAAAGAGTACATACAAATACCAGTTCCTGGTTCCCCTTCCATATTGAAAAT